GTGCGCTTAGCTGTGTGCCATTGCCATTTATGGGGACAAAATAAGGTGACACAAACATTTTGGACAGCCCGACCTTGCAGGCTGTTGGCCGTGTGCTGTTGACTGCTGTCCCAATCAGTGACTATCAGCCTGTGGCGTAGTCAATGACAGAAATCACAAGATCAGCATCACCACCAGGGCTCCTGGCACTTTAGCAACGCTCCATGGGCGGAATGTCTAGGCACTGGGTTCAAACCATTATAAATCTTAAATATGGTGTTTGCTTGCGTATGTATTTAAGCAAATATATAGTATCAAACAATCGGAGGCTGGACCCCAAACGGCTGTTGGCCGTGGTATCACTTTTGAGATCTTTTGAATGTATTTTGTTTTTGGGCCAGGGTTTGGGGGGTTCGCAATGGGTCGGTGGGGGAAGTTTGGGCCTTGCTTCGTTTATTTTCCTTGCCTTTCTCAGAATGCGCACATAGACTTTCCGCTATATACGTTACTTACTTGTTTTTTGTCATGCATATGCACGTGAACTTGATGTTACGTTGTTTGCTTTTTGTCTTGCATGTGCACATAGACTTGCTGCCACGCTACTGGTTTTTGTATGCGCCTTGCGTTTCAGTGAGGGGCTGGATGGGTGTCCCCAATTAAATTCAATTATCCCGGCAAGAGACCCCAAACAGTGCGGGAGGAGTGGGAGGATAATGTGTTATAATGTATTAATACTGTTGATGATGATGATGAGGATGAGGATGAGCATGATGATGTTGAGGAGGATGAGGATGAGGATGAGGATGATGTTGCGGAAGAGGAGGTGGAGGATCATGAAGTTGAGGACAATGATGTGACGCGGGAGGAAGATGATGATGTTGAGAACGATGATGTTGAGGAGGAGGAAGATGATGATCTGGGGGATGATGATGTTGAGGAGGAGGACCGATCCCAGGGCCTAGGACCACACTTTGTGCGAGCCTGCGCAGTCGAAATGCACTTCAACATTTCATGAGAGCCACTTGATACGGAATTTTACAGGAAAAATGCCGCGCCCCAGAATGAGCCCAGAACGCGGACGCGCATTTTGTGCGAGTCTGCGCAGTCGAAACGCATGTCAAGATTTCACAAGAGCCACTGCACACGGAAATTTACAGGAAAAATGCCGCGCCCCAGAATGAGCCCAGAACCCCGACACACATTTTGTGCGAGCCTGCGCAATGTCGAAACGCATATCAAGATTTCACAAGAACCACTTTATGCGGAAACTTACAGGAAAAATGCCGCAGACCAGAGTGAGCACCCTGATCAAGCACCGGCCTTTACACCTACCCTCTGGTAATTTAACATAGCTATTGAAAATGACCATTTATAGTGGATTTTCCCATTGAAAATGGGGATTTTCCATAGTTATGTTAGTTTACCAGAGGGTAATTACCGTAAGAACCCCTCAGTGCCTCAGTGTGGACTCACTGCTTGGGGAAAAAATGTCAAAAAATCAAAGGAGTGGCACAACCCTTTCAAACATGTCCTTCAATACAAAATCAACCCTGGACATGCAGTTGGCCAGAGCATTCCTTTGGATTGTTTTGGGAAACTGAACCTTAAGAAACGAAAACTCTTCAAAAGAGAGGAAACTAGGAGAAACACTCCCCTTTTGATTTTGTACCGCCCCCCCGGTTTGTAATGATGTTGGTGTTCCTTGGGTCATGCCCCATGGTTTTGTAGCATGCATGTCTTGCCAAAACTAACTCATAGATAGGATTTTACAATAGGCCCTAATTTTAAGTACTGGCTTTTGTGGTTTTGAGGGTATTCCCCATGTTTTTGTAGTGCAATTTGCGCAGCAGCTACTGCAAACATTCTCCGCCAGTTTAATGTTTATTTTTCTTCTGGGCAAATTTCAGAAACACATCAAATAGAGATTCCTATAATATCAAAGGATATACCGATATTCCAACTTTTCGATCTCTTCCCACTATCAAGGATTACAAAATCAACTCCCAACCCAACGTTGTAAACCGAGTAAGCCTCTGGGGTGAGGCGACCCCCCATGACAGTTCTATGGTTTGATTTTGCAGGGACTTCTTGAAAAATATCTCTACAGTGGCCTCGATTCTGTAAGTTTCGTGTAGGAATCTAAAGGAAACACCAAATAATCAATCAAAAACAATCTCAAGTTCAGTGTTTCCAGTCCTGAGTATAATATACTATGGTCTCATCTGCTCATGTGAAGATGAATCAAGACCCAAGGTTTGGATATAGAACCAGAGGGTCCAAAAAATAACTGCTGCTGCTGCTGCTGCTGATGATGATGATGATGATGACAGTGACGTTACTGATGGTGTTTGGCTGTGGACTACGAGCATCAATCTCCCACGTAAATGTTGGAGAAGCAGAGGTGGATACCGCTGGTGCGCGCTGGTGAACAATTAAAAAAAACAACGCTCATACAGACTCTGCAGATGAAAAAAGTAGTTTTGTAATGTGTCCAAATATGACTGTCGAACCGCTCGAATGTAAACATCGCTATTCACTACAGCGAATACAGAAGCATAACCTTGAAACCACACGGCCGTCTGGGGGTCGGGAGCCAAGTAGATTTGCAAGTCGCAAGAAACGCAACAAATTTCACTTCAGCAAAAGTCTCTGGAAAAGGATAGCCTAAATGTAGGGATCATCTTAATCGGAGTCTTTTTGGTTTGTTGCCTCTGCCCGCCGCCAAACTCTCCCAGGAAGAGCCTTTATTCATCAGCCTCTCGTCGTCGAGATGGGCATCGCTCCCTTTCAACTTCTTGGGCATCTTGATCTTCTTCAATGGGGATGGGAAAGGAATGCGTTGCGTTCCACTCAAAAGGATTGGTTTGCATTCATCTGGCACACTTGGATGCATCACACCTCGGAAAGTGGAAATGGTGCAGTATGGTCAAATGAACCCATTTCCACAAGGGTCAAGAACCCGTGACGCGCAACTTGCAACGTCTTCAAAACACAAATTCATTAATGTTGGAAACGGATGGAGGGCAAACAAACAACTGGGTTGACAGCACTTTTGACCAGAAATAATTAGTGGCATTTGTTATCAGTCATCCAAAAATTGGAACCAAACATGTTTCTTGGAATCGAATCCATTGCATTCCAAGGCACTGTTGTTGCGATAGTACTGGATGATGCTGGATAAACCCTGGTGCCTCTCGCAAGAGCACACTTCTCCGACGTGCTCTATGCCTGGAATGCCCCATTGCCGGAACCCATGGAACCTGTCGCGGAAAAGTTCCAAGGACGTCAGGTCGACAAAATTGATGAATGCGTAGCCTGAGCGATGTGGGATGAGGTTGTTGACTTGATGGATATCTCAAATATTTTGTGTATTAAAACAATAGATATGATATTGTATGTTACTAAGCAAACAATTCTTGGCATGCATCTTCACTGCGTCAGTTTTTTCCATATCCATGTCACTAAATTCACACAAAGTGTCTCTCTTGCTGATACCCTGCGGACTTCAGTTCCAAATGTCGGAGCCAAGTAACAGAGAGAATTCTTTTCTCTGAAGCAGACAGGGACATATAGGAAGTTGAAGCGTCCAGAAAATCCTGCCGTGGCACTGAACGTAGATAGGCGCATGATGTCTTTCAAACACATCCTTTTGGCGGAACAAATCTTCGTACTTGGACATCAAAAAACGTTCACTTTGAGATAAAAACAATACACGTAACACATCATAACACAGTAAAATCATGTAAAATCCAGCAAATATGTAAGTGTGAACAGTGTGAGCTGACAATAACACCAAGCGACCACGATATCTTCTCCGAACCCATGAGCGGCATGTCGAAATCTGTTTTGTCTCTAGCCTCCTATCCCTGTGCGTGCCATCGTTCCATTGGGCTTCAGGGCCGACACGACACCTAGAACCAATTGGTTGTTAATCAACAATATTCAACAATTCTTTTGTTTGGAAATGAGTGACACTTCTATTTTTCGCGAATGCACAAATATTTTCGCGACATATCGGGAGCTGCAAGCACATCTTTCTCTGGAGCCACGTGTTAGGGGGCACCACACTGAGGGGTTCTTGCGGTAAGAGTAAGGTCTGGGATCTTTCAGGGTTCGCGTTCTGGCCTCCGGGTTTTGTCTGCGCCGGGCCGCATCGATGCGCAGGTCGACTGCGCAAGCTTAATCGAAGTGTGCGTATCCGTTGGCTCATGCTGTCGGAAAGTCTGCTTGTACAGCGCGCCGCGTCCGTTTTTGGAGCTATATATATGCGCTTTCCGTGGCACGTGTCAGTGTGGGACTTCCGGAACATTTTGAAGTCTGGAACCTCGTTTTGCGTGCGCCTGCTTTTGGCACGTTCTCTTCCGCGTGGCAGGCGCAATGCTGTGTGCGCGTTGTGCAAGCGTTGGCAAGCGTGGGTTGACATGAGAGGTGGTTTCGGAAGTCATTTTTCGTGGCAGGCGCAGTTTTTGGTGAACTTGGGCTGTGTCTTGAAAGCTTTGAACCAGCAGCCACTTTACACAGAAAAACACAAGGTTTCGTGCTCCGGCTTCCTCCCCAAAACATAGCCCATGCAACATCATGCAGCAATTACAATGCGGTTCGCAGCATCAACTCGCAAACCTGCACCTATCTACGCACAGAACAAGACCAGAACAGCAGATGACAAGAGTCATGCAGCCATTCCAATGCGATCTGCAACCGGAGATTCCAAAACACCCTATAACTACGCACACACACAAGCACACCCAAAGCAGCTTCAAGCCACCGTTACACTGCGGCAAAAAAAAACGACAAACCGACCGCAGCCGCAACCGTCGCACACACGAGGTACCTTTCACATCGTCGCCTGCAGCCACTTTACACGGAAAAACACAAGGTTTCGTGCTCCGGCTTCCTCCCCAACTCACCACTTGCCTTCGTCACCGCTTCCCTTCCTCACCACTTCCCATCGTCACCACCTCGCTTCGTCACCACTTCCCTTCCTCACCACTTCCCATCGTCACCACGTCCCATCGTCACCACCTCCCTTCGTCCACTTCCCTTCCTCACCACTTCCCTTCCTCACCACTCCCCTTCATCACCGCTTCCCTTCCTCACCACTTCCCATCGTCACCACCTCGCTTCGTCACCACTTCCCTTCCTCACCACTTCCCATCGTCACCACGTCCCATCGTCACCACCTCCCTTCGTCCACTTCCCTTCCTCACCAATTCCCTTCCTCACCACTCCCCTTCATCATCACTTCCCTTCGTCACCACCTCCCTTCGTCCACTTCCCTTCCTCACCACTTCCCTTCCTCACCACTCCCCTTCCTCACCACTCCCCTTCATCATCACTTCCCTTCGTCACCACTTCCCATCGTCCCCACCTCCCTTCCTCACCACTTCCCTTCGTCACCACCTCCCTTCGTCACCACTTTTCTTCGTCACCACCCGTCATTATCACCACCCTTCATCAAGATCAATTCCACCGCTTCTTATTCTTTTGTTATGTATTGTTATGTTTTGCATTGTTATGTGATCTACCACCCTTCATCATTTCAAGTCTCAGAACTCTTTTAGTCCGTAACACAGAAGTATTGCTTCCCAACTTCCTTTGATGAAGTAAAAAATAAATACCCAAGATTATAAAAATATTAAACATGGAAAATGATAAATCATATAATTTGTATTTTGTAAATTGTAAATTATATATAGTGTAAATATGTGTAAATCATGACTAGACGACGGATGGCCCGAGAGCGTAGAGGAGCAGGGTCTTCTCTTGTTAGTATGGAGACACCATATTAGAAACAATATATTAAAGATGTGTTATATGCAGTCGAGAAGAGGAGTATTAAGACAAAATAGCAGAAGTGCAAGACAATAGTTTGCATCGCAAACACTTTTACACACAAAAGCTTTTACACACAGACGCTTTTACATACAGACCCTTTTACGCACAGACCCTTTTACACACAAAGCTTTTACCCACAGAAGCTTTTACATACAGAAGCTTTTACACACATACGCTTTCACACAGATGCTTTTACACACAGACCCTTTTACACAGACACTTTTACACACAAAGCTTTTACCCACAGAAGCTTTTACATACAGAAGCTTTTACAGACATACGCTTTTACACAGATGCTTTTACACACAGACACTTTTACACACAGACACTTTTACACAGACACTTTTAACAAAGAGCCTTTTACACACAGGAGCTTTTACACACAGAAGCATTTACACGCAGACGCTTTTACACACAAAAACTTTTACACACAGTCACACAGAAGCTTTTACACATAGACGCTTTGACACACAGGCACTTTTACACACAAACACTTGTACATACAAACACTTTTACACACAAACACTTTTACACATAGACGCTTTTACACGCAGAAGCTTTTACGCGCAGACGCTTTTACACACAGAAGCTTTGACACACAAACGCTTTTGCACACAAACGGTTTTACACACAAGCGCTTTTACACACAATCACTTTTACATACAGACGCTTTTACACACAGACGCTTTTACACACAGGCCGGCCCATGTTCACGCAGTCACAGTGAAGTCATTGTTGTCGTGGCCACCTCAGCAATTCGACGGAGGGGTGAAGTTCGTACCATGTACAGGCAAAAGAGAAAGTCACGCCTAAGTCATGCCTACGGGGCTTCCCCCATTGTCACCGCTGTTTCCAAAAGTCACGCCTAAGTCATGCCTAAAAGGCTTTCCTGCTTGTCACCGCAATCATTCCGGCACTCATTCAATTGATGTGGTTTCAAACTGTTCTTGTGGCCAATGGTTTCGATTGAGTTGTTGAACAATGGAATTCCACATTCGCTAAGAAAAATCTCGCATGTTCCCTTGTCATAAGGACCACACCCAGCATTGCAGCACTTATTCAATTGATGTGGTTTCAAAATGATCTTGCAGCCATTCCTGTTGTTTTAGTTGGAGTAGCATCCTTCATTCCAACCAGGCAGCAGCACAGCAGCAGGAGGCAGCAGCAGGCAAACAGCAGGCAGGCACCAGAGGCAATCAGGTTCCTGGCAGTAGTAGGAGAAGAAACGACGTCAAAACGACGTACAAACGACGTATGAAACGACGTTGGAACCAGACCCTAGCCACTCCCGGCCCAGAATGGGCTGCACCTATCCCTGCTGCACCCGCAGAGCTTTCCAGCCGGAAGATAAACCCATGGGCGAAGGAAAAGGCAAGCACCCAACCAGCTCGACACGACAGGAGTTCCCAATGGCACCGCTGGATCCAAACAACAACAATGCAAATCTCCTAAGTAGGCGTTGATAGCTAAACACATAGGCACCGCAGCAAAACTCAAGAAAAGTGCGCCATAAACGCCAGAGGTCGCTTGTGTTTAGGGGGTAGGCACGACTTCTTACGTTAACTTGTCCGCAGCTAATTCTGGCATTCTGCAGCCCGTGGGCACGACATTGTCTGTTCCCTGTATTTGGTGGACCTGCATTCAATATAGTACAGTCTATAGAAGTATTGCTTGGACAGCATTGGTTGCAATACAAGAATCAAAGTTAAAAATCAAATAACTAAGCTGCTCACAAAGGTGTTGAGTCAGGCAAAGAACCGACCTGGCCCCCCGCCAGGGTGGGGGAACCATCCTATCCCCTCAAAGTATTATAGGAGCAGGCCATAATTATATACGTATTATCAAAGTCTGAAGCTAAGGCCTAAGGCTATTAATCTAAATATTGTAAAGATCTAAGATGACGACTCGACGATATGCACCTCATCACAATACGTGACCAAGTGTGTAATGTCATGGCGAGCCTAACTAAGACTTTTGTCAGTCCCGATATTGTCCTGCAAAACCTTGAAGCGATCACTGCTTGCAGCAGCTGCACCAAAGTGTGCACGGAGACAACCTGGCTTGCACAAACTAAACATGCCAAGCAAACATGCCTACTAAACATGCCAAGCAAACAAGTCAGGATTGCTTAAAACTTGCCAGCAGGACCTGAACATGACAGGGATGACCGGAAAATAAACATGCCAAACAAGCAAACATGCACACGAACGTGTCTGCGCAAAAGAAGATCAAGGCACTTTTACACACAGACACCTTTACACACAGGCGCTTTTACATACAGACAGTTTTACACACAGACGCTTTTACACTCTGTTGCTTTTACACGCTTTTACACACAAAGCTTTTACCCACAGAAGCTTTTACAGACAGAAGCTTTGCACAGACGCTTGCACACAACAGACGCTTGCACACAACAGACGCTTTCACACACAGACGCCTTTACACACAGACACTTTGACACACAGACACTTTTACACACAGACGCTTTTACACACAGACGCGTTTACACACAGACCCTTTTACACACAAAAGCTTTTACACACAGACGCTTTTACACACAAAAGCTTTTACACACAGACGCTTTTACACACAAACACTTTTACACACAGACACTTTTACACACAGACGCTTTTACACACAGACACTTTTACACACAGACTCTTTTACACACAGACGCTTTTACACACAGACGCGTTTACACACTAACACTTTTACACACAGACGCTTTTACACACAGTTACACACAAAAGCTTTTACACACACACGCTTTTACACACAAAATCTTTTACACACAGACGCTTTTACACACTAACACTTTTACACACAGACCCTTTTACACACAGACGCTTTTACATACAGTTACACACAAAAGCTTTTACACACAGACGCTTTTACACACCAACACTTTTACACACAAAGCTTTTACACACAGACGCTTTTACACACAGACGCTTTTACACACACAGACGCGTTTACACACAGACGCTTTTACACAGAAAAGCTTTTACACACAGACGCTTTTACACACTAACACTTTTACACACAGACGCTTTTACACACAGACACGTAAAATCGCAATTTTTCCTCAGTTTTTGACGATCGCCTCATTTCGTGCGAAACGGTTGCTCGCGGCCAAGTAAAATCGCAATTTCTCCTCCGTTTTTGACGATCGACCCTCATTTCGTGCGAAAGGGTTGCTCGGGGACAAGTAAACTCGCAATTTTTCCTCAGTTTTGACGATCGACCGTCATTTCGTGCGAAAGGGTTGCTCGGGGGCAAGTAAACTCGCAATTTTTCCTCAGTTTTTGACGATCGACCCTCGTTTCGTGCGAAATGGTTGCTCCAGGACAAGTAAAATCGCAATTTTACCTCATGCAGTTTTCGCCGATCGACCCTCATTTCGTGCGAAAGGGTTGCTCCAGGACAAGTAAAATTGCAATTTTACCTCAGTTTTCGCCGATCGACCCTCATTTCGTGCGAAAGGGTTCACGTTCCGTGACTCCCCGCCGGCACCACCCTCGGCTTAAAGAGAGAAAGATAAAGAAGGCGAGAGAGAGAAAAGGGAGAGAGAGAGAGAGAGAGAAAGAGAAGGTGTGAGTATGTGAAGATAGAGATGTGAAGATGAGCAGATGTGAAGATAGAGATGTGAAGATGAGCAGATGTGAAGATGAGAAGATGTGAAGATGAGCAGATGTGAAGATGAGCAGATGTGAAGATGAGAAGATGTGAAGATGAGAAGATTTGAAGATGAGAAGGTGTGAAGATGAGAAGATGTGAAGATGAGAAGATGTGAAGATGAGCAGATGTGAAGATGAGAAGATGTGAGAGAAGGTGTGAAGATGAGCAGATGTGAAGATGAGCAGATGTGAAGATGAGAAGATGTGAGAGAAGGTGTGAAGATGAGAAGGTGTGAAGATGAGAAGATGAGATACAGACCCCCACTATTGGAAGAACCCTGCGCTCAGACGCTCTCGGGAAAAAATGTATATTATAGATATTGTAAATTACAGATATTGAATATTATAAATATTGAATATTATATAAATTGTATATTAAAAATATTGTGTATATAAAAACACATATTCAGAATAATAAACTTGAAGTAATATATATATATAATATAAACATATATAAAAATATTTACATTATACTATTGATGAAAAAATCAAAAATATTAATTATACAAAACATGTATACATATAACATATATGTATATATGTGTGTGCATATATGTATATATATATAGATATCTATATGTACATGTATATATGCAGTAACACACATATGCAAATATACAAATACACACATATATAGTATACATATGACACTTGATGAGATCTAATCTAACTGTCGCAAATCTTTCGCAAGAGACATATTCTTGCGGGATAGACACGTGATATGCAGTAACTATTACATGGGAATATTTGCGGGATATGCAATGCAAAGTGACCCTGCTTGCAATTAAACCTTCGCCCTTCAGGGCCCTCCACCTCTCCTTCTTTGCCAAGCAAATAAAGCATCCTTGCACGTGTGAAGCACTCAGGCAAGTTCCTCAACATGACCTCAGGGGCAGACGTCTAGAATCTAGTGTCCATGCGGGCCATGTCTTCCAGCTTACTTGGAGCCCCTTTAGTGGGTTATCCATAGTTATGCCAGTTTTTAACCAGGTTGAGTTCTAATCCCAGCTACTAGCTCAGTTACTAAGTGGATCTACGTGGACTCATCCAGCTGTTGGAACACCAAGCCGCTGTCGTCCGTGCATCCAAGTCTGCGAATCCATGCTGGGTCAGCCTCCTGTCAGCTGACAGAGCAATGGGGTGATTTGACAATAAGATGGCAACACCAAAAATATCAAAATGTATCGTATCAAACTGTACTTTAATAAGTACAATCATTCAAAAAATCATTCTGACGGTTTACCAAAAGCAATCAAGTTGATGAGAACAAAGTACAGTTAAATCTCATGTACCATACTGTACCATAATACCAGTAGTACCGCGCAAGGCGGTGGCGGAAGTTTCAAAAATAGGAAACCGATAGGAGAGGTTGGTTGTTGTGACTCACGGATGGCAGAGCGAATCCACTGATGGACCGAAAGGTGGTTGGAGTTGTTTTCTGGGGTGGTTGCAATGGTTGCAGTGGTCACCTCACCACAATTGCTGGATGTAGCGTGGTGTAGTGCAGTTGTATTTGTAGTTGTAGGTGTTGTTGTAGTTGTACTGTAGTGGAGTTGTAGTTGCAAGTTGTAGTTGTAGTTGTAATGTAATTAGCGTAGTGTAGTTGCGGTTGCAGTTGTAGTTGTAGTTGTGGTGTAATTAGTGTAGTGTATTGTAGTGTACTGTAGTGTTGTGTACTGTAGCGTGGTATAGTGTGGTGTAGTCTAGTGTATTGTAGTGTAACGTAGTGTAGTTGTAGTTGTGTGTAGTGTCGTGTAGTGCAAAGTAGTGGTAGTTGCAGTTGTAGCGCCATGTAATGTAATTGGTGTAGCGTACTGTTGTGTAATGTAGTGTAGTTGTAGTTGTATCTGGATTTGTAGCTGTAATGTGCTGCAGTTTAATTAGTGTATTGTAGTGCAATGTCGTGTAGCTGTAATTGTAGTTGTAGCTGTGGTGGTGGTGGTAGTAGTAGTAGGTAGTAGTAGTAGTAGTAGTAGTAGCAGTAGTAGTAGCAGTAGTAGTGGTGTAGTGGTAGTAGTAGTAGTAGTAGTAGTAATAGTAGTAGTAGCAGCAGCAGCAGGAGTAGTAGTAGTAGTAGTAGTAGGGGTAGTAGTAGTAGGAGCAGCAGCAGCAGTAGTAGTAGTTGTAGTAGTAGTAGTAGCAGCAGCAGCAGTAGTACTAGTACTAGTAGTAGTAGTAGTAGTTGCTGTTGGAGTAGTAGTTGTTGTAGCTGTGATGTAATTAGTGTAGTGTAGTGTAATTAGATGTGATTTGTGTTGTGTAGTGTAATTAGTGTTGTGTAATGTAGCGTAGTATATTTGTACTTGTAGTTGTAGTAGTAGGGTAGTGTAGTGGTACTTGCAGTTGTAGTTGCAGTTGTAGTTGTCTATCTGTCTATCTATCTATCTTTCTATCTATCTCTCTATCTGCAAGTTTGAAAACAAAGCTATTCTGCGAGACTTCCTCAGTTTCCGAACTTGACAACATCAAAAACGCAGCAATTCTGCGAGATTTCCTTAATTTTTGAACTTGACAACGTCAAAAACGAAACGATTCTGCCTAATTTTTTTGAAGTTGACAACATCGAAAACGAAGCAATTCTGCGAGACTTCCTTCAAACATGGAAAGTTGAGTGCAGAGCTGACGGCCTCGTGCCAATGCGTTTTGTGTTTTTTCTACTCCACCTGTCTAAAGTATCGCGCCTGCCACGAAAAAGTGAAGCCAGGTCATACGAAGTGCTGCACCTGTCACGCAAAATCATCTTCCCAAAACTGAAGATCTAATGCTCCAAAATGCAATCCCTTTCAGGAAATCAGCGCCCGCACCTCCTGGCAGCTCTGATGAATATGCCGCAGCAAACCCCCGGGAAGCAGAAATGAGGCCGAAAGTGCTTCGGCGGGGTTTGGCGGTGGACATGCCAGAGCAACCCCCGGGAAGCAGAAATGAGGCCGAAAGTGCTTCGGCGGGGTTTGGCGGTGGACATGCCAGAGCAAACCCCCGGGAAGCAGAAATCAGGCCGAAAGTGCTTCGGCGGGGTTTGGCGGTGGACATGCCAGAGCAAACCCCCGGGAAGCAGAAATCAGGCCGAAAGTGCTTCGGCGGGGTTTGGCGGTGGACATGCCAGAGCAAACCCCCGGGAAGCAGAAATCAGGCCGAAAGTGCTTCGGCGGGGTTTGGCGGTGGACATGCCAGAGCAAACCCCCAGGAAGCAGAAATCAGGCCGAAAGTGCTTCGGCGGGGTTTGGCGGTGGACATGCCAGAGCAAACCCCCGGGAAGCAGAAATCAGGCCGAAAGTGCTTCGGCGGGGTTTGGCGGTGGACATGCCCGGGAAGCAGAAATGAGGCCGAAAGTGCTTCGGCGGGGTTTGGCGGTGGACATGCCAGAGCAAACCCTCGGGAAGCAGAAATCAAGCCGAAAGTGCTTCGGCGGGGTTTGGCGGTGGACATGCCAGAGCCAATTTTGGTAATCAACCCCCCGGGTGGACATGCGCTTTCGGCCTGATTTCTGCTTCCCGGGGGTTTGCTGTGGCATGTCCACCGCCAAATCCCGCCGAAGCACTTTGAGCCTGATTTCTGCTTCCCGGGGGTTTGCTCTGGCATGTCCACCGCCAAACCCCGCCGAAGCACTTTCGGCTTGATTTCTGCTTCCCGGGGGTTTGCCCTGGCATGTCCACCGCCAAACCCCGCCGAAGCACTTTCGGCCTGATTTCTGCTTCCTGGGGGTTTGCTCTTGCATGTCCACCGCCAAACCCCACCGAAGCACTCTCAGCCTGACTTCTGCTTCGCGGGGGTTTGGATTTGCTGCGCCCGAAAAGTAAATGCTGTTTGAACGAAAGAAGACCCCAAAGCATTTAATTTGAAATAGTTAATGTGGAACCTGTGCCCCGGTCCGCGGGCTAATCCGTAAACCGCTAATCCGTAAACCGGGTAATCATTAAGGATTAACTTTTGGATCAGGCTAGCTAATGACTCACCAAATTCACCAAAAGAGAAAGTAGTACATCTCCACTACTGACTACACCTGGCAATTGAACTTTCACACACCATAACAATGAAATCTCATGCTCTGTGCATCATCTGAGATGTGGTATCCAGCCATCTAGGACCATCAAATACCATCAAGCTGCGCAGCGGTTGGCTCCTCTCCCTCTGAACGAACAATCCGGGAAGCATCTCTTCATCACCACTCTCTTTTGATTGGGCCCGTGTGCTGCAAGTCACGTCACCTTGAAGCGCGGCGTTGAAACTCCCGCCCTGGAAATCCGTGGATGTTCCACGCTAGAAAACAACCCACTTGTGAACATCTCTGCATGGATACCACATTGGCTACCGTATCCTTCACCACAAACACACACACACACAATAGTACAGTTCTATGCCTTGACATGTCCGATTCAGGCCGAAATCCGTGGAAGGATTTTGGGGTCTGTGGAGTGTCTGTGGCGTCCCTGACGTAATTGGCCAACAGCTGAAGATTTGGAACATGAAAGCAAGCAGCATCTCAATATCTCAATGTTTTTGGGGCGTGTGGCACTTCTCAGGAAACACATCGCTTCGGAAAGGACTATGACATCATCATCACATCAAGGCAGTCATAGCATCTTTTGATCTTCAACCATGTTGAACCTGCATTGTGGGATTGCCATATCGTGGTGAAACCTTCTTGAATCCTGCGCAAGAGCCTGTCTTTTCTAACCTTCAACACAAACAAAATCAACCTAGGACCTTGAGAGACATTCCAGGAAGCTGCAAACGATCTACTATTCTTCTGAGAAAAGCCCTTGATGGCAAGCCACTCTTCAAAGAAACCCTTCTGTTGGCACCCGCTTGGCAGCCCTCCATAGTGTCCAAATGGAAACCCAACAGCTCTTCGACGAGAACTGCAAGACAAAAGTGTCGACGTTGAATGTGACGAGAATGTGATGAACATGTGCTGAAAATGTGATGGATCAAGGGATTCCGATATGTGTTGGTGAGATGTGTCTCAGTCTTTGGTCCTTTTGACATCGGGATCTTCCGACCAGCTGCTGGTGCTGGTAATGGCGCCATTGAACCATACAGGCAATCCGATGGTACTGGGAAGTGGCTTGTTGATTCCCTACAAGTTGAAGTTTTAGCGGGTCATTCATCTACCCAGCAAAAAAACGACAGTGTCTGGCTAAAATCCATCTAGTGGTATTGGGTATTGGATGGTATTGGATGGTATTGGATGGCACAGGATACCGTAATGGTGAAGGCATGTGAAGGCTTTGCCCAACGTCAAACACCTCGCATCAACTCTGCCACCAGAGGTTTTTTCATGGGAAACTGCAGATCTTTTCTCGGGCTTGCTGAGGACACACCTCGTGATACATAAAGAGATGCAGGATGCAGGAGATGACAAGTTGTCAGTGGCTTCTCATTGCAGAATATCCATCATTTTCATTCAGTTTCCAACAAATTCCATCACTGATCATCAACATTTCACACATTTCATGCCTTTCACCATGATGGAACATTTTTCAGGACCATCTCCTTTCTTTTCCGCATGGCCTGCATCAAGGCAGTCAAGCTAACAGAGACGTGCCAGCGTCAATGTCTGCCTGGAGATGCAGGAAGATAATATAGGTGCAGAGTACAGTATGAGTAACAGTAGCATTCGATATCATTCTGTCATTCAGTAACAATTGCATCCAATAGCACATGATAAACAACAGAAATGTGTTTGTCGGGAAACAAGGTATCCCAACATGTTGATACATTTTGGCCTTAGTCACCATTTTCCCTGTCAAAACAACCATAGAGGATCATAGAGGTCTCCCGGTATCCCCCCAGGCATCCAGGCGTGACCGGTTGCCTCTGCATCTGGCACCTGAACTTGCTCCACTTCGGCCTGCCACTCTAAAGATGTCACCACCAAGGGATCCAAGGGCGGGGAACACCCAAGGCTCCACGAAAAACTCGGCTGACGCCTTCTGTGCTCCCGAAACTCGAGCGCGTATCTCCTCCTCCTTGGCTTCCCGCACCTCAACCGATTCATCAGGTATCACCTACTGTATCAGCTGTGATGGTCATCTAAGTAGTCTAACCTCTGGTATTCCTTATCGAACATCCAGCATCCGCCAGATCCGCCATCCATCTCATCATAGTCATCGCTAACTTTCTCGTCCTCCTCATCCTTCTCCTACATCCTCTTCATCATCAAGATCAGCATTCTCACCCTCCTCATCGCCATTGTCATTCTGATCCTGATCATCAAAATGTCATCATCACGATTATCCTGATCATCGATATCATTTTTGATTATAGTCTTGATGATCACGATGATCATTCTGATTATGATTGCGGTTATGATTATGTAGGATCATGCTTATGATTATGATTAAGATACTGATCATGCTGGCTATGACAATGATGTTATATCATGTTATATCGTTGCTGTTGTTGTTGATGATGATGAGGATGAGGATGAGGATCACGATCACGATCACGATCACCACCACCACGATCACCACCACCACCAGCAGCAGCAGCAGCACCAGCAGCACCATCCGCATCACCACCACCCGCATCACCACCATCCGCATCACCACCATCCGCACCACCACCACCACCGCCGGTTGCATGGAAGTGTTACCCGCATAAATGTGTCTGAGTAATGGGGCATACCGGCATACCCTAAAATTGCAACTAAAACATGGGAGAATCATAATTTACATAAACCAACAAACAATGGTGTGGTTACGTGGTTGTCCCATCATTCTGAGACCAACTTATGGGTCATCAAAAATCCAATGTCCCAACCATTGGGAGGTTTTCCATGGTTTTCCTTGTCCATAATTTCCATATCATCAATGACAATTAATGACAACTGTGAAATGTCCCAAACTTGGGAGGTTTTCCATGGTTTTCTCACAATTTTCCATATCATCAATGGCAACTGGGACAGACTCTAAGGACCATGCTCTTCGCTCTCTTTCTGCGCGCGAACAGACAGCGCTCCACTCCGCGCGCTGTGTGGCGAACGGGCACTCTGCCCACCTGAACACGCTGGGCATGGCGCTCCCAAATATCAAGTGGCACTTAACAGACATGGCGATTTAACCAGCCGATTTATATTTAATCAAGTGTCAAAAAAAGATTAAAAAAGGGCTTCAAAATGGATGCCTAGGATAGCTTCATGAATGTTTTGTATCTTCGAAACTCTACAGTAGCGGATTTCATCAGCCGCAAAGGATCAAATCGACCAACCCAGCCTCTGGCAAATGCACCTGAAAATTCCGGGCTTAAAACACGTTCAAGGAATATTCCCAGGCCCCAATGCTATAAATATCCCCAAATAAGGCACCCCCCTAAATGATCGATCCGCATCCAAAGCAGCGTTTTTCTAAGGGACCATTTCATATGGTTTGAACGGATCACTTTTGAAAACCAGAATTCCATAGAATTCCTAAATAGATCCAGGTTCCTGCCCAGATTTCTTGCACCAATCGATCTTCCTATGCCAACATTGCTTGTCAGAGTCAGGAAAACATATGGGTAGGTCTGAAAATGACCTCAAAAATACATAAAAATACCCAAATGGATCCAAATGGCAATTTGACCCCGTTGTTCTGAGACAAACCGGTAGACTGGAGCTCTGTTTCAAAAGCCACTGGCCTCGTGCAGTGAATGGGTCCATTGTCCCCCGTATGATTTTCAAATGCAATCTTCAGTCAGTCTCTCTGCAGGATATCGGAATCCGCCCAATTTTATGATGGAAACTCTGGTGTTTTAAGTTCTGAAGTGTGCAAAGGATGAGTCTTGTTGACCTTCAAAAGCCATTTGTGAAGAAGTGTCTTGAGGGTGGACTTTTTCCTTTCAAGTGCGATCTGTCTAGTCCCTCCATACTGCAAAAACCTGCTTCAAGCTGCAACGAGCAGAACATGGACCAAGGCGGCAGCAACATTTCCCATCTGAAGAAATTTTGTTGATACTACATGATACTACCATATCCTCAAAAAGCAAAAGATAGCGATCCAAAACATATCCTTCCTACACACAAATGGATTGGTTTAGGGGAAAATCCACAGGAAACCATGGTTCTTCCTATGACATATGGGGGTTTCCATGGGTTTCCTCTAAATTTTCCAAAAAGATCTCAAGTCATAGCCTTTCAGCCCTCCCAAGCTCAGCTGTTCCCCATCTTTTTTCGGAGTGCGGCTAAATTGGCAACGAGGAGACTGTGAATTGCAGGAGCTTGGAGCAAAGGAACAAAATGGCACAAAATAATCAAGGATGAGGGAAGGAAAACCATGGGGAAAAAATGACAATTTCATTGCCATTGATTGTTGATGCACAGTTCAAAGAACATGTTTAGGCGATTTTGAAGTACATTTCAATTCGTATTCTGTTCATGACGCATGTTGTCTTGGCATCCATTGCGGGGGGCTGTGGAAGGAACCAACGTGTAGCGCCTGAATCCCCCAATAATAACTGTTGAATGTAGGCCATAAAAAGAAGGCACTGGATTCAACTTGCCGGTGGTATATTTAGCTTGTGAAATCTACCCGCTGGGTAGCCAGAAATGAAATTGCTAAAGCCATGGGATATCCGTTTCCATCTGGCATGCTTTGCAGGTGACAGAGGGAGAAAGTGTGAAGGCATTTGGTTTATTCTGCCGGTGGTTGTGGATACTTTAAAGGCTCAAAGCCCTGCTACTAGACTATGTGCAATAAACACATCTCGTGTCAGCATCGCTGCTGCACTCTAAGCAGTGGTTTTGCTAAGACCTCTGACGTTCAGATTTCACTTCCGGACCCATGCATTTCTCATCTCATAATGTCTCATGCCATCTGCCCTTCTTGAAATAGCACTTGCACGAACATGAATACTTCCCCGGTTTCAACGCAGTTTGGCCAACCGGCGATCTAAAACATATGACAGTCAGTTGTAAAGTCCATATCCAAAGAAATCTTGCATCCAAGCAAATCCGGGAGCCTGACACCTTCCTTCCTTGTCATGACGTTTCATGTGGAAAAATTGCTACAGTAGACCAAACCAATTTTTGGTGTTGTGCTGATTTACGTTCAACCATTTCCCACCAGCTCGGTTGGGAACAGTCTTGGTCAGGGGACTTATCTGCACGGGTGTCCGACTACCAGCGGTCCAGCAATGGCAACAGGCACAGCAGAATACCGAGACAAGGCAAAAACACTCGCTCTTATGGAGATGCTATGGAGATGCTCATTGAATGAAATTGATCTGGGTCATGTTAACATCCTCCCCGACAATGAACAGGACGGTCAAGTTGCGGATGGGATAGTCAGTTAGTTTAATCTCAGAATCAGCGCATCATCAAATACCATCCGGTACTTTCACATAGCTATGGAAAATGGCCCATGTATAGATGATTTACATTGATTTACCCACTTATGTAATATGATGCTTTTCCATGGTGTTAAATTACCAGAGGGCATATCTTGGCATGTTCACCTTACTGCTGCATTTTGATATGCCACACCTTGTTCGGCCCAGGAGTGCATGCATGAAAGAAAGCCATGTCTTGGCTGTCCCCCAGCCTGCTGCCTCGCTTCAACAACTTTATCACTGGTGACCACAAGGAGAACTCATGTTAGCTTCTAGAATTCTGCAGCTATGCATGTGTGTAATTATAATATGTATAAGACATCATATAGTCTTGCATTATATAATACATATAATTAATATGTATACGTAGTTTCAGTTTCATTTAGTTTCAGAGAGAATGACTGAGCAGTGCTCCTTCAGGCCACTTGCTTGAAGCTGCTTTGGATCTGCTCCATGGGGCACCAGCGATCGCAAAACATGTTGTTGAACAGCGAACGCACTGCATTGCGGGCCATCGCAGCCTGCATAACTTATTCTTTGGACTTCAAATCCACAAAGTTCTGAGGATACCAGCCTTGCCTCAGTCCAGGGTGAACCCCTGCAGTTTTTTGGCGGCAAATTTTGGAATTGCCAAGCCCCAAAATGTAATTGTAGCATGTTGATGCATATTACACCCATATTTCATACAGTTTTATGATGTCCAACCATGCCCAACCCACTTTGTTCCTGCGTTCCCCTCTGAGGTGCTGACACATCGGTGCCTGGCAAAAACGCATGATCTCCCGTGGCCCGTGGCCCGGCCTGGCGCATCCCGGCCTTTCTTCAGTCCGAAAGCCCAGCGCAGGCTCTCCTGCGCGCATCCAAGTGACCATCTCGCACCATCTATCAACATCTATCAAGATCTATCAATAGCTATCATTATTCTATATATATATCTTTTTATATAGTTCTATATAATGATATAACAATATGCAAGACGTTTATTGATCATTATTTATCTATTGGGAATTATTTGGGTTTGTCTGAACATGGGGTACACCCCAAAATGACCAAGTAGAACAAAATATTGATGGGAACAGGATGAAAGAAACCAGTCGATTGGGGGCTAACCCAAATCTTTGACGGAGCCATTTACAATATCCGTCAACAGTGCCTCCTTGGACTGCTCACTCTCATCCTGCAGTGCTCCGCAGAAATTCGTAGGGAATGAGAGCAAATGGATGCAAATGGTGAGTTGCTACATCAGTGTCACCTTCAAAAGTTGCAAGAACTCTGAGGACCCAAAGTACTTGAGGCCAAGGGTTTAGATAACAAAAGCTAGGGGAGGTGGAATCAGGGACCAGTGTGGATGGGTTATTGATGGGTTGAGAGGAGACAGTAACAGTAGAATATGGACCTCGTAGGATCGAGCCCGCTGTGAAAATCTCTGAAGGTCTCGACTCCGAAAACGCTCACTGTGTATACCTCTTGGGATGATTTACCAATATTTACCATACTTCCAGTCCAATATGCCTAAATCTGCCCAAATTGTTGGTTAGATTTGGCTGGTGGGAATGCTTCGTAGATCTTTAAGGTCTTTATATTAGTCTTTATGGATCCAGTGGATCCCAATGGATCCCAATGGATCCCAATGGATTCCACGTAAATTCCACAAGGGCTCCTGAGGGTGTGGTAATCGAGCAATTGAGTCACCCTCAACGAAGGTGATGTAGCGGTCGTTGTCGTCAGGATGCTGCGGTCGCGGTCCGGAGTCGTGGCTGTTGCTGTTGCTGGAACTCAAAGGGCCATCTGTTGCAAATGAGAGGAAACCTTTGTTGGGACAATCTAGAAACAGTGACAATTAATGATGATATGAATTGATATGATATATATATATACATAATATATGATAATTACATATAATTACCTTAAACATGCACGACATACTCTCAGACATTCTCAGACAGGGACGAAGGAAGCTGACGTGCTGAGGTCTGAGGTCACGCTACTATTCCACAACCGCATCCACAAACAATCACAGACATACTGTTGATTTCTTGACCTAAACAGAAGACAAGTCAAGTGGGCGTCCTTTGTCATCACTGCAACCCTTCCGGGACCGTGAGGTCATGGATGATCATTGGTAACGCCCAAGCAGTGGCAGTTCAACCCTTGCATCAAAATCCTGCAAATTCTCGTGGGGAAAGGTAAACAGGGATTTCAATAAATCCGCGGGAGTGCTACCCCAATCCGCGGGAGTTCAACCATCAGCCCAGGAGGATTTTGGGCTCTTCCTGCGTTGCCATGCGCCTGCTTGCTCCATTCCTCACCATTAAAGCTGCCGACAGCTCTGCCTGTTCCACGGTGCTGGAGGACAGTGGAAGTCAAGAATAATTGGGATGCTGATGTTTAACCGCACCCCCAACTTCAGAGTAGAAACAGCATTGTATCACATTGAAGTGCAAGCAATCGGCATCTATCTGCTGCAGCTTTTGCTGGCTTGGTTTTCAAAGCTAACTTTGCCAAGCACGGCGAGTTTGCATCAAAATCGGGAAATCACGACGAATCCAGTTGGGAAAAATTAACAAATCAGCTTTGGATGATTGGGAGCGCTCGATTTTGATACAAAATCCACTGGTGCAAAGCACCTGTAGTGAGACTTCATCTTGGAGTTTGATGAGCCACAGAGTCGGCAAACTGCAGCCCTTCCATGCCCTTCCTACGAGTACTGAGTAATGTGTTCCGAGCCCTGGCATGTTGATTTCTGCTTAGTATATAATTAGCATAATTAGCCAGTCCTTCTACAGAACATCTGAGCTATGTAGGTTTTGAGACTGCTACCGTCTACCGTACCCATCTGAACCTTGAACCAGGAATTGTATGGAATTGTGATAATCCCCACTACATTATGGAGGTAGCATACCCCCCCCCTATTAACGAAACGGGCGGTATGCTCAAAGCAACATTGCTTTGTTCCAGGACTTCAAGGACCTTGGGTCCCGGCATCACACATCTAAATCACGTGCTTGGCAAACAGCCACATAGTCTGGACAGCAAGTGTTGTGCTTGAGGCAGTCCTGGGGGCGTGACTTCAGCAGGGAGTTGCACAAACATGGACGAACACCGCATTGGGTTGGTTTGTGGGAACATTTATGGGAAACCATCATTTCATATCATTCCTATAATTTCTTCTAGCAAGCGAAGGGCTTTTCTTCAAAGCTTCCCTTTATCCACTTCTTGGAAAACAAGGTCGAACACCCACCTCCCAGTGCTTCACTCTCCGTCCTTGTTGCACTGGCAGTCATTGGCCGCTCGGTACTCGATGCAGCCAAAGACACTACATCTTCCCAAGGGCCCAGCGGGTAAGCCACAGGTGGCATCGTAGTCAGGGCAACAGTTGGAATGGTGATGGCATCCGGCATTGCACTGGCCTGACACCAATAGGGTGGCCCGAAAACAAAATCGCTTCTAACGCTTGAAATGGGTGACTGATGGTTTCTGAATATCCCATATGTATCCCATTATAGGCTATTCTTCTCAATTTCGGGATGGTCGCTAATCCCTTCTTCCTATTACTACAACTCCCAAATAGAAGAATATGGGATTGGTTTGGCACTTCCGTTTTTTTGGTTGGGCACAACTGGATTGTTAATTATGGTAATTGAGAATCAATAGGAGAATCAAATAGTGAAACAATGGGTTCAACCCCCTATTAATAAAAATAGATTGGCACCTGGAGGTTTTTTTAATTAGAGTCCCATCTCCCAAGTTTTATTTTTATCTTTATTATCAATTAAGGTGTCATTGGAATATTGGGGGAACGCCTCGAAATCCACTTTTTGACAATACTTTATATAGATATAATTATATAAATTTTAATAAGGGATTTAATCAAAATTGAAATCAAGTTTTTTATTTCTACTATAAAGGTTTTCATTGGAATATGAGGGGAAAGTCTCGAAATTAATCCAGTTTTTGGCAATATTTTCTATAGATTTCAATAAGGGATTTAATCAAATTTGAAATCAAGTTTTTGTTAAATCTTTATTATTAAGGCTTTCATTGCAATATTAGGGGCGCCCTGATACAAAATACCCCCTAGTAATAAAAATAGATCACCGTGTTTACCATTTGAGGGGAGCCGTTTTAGTACAGTAATAGGGAGAGAGGATTTGTTCGGCAGTGCCTGGGTTTTGAGATACCCAATTGAACATCAAATTCATCAAATCAGAACCAGTTTTCTCAAGGAATGCAATTGGATGTCTACAGTAGCTGCTCGCTGTATCTCCCTGTGCAAATTACTATCAAGGGCAGGGGGTGGAAAACGATGGGAACACCTTCCAAACAGCCAAGCTGTTTGCCAAGCAGCAGGGCTGCCCAGCAATGAATTTTCCACAGCCAATGATGGCGCAAGAGGTGCCAGAACCGTAGTGGCCATAGTGATGGGCCGCTTTTCCAGGGCTTCCCTTGCACTCTTCGTGAAAATCTTGGCAACAATTTCCATGGAGACTGCAATCGGCATTACCTGAGCCGAAAACTCCACAGATTCCCCGGTGACAGAAATGCCCGGCCCTTTCAGGTAGGATCCAGGTAGGAACAAAATGGATAATCTCTACTATAAAGATTATCATGTGGATATTCCCATGGCTGAAACACACCAACAGTTGAAGGCACCAATCTTTTTGACACCTTTCATGGAAAAATGGTGTGACTTCAGCCAATGCTGCTCGGCTTTATAGGAGCGAGACCGATAGAATGGTTCCTGGCAGAGCTTCTGAGCATCTTTTGCACATCGTTTCTGTATTCACCAAATCTTTTTGATTCAAACTGACTTACCTAAAAAACGTTCATATATTGTATACATAATGTATATATATATATATATACGTATAAATAATTATAAATATATGTTGATCGAAAGCTTGCCTACATCGACCCCAATTCCCTTCATTCCCTCATCATTCCCACCATGCGTCATTGGCAAGCATGAAATCGGCGATATGTCCCGCAGCCATAGGCTTTGCAGGTGGCATGCTTGGCGCATTTTTCCGCATAGTCATGACAGCAGGAGCCAAAAACAGTGCACTGCTTGTTACCTTCGCTCAGAACAGCAACATGGGACTTGGACGAAGATCAGCCATGATTTTTTGGAGTACCGCATTGATAAGTGGAACCGAGTGGAAGTAAAACCTGTTCAAAAACCGCTTGCTGATGGTTAGTGAATGGAGACTCCCAGTTCACGGATAATGATAGTCATTGATAATCTCCGTATATTGGGTATGCCAATTTGACTTGCACCCGCAGGAAGGGTCTTCCAGTATGAGTATAACCCTCCAGAATCATCAGCCAACAGTTCTTTTGCAACTGTTCGTCAGTTGAGGGCGGGATAACTCCAAAATACCAGTTAGTTGACCAACAAAAAATTGGATCACTGCTCAAGAGTATTAACCAGGAGAGTCCCATGCCTGAAAGGAGGGAACACACTCATTCGAAAGCTCTTTGGAATGAGATAGACTACAGAAATGTAGAAATGTAGAAATAATACATGACAAATCTGGCATATGCAGCGGGATACTCGATGCCCAACCAAATGTCCATTGCCGAGGTTGTTTTACTGAAGGTTCAAAAACATGTCGACAATCAACAGGTACTGTAAAGGAAAAACACGTCATGTGGTAAAACCAAGTATATAATAATTAATAAACCATCCCAGTCACCAACCATTTGGGGGTGGCAACAAACGCCAGCCCAGTACTAGGATGTACTAGGGTAGTTATAGGTAGAACACTCAATAATTATCAACAATAAATCGACTCCAATAGGATCGGCGCTAGTTTCTATTATTTGTGTTCAGCACAAAAAAACAATAACTTTCTTAATTTCAAATGGAGTAATTTTGAGGTCTCCCCTTTCAAGAACCACCAAAAAAATACTGCTTTGATTACCTGTGATTTACAGGACAACGGCATCTGTGACAGGAAAACGGCATATTTCATATATTTCATGGGAAACAAACATGGTAAACCGAGCCAAGTCGCAGTGACAACTTTGTGTCTTCTGAAAGGAACCGCAGCCATAGTGCGCACAGGACGCCCTGGGCGAGCTCTGCGCATGGCTTTCAGCTGCCGTCGATCTGCAGTGGCTCGCAAAGTCGTTGCAACAACTGCCTTGGGATGATTGGTTTTACATGGTTTTTCCTACTTGACTTCCCCTATATTTGGGATATAATGTATATGGGCGCATATTATATATATAATTATATATATAATTGTATATAATTAGACAATAATGCATGCGTACATATTAGTGCACATATATTGAGATGATTGGTTTACGAGATCATTGATCTGCACATAATAGGTGATTCAACTTAACCTACCAACATCATTGGGATAGACCAGATAGAACACCTTCAAATATGATGATGATTTCAATGGGTTGATTGAGGAAACATAGATAACATAGGAAGTCATATGAAGCCATACTTGTGACATGCTTGTATTGTGTTTCCATGTCTTTCCCTCCAAACATGGGGGTTTCTGTAAATTTAACTGCAACCAATTCAGGGATCGTTGGGATTGATTCGGATGGTACCATTATGAGTTTGCTTGTGGCCGTTATCCAAAACCTCATGGCACACCATGTTGCGCACAATCCACGCTTACGACAGGAGCGCTCCTGCATCAGCAATATTATTTTGTCTGAACATGCGGCAACCCCTTGATTCCAATGAGTAATGACGTGTCTCCAGTTTCCATTTTTTCCATTTCAATGAAACAAATGTGGGTACCCCTCATTTTTGGGACAAACTCAAATTTGATGGGCTTCAAAAGCTTAAAGACCACTCCACCAACAGAAAAAGGCTAAGTTGCCATGATTCAGGCACGCAGCGTTGCACTGGCAGGAGTGTCCTGGATTGTATGGTCCACCACATCCAAATTTCGCGCAGTTTCCCGTCACGACCTGTGGCAGTCACATGCAGTCGCAGTATTTCTCTCAGAATTCAAAGCTCACACATGTTCGAACTCCCCGGAAGAAAAGGTGTCCAAGTACTAAACAACTAAGTATATACTCTGGAAGAAAAAGTGTTCAAATAAATTAGCAGTTGAGGGAACAGCACAAGATGAACAACACAAATCGCACTGAAACCGAGACACGTTGGCCACTTTCTCCGCCGCCGGTGCTGCAAAGTGATGCACCGGCGCTGCAAAGGCGTGCGGCTTTGGCGTGGTCGGCGCCTCTGTTGGGACCTCCATAGGATTAGCTGGACGGAACTCTTCTTTGGAATTCCTGGCACACGGACGTCTCAAGAATACATAACAAAATCACACAAAACAATCGAAAACATTAGACTCTTTAGACCCCCAATGTAGAACACAAAGATCTGGAAATATCACAAAACATCTGTAGACTCGGTTCAACCTTTGATTTGTGAGGCTAGAAGCAAAGCAGTTCTCTCAAATTTCAACCACAAAAACAATCTTCTGAAGCAAATCGAGACTCATGCACACAGCTTTGAAGTCCGAACAACCTGGTTTTGAGTGGAATTGGAATCTTGGAGGGCTTTGGCCGAATGATCTGAACAATTCTGACGGAATGACAAAGTGGCACACAACGAACAATCATCTAGAACAAAGCAGGTTCTTACAATAGAAGCATGTCTTGAATTGCATTGAATTGCTATGTAATAAACATCAATTAACAATGCATATCAATACATTCAATACATCAGATATCATCAGATCCTTCTGGATCAAAAGCTTCGCCTTGGTGAGAATGAATGATTGTAGACCTGCCAGGCTTTGGGGATCCTGGAGATTCCTGGACTTCGCCGGGGTGCAATTGCCATAGGTCTCGCAGCCAGGAAAGCATTGACAGGGATCGCTTTCCCGATAGACTGCCACACACTTCAGCTGTTGACACTTTCCCAGCGATTCTCCGAGTGGAAAAACCATCAGCATCGCTGGCCACAAAGGACGCATGGCGGGCATGGCGGCGATTCCAGGGATGGGATATGAGGGGATCATCGCTGGCCACTAGTGTAAATAACTCCGGTATACTCCGGTTATCAAAAGGATGTCAAAAGGATGGATGTCCTGAGCCACAAAGCATTCAATGTGAGATCCCATGAGCCAGGCTTTCACTGGCGACTGCGAGGTTGTCGTAGCTCCTGAAGCATACCTTTCCGCCCAGGATGCTACTTAGACAATTAGACAACATTATGCTTCATGTATCATAAGTGAAGCTCGTCGCATCGGTAGTGAAGCCCCAGCAGTGTCCCAAACAAACCCATGTGGTCCATGAAGACCCAGAATTTTTTGCTTCGGACTGGAAATTTCAACCGGTGAATGACTCCGGTCTGGCCTATGCCCAAGATGTTTGCAGGCCACTCAAACCTCGACACAATGGCTTCAACAATCTTCAACATGTTTCAAGCGACAACGGCATCAACGGCTGAGACCGTTGCGAAGAGGCCTTTGGTGGTGCCTGGCGGAAAAACGTATCGTAGGGCACAGCATTGGAGTCATCAGCCCCTAATGGATATTGGATATCAATGGGCTATGCCCTGATTTTCCATGGCTAATTATGAGCCTCAAGAGGTAAATAATCTTGGAGTTTATTACATAATTTCTTGGTATCATGTAAAGCAATAAGATCCATCATCCACGATCTACCATCCACCATTTTACCATAAATACTGTAGATGGTATACAATGGACGTAAAATGGTATAAACATGTATAAACATCCTCAATCCATATGGCTGGTTTATGACTCATAACTTTACTAAGAATATCGGCTTGTAATGGCTTATATGGCTAATCACTACCCAAACTCGTCTGCACGGTGTAGCAGTCATCAGAGCTCTTGGAGCCGCACTGGTGTCTGCACGCAGCCTCAATGCCCAAAACACACCCCAAAACAGTCACTTACTCACTTACCATACAATCTACGACAATCTACAATATACATCAATATACATCTATGTGTTCAAAATCATTTCAACCATTTTGATTCCTTTTGATTCCTTTTGATTCCTTTTGGGGATTCGATCGAAATGTGGTGCATCTTAAACTCCCAGAGACATCGTCTCACAGAGTTTGCCCCCTAAAACCACTGGGCATCCCTGGCCATCGAGTCCCATTTGGGTATGGGTCAATACCTATAGATACCATGTTTAGTGGGATGAACATCCATAAATCCCAGCTATGACTTGGGGGTGAACAAAAGGTACCAGGGTTTTGACCCATCCCCATTTTTGGATTCATGTGAGTGTGTGTCAAATACATATAAATATTGTTGTGTCATATTGTGTCCTCAAGGTGAGCTCCATGATAAAGCAAACTTTGCAAATCCAGGATTGACACTATGATATCATTGATATCATAGCAGTACACAGAGTACCCCGCAAAGATCCGCAAAGCAATGCCCTTACATTCTACCTCCTAGATCCTTTTAGATTGTTTACCCATGATTGGCCAGCATCTGGGGCGAAACAACGAGTTTTTGCACCGTTTCTGAGGGTCCACACTCGAGGCATCCTGAGGCACCCCCAAATCATCCAAACTTGATCATTTTAATGGGAAACCAATAGGATTTGGGGTACCGTGGGGTACCAGTTTTGAGAAACACCCAAAAAAGGCCCATATCATCTCATATCATCATATCGTGGTTGAACACATCTTGAAAATGCAGGCAACGTGACAGCGTTCCGCGGGCCTTTTTGGGCGATGCCCCTTTCGACGCCTGGGCCGACTGGATAGCGAAGTGAATGAGCTCGGCTTGATATTCCCCCATGTCAATCATCGCAAACCTGTAGGTTACGGTTAGTGACTGTTGGTGATGATTAATCACTAGCCAAAAATATCACTAACCATCACCAATCTCTCCAGTCACACTTAAAGAAAGTCTTGCCATTAACCTTGCAGACTTCCGACCTGCTTGGGCACGTCTTCGGCATCCTGCAGAACATGTCAAGGCTCTTTTTTTCAGGATCAACCAGGTGCATCCCAAGGCATTTCAAAAATGGAACAAGACAATGTGCCAGGTCAAATATGGTTAATTCATGTTAATTCATGGTTAATTCATGTTAATTCATGGCATATGAGGCTATAATTACCACTATGAATTCCCATTAAAAGGAATGAGACTACCCCCTCTTATGGGTGTAATGATCCAACATTCGACCATGGCACATGTGAAACATGATCTCAGAGTGGCTCCTGAGAAGAATCGCTCCCACTGGATACTTCCTGCCACAGACCCACAAATGGAAGTTCTTTCTTGGAATGTAGATGTACACGCTGCATCAGGCAAGATTCATAGTCTCATAGTTTTCATGACCAACGTGTCTTGGTTTTTGCGCCCCAACTTCCCTCCAGATAGCTCGCCTCAGTCAGCTTCCAGTCTACCTCTGGACGGAAGCTTGGTTGCAGTATGTTGCATTATGTTGCAAAAGAGGTTACGGTTACAGTGCTTTCAAATCCTCCTCTTAAGGAAGACACCTGCAATTTTTCTCAAACACATTGAAATCCATCTAGCTGTTTGAATGTCCTTCATGGCCCCCGGGCATGCTGGGGGTCCACTGGGGGTCAACCGCTTTTACCTGCACAAGTTCCCCCGCCCAACCATAGCGAGCCTTATTGCCTTTTTGCTTCGTCTCCACCTGCCCGAATTCGGTCTACTGAGTCTACTGGGTCCTCAAGATCCGCACCTAGTTTACTCAAATTCTTGCGGGGAATCGCCTCCGGCACGTCCGAGGAACGAGCGGATGACCTTGGGCGCGGGTTGCAGGTGTGAAAGAATCCCTTTTGCTACTCTGGAATTGCCATGATCATTTCTGCAAAAGTGGTGCCCGAAGACTCCCTCAGTCCCTCAGACTGCATCAAACAGAGAGCGGCCGACGTCCACAACTTTCAACAACAACGTCGTGGCCATTTCAATGTAAAGGTCATGGCTGTCTTCGGAAACTAGGCGGCTGTATTCGGAAACCGGGAGCTCTACTCGGAAACATGTATTCATGTTCGGAACCTTGCCAGTTGTATTTGGAAACTTGTAATGTAGAAACTCAAATGGGCAGTTGCATTCGGAAACTAAGCAATTGTATTTTGGAACAGGAGCGAAGGAAAAGAAGAGTGAATCTCAAGTCGAGAAAGGGTTGCACATTTGACCCCATATCAACCCCTTGCTGCAGTTACACTCACAATGAATCCCAAGGCTTAGGTTCAGTGGGTGGCGCATTTGATCCCAAGGGCCGCAGGACGGTGGCCACCACTTTTCTTGGCGAAATCCTAATATAGTGTAGTTCAACTTGCCGGATCAAACATATGTACTATATATATATAATCTGTTTATTATGTATGTATGTATATATATATGTTTATATTAGGACATTTTAGGAAGAAGGATGAACCACCAAATATGATGCTCCAGCATGCTACGGCCCCATATCTCAATTCGACCGGGTGCCCTTGCGCTGTTGTGGACTGGTCAGAGCCTTGTCTGACTGCTGCCTGGCCGACCATGAGAGGTGTCTCCCTATGTTCCCTTTCAAAATATTGATTCTGAGATATTCTGAGCATTTCAGAGCACTGAACTTCCTCTGTGCCATAGGAAGTCCACAAAACACCACCATGCCTGCGAAACAGGTGGCGGCATCTGTGTTGCTGTAATTTTGCGAAGGCTGGGCCTCAGCTCCACTGAGGCTGAAGCACCTTCCAAAGGGGTCTTTTCCAGTGTCAAGATTTCCACAAAGTCTTGACTTATCCATGAATAGTATCAAACAAACTGACTAATTAACAACCCAATTAACTTACAAACAAACAATCTAACCTGATAACTGAAAAAAATCAAACAGAACTCCTATATTTCCGTCAGGTCTCGGAACTCCGGCTGTTCCATGGGTTCCGGTGGTGGCGTCTCCGGTGTCCGCGGCCGCCCCGGCGTGCGGGCGCCGCCCGGCGTGCGGGGCGCCTGGGACCCTTCCCCGGGAGGCACCGGTTGGGTGCTCTCCAGGGGACGTGCCACCGGCCGCGGCGGGCCACGAGGGTCGTGCCTGCCGAGAATCTGCTGGGTTTTCATTGATTTTCAACATTTCCATCCGCCATGAATAGAAAGGGTTGTATAAGATAGTATAAACTGATGTAAACTGTATAACCCCTCTATAATCATCATTCATTAACTGGGGTGCCCGAAAGTGCCCGATTGGGATAATATGGAGAATAACATATCTGAAACATTTTGAACATTTTTTGAAACCATCAATATCTGATGTCATTCTGTGCTCAAGTTCCATGAGGAACACTTACAAGGTGAGCATTTGGAAATCCCAGCCTTTCAATTTCAATGCCACCAACTATGAACACCCCAAAACCCAAGCCAGGTGAACACCAACTAGCTGGACAATATTACTGGGTTTCTCTGACCACAATGGGACCCCGTCAATTACAGTATGTGTCTTGGTTGATCGTCGTTTTCCCGCTGAAATTGCCATATTTTAAGATGATACATCAAAAACACTTGCACTGCATTTTCAGACAACAGTCTGAACCTAGGGTACCTCATGGTATCCCCAAATTTGATGTGGTATCATCATTTTCCCAATTTTTCCCAATGTTTTGGGGTACCTCCCATTTTCATCCCCGGACCTTGGATAGCCATGCCGCTCTCGGTGCTCCTTCACTGATCCAGGCCCAGTGTACCTGGGTCCATATACACAACCAACACATCAAACATTCTATTGATTCTAAATGTCAGATGATATGTATATACACGCGCAAGCGTAGAGGGTCCCCATTCCCAATCAAATGTTGTTGCAACTCTGCATTCCATTGGGAAGATCAACAAAGGTATTAGGGAATATTAAAATCCCACCCCCGTTTAACTTTACATTCAATTCGGAAGATCAACAAAGGTATTAGGGAATATTAAAGTCCCACCCCCGTTCAATTTTAAGATCTTCAATAAGGGTTTAATTCTCCCACCCCCGTTAAACTTTACATTCATTGAAGATCTTCAATAAGGGTTTAATTCTCCCACCCCCGTTAAACTTTACATTCATTGAAGATCTTCAATAAGGGTTTAATTCTCCCACCCCCGTTAAACTTCCACATTCATTGAAGATCTTCAATAAGGGTTTAATTCTCCCACCCCCGGCCCACCCCCGATAAACTTCTACATTCATTGAAGATCTTCAAAAATGGTTTAATTCTCCCACCCCCGTTAAACTTCTACATTCATTTTGAAGATCTTGAATAAGGGTTTGATGATGATGATGATGATGATGATGATGATGATGGTGATGGTGATGATGATGATGATGATGATGGTGCGTTGCCTGTCGTGGTTGCGGTTCTGGGCAAAGCCCAGGCATTTGCCGTATATATATATATATATAAATTTATTTACACTTGTTCTATATGATTTGATTATATAGTGATAAATACAGCTTATATAGAGAATGCATACCTAGTACAGTCCTTTGGTCATCTTTCAAATCACACATCACCGAAGGCAGCACTGGCAACTCCGAGGCCACGGCCTCCTTGCTGCCTCCATGGCTTTCTTGTCCGATTCCGACTGAGTAGCTGGGAGTGATAGTGATGAAGGGTGATGCAGTTGTGATGTGAAAACACCCTACAAGGATTGTTGTTTCAGTCAAACACAGTTGTCTGTTCCATCATCGTCATCATCATCAACAACATCAACACCTCTACAAACTACAAATTGCAACACGTTGCTTTGTCAACCTTCAGCTGACGTCTCTTTGTGGCTTTCCAAGCTGCGCACGCGCGTCTCTTGAGTGACTCCATCTGGCAGCTGAGTGGCCTCAGAACGTCTGGTGTTTTCTTCTCTGTTGTCACATCAATGCGCGGGCAGAATTCCCTTCGAAACCTGAGCATGTGCAACTCACCAGAAAAAACACGCCTGGGGATATCTGAAATTAACATATATAACATTTTTTTTTAAAAAAATAAACCATAATACTTGGGGGACCGCCACCTCGGTCAGCCAAGCTCCGTACATCGGCATGATCGACAACAATCATGGAACGCTCCAATGTTGAAATTCTTTTTGACCGTTTGCGGAAACATGTGCAAACTGAGATATTCGCGTTGCATCCATTGGTGTGTCTGCCAGTCGCCCGCACCCAAATGCCTGCATTCCGTTGTGGGATGAGGCTGTGTGCGAACACACTTTTGTATGTGGGGCTTGCAAAGGTGACTTGACTGAGCCTGAATCTGACTCTATAGTGCCTCAAGAAACCAAACATCACCAAACACAAGCATCTGAATTCAGAAATGATTCTCGCTGTTTTCGCATTCAAAACTATTGGAAAATTGGAAAAATGTCCTCAAATCAGATCCGGAAACTTGACACTCTTCCCGACACATCTAATGTCTGGGATGCCTCCCGTGTCATCCAGGTTCAACGCCATTTCGAAGCGGCGTTGTTTGTCTTTATTATGTGACCTCAGCTCAGTGATGCACCGTCGGTAATGACCGGCAATCAGCAAGACACGCGCACAAATATATATATATATATGTATATGTGTGTTAGCCCCCCTAAGATCCACCTTTAATGCTCTTCCAAAACATGCATGTTCAAACTCAATGCGTACTTCAATTAGGCATGCAGATCCCTCTTGAAATTAAGGTTAAGGGGTCGCACCCAGCTTCTTGTAAGCATGGAATCATGGGATTTCCAAAACCTTTATAGAATGGATGGGTTTTCGGGAAGTTGGGCCCTTGCAAAACACATAGGTTTTTGCACCAAAATATGATTCTGAAATCCCACAGCACTTTGTAAGGGGACAACTTTCTTCATGATGTGAATGTTGCATCACATGAGATGCCCTTTTAAAAGAAATCAATATTTCTGATAACATTTTTGGATATCAGATTGTAAGGAAACAATTTCTGGTTTTCTGCTAAATTTTTGTCCTGGTTCGTTGATTTTCAGGCATTTGTTTGTAAGGATTACTTTTCTTTTTGCACTGAACGCAAACTGTAACAAGTTGCCATCCATTTGCAAGTATTGGCAAGGGCAATGGCACACCCAGCTACGAATCTAAGGATTTTTTCTGCTGTTTCAAAACGGTATCTTGAGCTTACAAAATGCGTCGAAAAACCATGCTCGATGGTCTTATAGACTGAGTTGGTCCCTAAAAACTCTTGTAACATGAACACTTCAAAATGTACACCTTTGCCTTTTAGGTGTCCTGTTGCAAAATGCCCTGGTGCAGGGGACTCTTGCAACTACAAAATGCACCTTTATAACGCATTTATAAGAGGGTTGACCCCTTCCAAAATATAAGGGAAAACTTGACCAGGATGTTTGCAGTGAGTTTGATCAGGCAAATTTTCCAAGGAAGATGTCAGCAATTGTCATTGGAATACATACAGTACAGTAAGTGCATTTGATGGGACGGATGTAAGGACGGAAAGATAAATAAAGATAAATGTTTGTTAATGAAAAACCAGCCTTGATATCCCTACCCCTATAGAGGGGGAGGGCGGGGGGGCTTCTCACCCACATACTTTTCACCCATGTGCCTTTTACCCACAGACTTTTCACCCACAGACTTTTCACCCAGATATTTTTCACCCACAGACTTTTCACCCACATACTTTCCTTTTCACCCACGTACTTTTTACCCATTGACTTTTCACCTACATACTTTTCAGTCACATATTGTTCACCCACATACTCACCCAGGATTTTTTTATCCACATACTTTTGACCCAAAGACTTTTCATCGACATAGTTTTGACCCACAGATTTCTCACCCACAGGCTAGAGACGTGTTGTCCAAAGAATTTTCTTTGATGGTGAACTGGTTGTAGGTCAATCTGGTTTCCTTTTGTTCACAGCAAAATAGCTTGGATTGGGGTTTCAATGGGGTTTCATCCCCCATCATACCATCGCTAAATCATGGGTATTTCAATCCATCCCATCATCCACGAGTCCGCCATCTGAAAAAAGCTCTGAGTACGCCAGCCATTCGATGACTTCCACCAGGTCCTTACTGCACCATCGGCCAGCAATCTCGTCCACTTGCAGCACCGCCTGGCTGCAAAAATGGGGGGATTTCTGTTGGAACCTTGGAACCAAATGAGAGAACACAGATAGAAATGGGGTTTCGTCAATCATCATGTTCACCATTTAATAGCTATATTTTGATTTACCACATTTTCAGACAGACCCATTGCTGACATCCCATCACCATCTTTCTTATTTGAATCTAATGAAGTTTTTCCTCCCAATTCTTCCCTCAAACTTTTCCGATCCCCAGTTTCTTTGGTTGAATCCAATCTGCCAGTTGAATCAGTTCAATCTCCCAATGTTCCTTGGGATATCCCCATGTTTCTTGCTTGAATCATGTTAGTTCTCCCTCAATTCTTCCCTTGGTTTCCAATCCAATCACCAGTGGGAGGATGGGGATAGCAGCTAGAGGATACCAATCCAATTCCCCATTGAAAAAGATGATCTTCATTTTTTGAAACCTCCATTATTAGTGGATTAATAGATGATTTATAGATGATGTTCATTTATAGATGATGTAATTTAGTGGATTTCCCATTGCCTCCCATGGTACGAAGCCATCGGCTCGCATCGACGGGACTTGGCGATGTCGCAGCACCATGCTGAGGGCCTGGAGATGGCCCTGGTAAAACCAGTTCTGATTGGATCATTTGATACATAAAATACACATAATATGTTTATCATATGAAATATATCAACATACATCTATATCATTCGATATCTTTTCTGTCCACACAGCATCCATTCTTTTCTGTGCAATGTTTGTTAATTTTGTTATACTGTTATATATGTGTTGTCAGATTGTCGAGATCAAAGCAGGTGAGGCAATGGCGGCAACTTTTTCGTGGCGCGCAAGCGCCCCGCCTTGCTGCCTCGTTCTCTTTGATCTGTCAATGGTCGCCTGTTGATCAGTCATAGTCAGTCAACTATAGGTGTATACATATACTGTCATATACAAAATGATCTACATATAATTATAGTTAAACATACACACATGCAACTACATATTACATATAACTGTATATATATATATATATGGTTATATAGTTATATATATATATATTATATACATTATATATAAGCATGATGGTAATATATATATATGGTTATATAGTTATATATATATAATATTAATCAGCCAGAGTCAGTGAACAATGGAATTCTTGGTCATCCCTCTGTGCTTTTCCCACCTCTCTGGCCGATCCGATCGCTCATGACGATCCCTCCGCCGATCGTAGGTGCTGTAGGTGCTGAACCTGGCTTTATACTCGACGCGCCGTGCCATTGAACTGGTGAACGGGGATTAGGATTTTATGGTGAAAAAAGAGGGAACACATAAGGAAATTCATGGACATCATGGGAATATTAGATGATTCAGTCGATTTCTTTTGGAGAATTCAGGTGTTTTAGACATACATCCGTCCTGAAGCAACTATTGAGGTTCTTTGAGGTCATTACAATTTGGCTGCTCCACGTGTCTTTTGTCTTTTGTGAATTCATACGATTCCTATGTCTTCCTTCGACTGGGCATGATGTGATACTGCAAGGCGAGCCAAAGAAAACGAATGGATGTTCTATCTCTCAGCTTTATCCATATTTATTTGACCCGTAAACACTCGAGCCATCTCGAGCCTCTTGTCCGAGGGTGGCGATAAAGGCTCGGGCCTCACTGAAAATCAACCATTTCCAGTTCGAGCAGCTTCTCTTTCATCTTAGATCGAGACCCAGGAGGTTCCACATCCATCCTGGACGGCCAGTTTCAGCCTTTGGTGGATCATTTGAATTTGTATAGAAGAGCTGGTCACTTAAAACCAGAGGTACATCCCCTCTGCTTGAGAGTACCTCTCCCCCAAATAGCAGCCATGAGTCATAGGGATCGATGGGTCTGGGACCTGATAGAAAGAACACGAACGTGATTTGCACTGAATGGTACCACGACGTCCAGTCGAGCAAAGGCTTTCCAGTTTGATTGGTTTTCTTGGTTTGACAAATGTTTGTTTCAAGAGCTTTAGAGAAATGTGTATCTATGTATCCAGTATTTATTTATTTATATATCTAAATATATTTAAATATATCTAAACAATACAAATGGAACTTGTACAAACATGTTGCTACTCCTATGGCGCCATCAATTTCTGGCGTTCAATCTGCTCCTGGCCTTCCGATTGCTCAGCTCTGAGTCTGACCCACTGCAGTCACTGCACAAAAAGTCCCACCGTGTTGAGCGCCGTGGCTTGAGTTCAAATGCCACATAACAACACGCAATAACATGCCACATTTGAGATGAATGCACCCTGGCTTGATGGCTCTGAATTTCACCGCCACTTCTAGTGTTTGATCTCGTACTGGCCGAAATTGAACTTTGATCCCTGTGTTATTTTAAGCTATACAGTTAAACAATGTTAAACATGTATGTACCATTTGAATTTAGTTCAATCTATTCCAACCCAGGAGAAGTCTTATTCAAATATACCCACCTGATGCAGCTTGGCACACAGCACAACCCCCACCATCTTTCGGACGCGCTTGTGTGGACAAAGGTTGTCCCCACTCCGACTGTTCTGCCGGGGTCTGGCCAACAAGTTACTAAGTTTGGGCTGCCAGCCAGACTTGGGCGCGTCTGGAAGAGTTTTGTGGACAGAAACATACCTCAGTGCTTTTGCTCTGGATAAACAAACAACTTATCAAACATTCGCCCGTTCAGCTTGATTCAGAGCGAACCAATTTACAACACCGGTAAAAAAATGAAAATCACAGGAGGATGGCTATCGAGCGGGTATACATGAATATCAATCTCCATAATAATTAATTATAATTCCAGCACATCTATATATATATAGAGATTTATAGATTTTTGTACCTCGTATCTCATAGCCCTGGCTAGCCTTGGCTCTTTTAGCCACGAGCTACATCTTTGTAAGCTCAGCACGCTAGGCGCAGGGCAGTCACAGGTGACATGCCATGACCAGTGGTTCAACCGGTGTTTCACCCGGCAATCACTTCCCTTTGATCCCTTTGATGCTTTCTGGGAGGTACTCGTTTACACCATAGCAGCTCTCAGTCATCGACAGATTCGCCAGACTACGGTACTTGTACCTCCGCCAGGCTGGAAAGGTCCAAGTCCAAGATGGTCCAGGTGTAACGTGCACCAGAAACTGGTGGTCTGTCTTTTTTGCGAAGTGGTAGCAATAATAGCAATACAATGCAATGCATATTAATCATATATTATACATTATATATTATTATATTATTATATGATATTATAGTACTATTATATGCTATTATATGCTATTATATGCTATTATATGCTATTATATGCTTCCGATTCCAGTTGTCTCTTTTCATGATGAGCTCCGCGCCAGGCTTTCACCTGCTCCGTTCGAGTCTTGTTGTAGCCAAAGGCCGAAGGGATCAAGCCCTGCCAGGTGTATCGATGATCAACGTAGCAACATGTGGCAACAGTAGTTCAGTTCAGTAAACCTGGGAAAATGGGTTTAGGGTTTTGGGATGTAGGACCTTTGGACCCTTCCACTTGCTTCTCTTGCTTTGCTCTTTGGGAGCGTGAGCCACCTTGAGAATCTAAACATATCCAAACTCTACACTCTTGCAGTATTATAAGAGTATTCGGAATCTCCATTGCAAGATATTGCAAGGAAGCCCATGACATTGTTGAGGACATGTATTACATACAGTACTGCAAAATGCACATCAGAGTTTCGGATGCCAAACTGACAGACCAATGAACTTGGTCAACAATTGTGAGTTTAAACGTATACCTGACTTTGAAAAAACCTTGTACTGGTACTTGTCAAGTCAATGTTTCGCTGCACTGCACTCATGATTCCCGGTCTTCTTCTTTCTTTTGCTGAATCTATTCAAGCAAAACAACAATGTAACAACAAGACTTCGTCATTACTCAAAGTTCCGACGTGACCTCGTCTCTCGGAACTAGAATCGCAAACCAATTCTCTCTTCCAGATCTGAATCCATCTGAATCCCATCTATCCTGTGGCCATCTGTCAGAATATGTCAGAATGCTCCCTCTCACCTTGTGTCTCTCGACTGGCGGCTGATCCAAGCCCACTCGATCCAGAGCTTTGCTCATCACATGGATCTGCTCCTGTCGTGACGATGCAGCTGTTTTCAATTTTGGAAGAATTTCATCAAAAATATGTTTGACGCCATGATCTACAGTATCGCCGTAGTGTGGCTAGCCTTCCATCCATATAAGTCTATATAAGTCTTAATATATTTCTGTGATGGTTCCTGGTGGTTGAGTGCCAAACTCACTACGAACCATCCCTGCTTGTTATCATCCCCACGCTGCACCGCCTGCACCGGCACCGCCCCTGGCCTTCTGCACACCACTTTCCAGTGCATAGGCCTTGTCTCGCTCACGGTTGAAGCGGACGCCTGGACCTGGATATGGGTGTGGCATGGACGAGTGGGCCCTAAAAATGGCCGCTACTTTTTCAGATTTTATAATATATATTATAATCATTTTCAGATCTAAATCTGTAAACATCTGTATAAAATATCATATAATTCTGGGCGTAGATCATGTTGAGCCACTCTTTCCATCTTTTCACAACCACTGACTGTCAAAGCTCGAAAGATATTTGATGATATTGTAGGTATTTTACCAGAAAATTGGAACGGATCCTTATATCCACTTATTAAGCGACCTCATATCTCATACGTGGATTTGCTTGAAAAATGGCTACGCCAGATGGTGTGTCATCATCTTCTCTATTCAAATTGCAATTTTGGCTCATGTCATTCGCATGTCCCGTTTTCAGACAGACCCCAAATCAATGGTCATTTCAGGATCCTAAATTGGAGGTACTGTACCATATAAGGCCATATTTTGTGGGGATATTCACTTACATATGCCTTACATAGGCCTTATATATGGTAGGTACCTCCAATTTAGGATCCTGAAATGGCCATTGACCAAACAGTATTGTTGATTGTGTATACCCACCATGATATCATATTGTATTGTAATATTGTATCCCCATAATATTACCTGGATCGTGTGCCCCCATAAAAAACCACTGCTTCGGGATGGGCCAAACCGGGCCAAACACCCCTACCCCTTATACCTCAAAACAGCTGGGATTCAATGATCATCCCCAATGGTGTTTATCCACTCCATCTGGGCTCATGGCTCATCGTAGGTGGGCTATGACTGTAGCCCAGTTATCACTGCACTAAGCCTACTGACCCCACTTTAATAAGTGACTGAGATGAGCCCGACCTGTCTGTTTCAGATCTGAAGAGAAGGTGCCCACGTCGCAGTCTCCCGAGTCCAAGTAGTACAACACTCCCTGGAACGATGACCCTTCACCAGATGTACAGAGGGGAAGATCCATGAGCCCCAGCCATTTTCAGGTAAAGGGGCATGGGTACAGGCTTTTGACCCATCCGAAAATAGTGGTAATTCAAGAAACTTATGGAGATATTTCACGCGTACATGGGGATATCACCAACAATACGATATTTGGGTGTGTCCGAAAATGGGTATAGCCCCGAAACAGCAAATCTTTATAAATCTTTAACAGAAAAAAATGATGATCAACCATCAGATTTGGGAGGTCACCATTCTGTAGCCTATTTTCAGACAAAGCCATACAGATTGTGACAGGGAATGACCGGGATTCTTCACCAGGTGAGATCCGATGAGATCCCGTTATTTGAATTTTTTCATGAATATGTTAATCATACCATGTACATATATATATATATATAGTATATATAGTATATATATATATTATTATATATGATATATATATATATGATATATATACACATATTACATCATATTACATTCCCCCCAGGTTTCACAGCATCTCAAGCTCACATTGGCTGACCTTTCCATTGGGCTTGCCATGGATGTCCAGAGTTCCAGCATAGAGGTTGCCTCCCGCGCAACCTGAGCAGTGGCAGCCCCTTTTTTGAGGTTTTGAAACTTAGCATATGTCTCTGCTCAACCCCTATTTTTCTCCGCGCTTGATGGAGGTTGAGGCTATGAGGCTCTCCTTGGTCAGTGAATTCTGCCAGTGAATTCTGCCTGTTGGGCCATGACCGCGCAACTCCTAGCCCTCCAGGAGGTGACAAAGCGGCAATGGCTTCTGCACACATGCAATGCACATGCAGTTGATTTTGGCTTTCGAAAACTGGGATCATCAATTGACCACCGTGGACGGGATACTGAAATGTCAACATCAGCTGGAACGCTATTTTATGCTATTTTAAGTCTTGAAATATCTTAAAATTCTCCGGTTTCGCTCCGAACAAGCGCTGTTTGCTTCGCTGGGCACTCGCTTCGAGCCGCCATCATTTGGAAGCACAGTCTAGGCAGGTCAGTGTTCAGGAGGACGGTTGCCAGGCGGTAACAGGATCCTTCGACCGGGGAGACGAACCGCAAAGAAATGGACACTTCAAATGGCATGACATTTATATTTACATCATCTACCTCTGCTTGCGGTCCTTCATGTTCCAGCATGTTCCAGTCGAACTTCGAACGGTCAAAAGTCAAAACATAAAGAAACCAACAAAAGAAACAAACAACATCACAAATCCTTGCTCACAAGCCAGAAGAGCGCTGTTGGAGCCGATGAGGTTATGCATCCTCGGCTGCAAGACTGGTCATTTTTGGAAACATGATGAAACATGCAGTTTGTGTAGTTGTCAATTTGGTCTGTCAAGATGCTGATTTTGGATGATTTTGGGGGCTACAGACTGAAACACATGGAGAGACAGCGAGCCTGCACTGTTGAAAGTTGTTTGCTGCGTCATCCGTCACACTAATCATACTAATAAAAAAGTACAAAAAATAATATAAGTATCGCCCGAATTGAAAATTCTGAAACTCAGCAAATTAAGCAGATCAACGAGGCATCTCTTGGAATCTCTGATTTGCACAGATATAGGTCTCATTCCTTACCATTTCCCCAGCCGCCCGCCTGTTTCGGACCATGCTCTCGAACAAGATCAACGCAATTGGCCAATGCGCGGATTGCACGGCTCGCAGGGCACTGTTATAGCTGATGATATTAGGGAGGACTTCAGCTACCAGCATCACCTGAAGTTTCACAACTCGAATTGGGAAAGGCACAGTATGCTGAAGACATGTTCGGACGGTCAGCACCTGTGTCTCCGGCCAATGTGACCACTTTGGGGGCAAAAACAATCAATCTGGCAGAATCTTGTATTCCGCTGAAAGTAAACCTCAAAGAGCTTCGCTATGGATGCTATGGCCAATGGCCGCTAATTGGCTGACCATACACTCCACCAGTCCAGCCAGGCCTCGAGAAGCCGAACTGCAACACGCCATTGGTGCCGTTTTTCGCTGGCGCTGATTGCACTGCTGAAACCGATCACATCAGGCACCCTGCCACGGAGCGGAGTCGAACACAGGCTCATGATGGCCCATGTTTACTGGTTTCTGGCGCAGTCTGGCGCCTGTTCTGTTTTGACAGCTCCATAGTATTCAATAGTTCCATATATAGTTCCTATATCTTCCAATGGCCCATCCCAGATCAACAGTCGAACCAGTGGTAGGCTTGCTGCTGAGGTGCAATCGCACAGCTGACATCATCTGCAGCAGCTGCAAACTGCTTTGCCAGGCACCACCCTTTTCACAGGCGCTGATGCCCGTGTTGAAGGACACCTCTGTGCTGTCCTTCGGATGTTGCACAGGAAGACATGGCTTGTAAAGACAAGTAGAACCTTCCAAGTTGCAAAACGAGCTTCGAAGGGTGCTCCAAACATCTCCAGGTACAAATTTTCGTGGACCATCCCTCCCGTCCCTTCCGCCTTTCCATCACCCCATCTCCTGTGGCAAAAGTCGCAAGGCATGCCGCCATCGTCCCAGGCCTTCACAGGCACCCATAGCCACATGCCGCAGCCTTGCACTGCCCAGGTCCAAGGACTGCAAGGACCGGCACCACTGCGTGGCACGAGACAAAGCCATGCTGGACATGGTGAGGCTCGTGTCATCCAACCTGGCCATGGCTTTTCTACATCCGCCGATCTCAAAGAAACAGGACTGGCCACAGAAGAAACACCAAGGAGACAGTCAGACAGTTGGCACGCCGCTGCATGTGCAGGATGCTTGCTGGAATATGCTGGAATGCTCTATACTGTCTATACTAAATATCCGAGCTCAACCCATTGACCGCCCCTTGAAAGCTGGTGCCTGAGCCCCAGAAAAGCTGTGCCAATTAGCTGAACAGCCAGTTGCCAGGGTCTAAGTCCAGTTGCCGCGGAGGAATCCGAGCTGAAAGAGTTCAGAACTGTGTTGATACCTGGCCACTCACCCACTTCAATCAATTCCCGAGATTTGGAAAGAGCAAAAACCCATGGAAATCAATGGACATCATCTTCCAAAGGGTCAGGTGAATAAGTTTAAAAAAACATGCAAAAGCAAATTGTCAGCAGCTACCAAAGGACCATCCAATGCAGCCATCCTAAGCCGAGCTACTCACCACATCTGGCACCAGCTGCTGATTCCACAGGTCCTTCAGCAGCCAGAGGCTCCGGTGCCAAGCGCAGGCGGACAGCGCTGCGTTGCAAAGCACCAGGCTACACTGCAGCCGAGCCGTGCCGATGCAGTGTAGGAAATGCAGGGCCCACCTCCATTGCCTAGGGAAATCCAGGTGGCTACCTGGAGGATCACCCAGAAATGACTGCTTATATTGCTTGGAAAGTGGGGTTATATAATGTTATCTAATATTATATAATGTAGTATTATTGTGTCATATGACATCATATAACTTATAAGCCACTTGGAAAGGGGATAATTGTAGCTAGGGCACTTATGAACCAGTGTTATTGACAATTTGCTTCAAGTAGGTACAGTAACTCCAAGGAAGCTACCAGGTAGGATTGCTTGGAACTATTGGAGATTCATTAAACATCATTAAAGTATATCGGAATGATATGGAACGATGGAGTTGCTTCAAAGTAAAACCAAACTCACTGAAAGGCCCTGTCCTCTTTGCAAGTCGAATCAATTTCTGGTTCCCTTTTGCAACAATTTGGGGAATAAGGCTCAAGGACCTTCCATCCATCCATCAACCATCATCAATCCATGTATGCGAATCCACTTCTCCAAGTTGCTGACCATCTGCGCAACTGCGAATGATGGTGCCGAATGTCACCAAGTCAAAGTTGATAGTTTGATCGATGCTTAAGCGCTGGAGCCACACCAGTGCCTGCTGCCAACTGAGTGTGCTCAAGAACCTTGATTCGTTTCGGCTGACAATGCACTTGGACAGGCGAAAGCCAGAAGCGGGCAAATGTTTGGGTTGAAGACTCTGTCTGATGTTGCTACACCATGCTAGCTGCTAGTAGAATAGTCTAGAGTGATCTTGAGGGTATCCTGTCAGCTCGCCGAATGGAGCTGTCGACAAGCCACGTGTTGTAAGTCACCATGTTTGCCTGCACTTGTGACGATGCCATTTGCAGGAGAATATGGCTGGCACTTTGCCATTGCGCTCCATCCATGGATTTTAGGAGCAAGTTGAACCCCAATACCTGCGCCAGCGAGGACAGGACTTCCAGGCGGACAGGCCTAGGGCCTAGTTCAAGTCCCCCTGGGAAAAAAAAACAGCAGGGTCAATAATATGGCAGTGTGTCAAAACCTTGTACCCCTAGTGAACCCCAAAATAGCTGGGATTTATGGATGTTCATCCCCCTAAAAATGGTATTTTCATAGGTATTGATCCATAGCCATATGGGTTTATCTTGAACCATAGCCACTTAAGCTCCAAAATCCATCAAAATCCAGCCCAGCCGAGCTGCCTGAGACTCAGAAACTGCCAGGGCCTGCTGCCACAGGAGAACAGAGGCATAGCTTGCCGACAATGCAACCTGCGAGTCCTCAACATGGGGATCAGAAATCAACAGAAATCAACTTCATTGCCAAAATTTGCCAAAACCCTTTTGGATCTTTTAGATTCTTTTAGTCATTTCTTTGTATTGAAGCATCCAAGAGGCGTCCTGGAAAATTTCCTTTACACGCATCACCTTTTTGGGGTGTTAACATGTGTTAACCACTACCGAAGCACCAGCATGACCCAGCATGTATATTATCAGCCGGCAAAAAACATCAAAAAACGATGCAACTCAGGTCATGCCTAGCGATGTGGAAGCACCCAGGCCATGTTGCTCCCCCACATTGAGGAAACAGAAACAGACCCACATGGTCCAGCAGGTCTCCTCTGGTAGAGATTGCAGCAACTCCAAAGCAGGTCGCCAAGGGCCTGCAACAGCGTAAGATCATAATATCTTGCGGGGGGGTCTTAAAGATTCGTAAAGTGGGGGATCCCAAAATGTTCCAAACATTGTCAATAGATGCTGTTTTCCAGAGGAAAACCATTGCTTCGGGAGTTGCGATTCGCCCCGAACACTGCTGCCTGACATGGCAGCCTGACGAAGTCCCAAGGCATCAACACGCAGCGAGCGTGAAGGCATTGCCTACGGGCGGAATTTGCCAAATGGGGATGGCTTACCCTCTGGTAAACTAACATAACTATGGAAAATCACATTTTTTAATGGGAAAACTCACTATAAATGGCCATTTTCAATAGCTATGTTAAATTACCAGAGGGTAAATTCACTCACCCCTCAAACAAGTTGCTTTGACACATTTCGACCAAGGCTAGCGACCAAGGTTTAACACTTTTTGAATCGTAACTTGACCTAGGCTGCTGGTCATTGGTGATTCTCTGATCATCCAACTCAGAAATCAACAAATGGCAGGAATCAGACCAGGTCCGGGTCACCAACTCCTTTATCAACTCCTCTATATGCGTCAAACTAGGCTCTAGGCTTAGCTGAATGAGCTTTGCTGCTTTTACCCGTGTGGCGGAAAGTCAAGTACCACTGTTCAGTTTGGCACCTTACCTTATTATCATTTGGATATATTTGGATCGCAGTTGAGTCGAGTGTGATACGGAGCTGACAGCTAAGTTGCTTGAATCAGAGCATTCGCCCATCGCCACTCTGTGGCCCCAAGACTGTAGCTAACTGTGTCTGGCTGGACTTCCAAAGATGGCATTGCCTGTGGTGCTGGCTGTAGAATCAACCCCAAGTCGCTCAGGCTCAAAAAAGGGGTTCCAACGGATCCGGCAATAAAGGGCATAAATATCTAATCATCAAATTTGGATGCAATAATTTGGAGTCATGGCGGATTGGGATTTATGGTCCCATGATTTTTGACAAGTGCTCAAACTTCCGAGACAAGGGATAACGGGATAACTGACATCTGCATCGAGGCCACGCCTCAAGAATTCTCAGAGCAAGTTCCCAGTGACCCTTGAGGCTATTCAGGATCGAGTTGTATGTCATACGATTTGCTGAAACAATCCTCAGCATGGCGCCGCCGGCCCAATAGAAATCACACAACTGCAAAGAAGCATTGTACTCATCTGTAATCTTTATCATGCCACTTTTTGTGGTTCATCAAGTCATCAAGTGCCAACTTTTCAAGTCCAAGGCGCTGGACACGCATGGACATCAGTAGGGCATGGCTCCGCGGCCAATGTTGGCCACAGCTCCTGCCGGCCATGGACATATATATCATGGAGCTTATGGTTCTCCTGAGTTGACTGAGTTGACGTTAGATATAATATATATAATATAGAATAATATATAGAATAATATATATATAATATAATATACTGTATAATAATAAATATATATATATATATTATAAATATGTATCATACATGTATTATATAGTTATATATTAAATAACTATATGTATTATATATTATATAATATATATAATGATATGTATTATACTACATGATAATATAATATAATATGTATATACAATTATATAATATATATATAATGTATAATATATTATTCTATATATTATACTACATGATAATATAATTTTAATATAATATAATATAATATAATTTTAATATAATATAATATAATATAATTTTAATATAATATAATATAATATAATATTGTATATATATATATATACGTATGTAATCGTATGTATAAATGGGATTGCCCCACCTGATGACTGCCTCGAAGGTGACCCTGTCCATTACGATGTCTGACTGTAGGCTGGCCATGCAGAGGTCCAGGGCACAGTGCCAGTGTTGGGCGGGAAGGATGGCACTGAAGGTGATCTGATTGGGAGGGATCTGCACCTGGCACATGGATGGACATGGAACGAAGAAAGTAACATGCTACAGCTGGTACACCAATTTCCATCAGTTTCCATCAATTTCCCTATTCTCAGCCATGATCTGCTGATATCTGCTGGCAATTTCCAGGTCCAACCCCCCCAATCTCTCCATTATCTGATCAGAAAACTGAGGGAAATCCAGCCATTTTTTTGGGGGTCCGTTGGGCCTTCTCCATGGTCAGCAGCAATTGGACGCTCGTTGCCCATGGCATGGACTTTGGCATGGCGAAGCTTCGGACGTCTCGACGCAGATCCAGCTGTGGCATGTCCCACCTAGGCCCATCGGATATGATGATAAAGTTCATGGAGTTTGTCATTGAACATACATCTGACATACACCTTCTGCAAACCAGTGACTTGGAAGAATGAAGAGTCTCTTTGAAGATTCTTGAATTTTCTGCAGTTTCAAATGTGGCCATTCAATCTGTCTCAGTTCTTGTCCCGGTCACAACAATTGAAGGGACTGCCACCACACAGCACCGCAGGCACTGATTGCAGAGTTCAGACTTATCTCATCAGTTCGAACAACCACCTGGAGCCATACAGATTTCCTCCGTTGAGGAGTTGTGGTCAAGAGGCCAGGGCTTGAATAGAAACGTATAAGAGCGGTCAGCATGGTCAGCAACTCATCAAACACTCGGAAATATGCATAATATACAAACTAGTATCATATATCATTAAATATGTACGCTCACAATCGTCTGTACAAGCATCCCATCAAAATAAGCATAAATAATCAACAGTTTCCAACATATCACAGTAATTCACAGTATATTAAGTCACTACAGGTGGCTGGTCACATTTCTGTCAAATCCATGACTTCGGAGAAAACAAATAGCAGAGCAACCAAATCCAGGAATCTTCCCCGAAGCTACAGACATTTTAATCCATTTTACACTTAGCACAAATCAATGCAACTCAACCATACTAAACCACTTGACTCGAATGATTTTTGTTTAATCATGATGTATCGTAATGTCACATAATTATGTCACAGTAATTATGTCACATTCCGTAGCAAAGCTTTCAGCATCTTCCGGCATTTCCCCCACTGCGGCCTGCTGCATTTCTCGAAGAATCGCCAGCGCATCGCTGGCCGATTTTTTCTGGGACTTTGGCAACTTTCCAAGGCGCGGGTTGTAGTGACGCAGTGAACGCCTGGCACAAGTTTTGTCCACATTTTGGGGGAATTTAATGGATTTTAATGGATTTTAATGGGTTTGATGGATTTTAATGGATTCTACCTGGATTCTAACTTGCATTTCAATGGATTGTAATGGATTCTGATGGATTTTGATTCGATTTTGCTTGGATTGAAATGGACTTCCGGGGATGCAAGAGATCTTTCCTGGTGGGATGTCAACTTTGAAAGACATTGGTTGCATTGCAGTGTGCTATGATGTGTTTTGGCAGGGTTCAAATCATAACAAATCACCAATCACCATCAACCATGATGGATCATGATGTAAACCAGTGGATTTTTGGGTACTCCATTTTTAGACAATGGCGATCTGTTGGATCAGTTGCAGGCTGCACTTCCGTGAAGGCACCTTGGAACTTCGCACATCGGATTGCCCAGCCGCCTCACTCAGCATGGCTGTAGCCCTCGCGTGGATTGAACTAAGAAAGGCAGGCAGTGCTGGCATTCCTTGAGCAAAACGCAGCATCTGTCAAAAGTACGCCCTTCGTGTGTGGTTTCATATTCTGGATCTGGTCGCGGCTGTATGACAATACAACATTTACATCCAGTTACATCCAGTTACATCCAGTAAGATCCAGTAAGATCCATGTATCCAAACGATCCTGTTGATTCGTCCTGAAACGCATCTCCAACTTTTCAAGCCCCTGGATCCTCAGCTCTGGACCGTAGTAGCCATAGAAGGGGTGAGGCGCCTCATGGCCCATGGAGTTCGATGATTTCCATGATTTCCCTACTCAAAATGGTGATTTTCCATAGCAAACTGTGAAATTATCAGAGGGTACATCCCTTTCCCCATTACATGGGCCATTTTAATCACATTAAATCACCATTTGTTTAGTGGGTTTTGAAGGCTGAGTATACAAACCTGGCCGAATCATCTGTAGTCTGTTGGCTTTGAGACACTGCACTATCCCAATGATCCTATCGCAGCACTGCCCGGCGGGGTTTCTGGACAACAGTACTTGGGGATATATCCCACTTCGTAAGTGGGTAGAATATAAGCATAATTATTGTAATATATTGTATATATTGTAATTATACCATATTATACCCGAGTTTTGTAGCTTATATATCGGTTACCACTTACTAAACCAATGGGCTTTCCACATCCATTCCCTGTTGAGTCTTGGGCTGGCATGATGCGCCCAGTAGCAGCCACCCTGTTGTGGCTGAGGGTTCACCCTCCGTCTCTAAACAGCTGAAGCATCCAAGATAGATGAGCTTCTGAAGGCAATGAACCCCTGGATTCCTGGATTAGTAAACCCTCACACCTCTGATATCTTCTGATCGGGTACCATTTGAGTGGCAAATCAGCGCAAAAAATGAGGGAGTGGGGGGGATACCCCTTGATTTTTAATTTCACCATGGTTTCTTAATCCAGGGTTGACATTAACTTGGCAAGGATGAGGATGAGGTTGTGCACCGCTCATCAATTTTCATCTGAGACTGTGATTGATCGCTCCGAATTGAGTCGCGCAGCCGCCGCAGCCGCCACTTTTCGCCCACGACGACTCGCTTTGGACTCAGTAATGGGCGCTGATTGCCACCTTGAGGCAGAGACACCGGCTGCTGTCTATGGAAGTGGTTTTATTCAGTGATTCACATCAAAAATGCATGGTTCAATACAGACTCATCTCGATGAATGGAGTAGAATATGGCTGAACATGGGAAATACATGGAAATACCCAAATGTTGGCTGCTTTAATTAGGAATCTGATAATCTAACCAGGGAATTTGTGTTCATCATCCAGGCCGCCCTCACCCTGTGCAGGACACTGGTGCCTGCGAACTCCGGCTTCCTTTTGCTGATATGGCAAATCGGTGAGGACCTGATCGACACGGCCGCAGAGTGACTTGACACATGGACCGTACTTCATCACAAGATATCACAAGCACCTCATCCATCCCATTATTCGATCATATCATGATGCGATGATGTCGTGGTCTGGGTCTCAGCTGAAACGTGCTGACGTTCCTCCCGCAGTTTGATGGTTTCAAGTTGGGCACTTCAATGGCACTTCCCAACTTGAGCTGGTCCAGCCTTTCCAATGTGCTGCGAGAGGTGTGCAAAGGCACTGGGTTTGAAGGAGAGCAACACCTGGGGCCAGTTGAAAGGGGCTGTGAGGCCTTTAAGACCCATTAAGTGATGCCGAAGTGGGCGTCCGGTCAGCAGTATTGTTTTCCTATGGTTTCATCATATTCCTGTGGATGCTCATGAAATGCAGATATTCCATGAGATTGCAAATCTTTGGTTACCCGGCCACTCAAGGGGTTCACCATTCAAGTACATCCATTTTCAGGACATGGCCTTGGCCACGAGGCTTGCGAATTCCATGGCGCTTGCCCCATTGTAGGGGAGGCTGATGACCTGTCCAGAGGTGATGGTGGCTGACTTGATTCACACAATGCAAGACGGTGATACACTAATGGCACACTCACACATACTCACACACTCCACTACATCACTCAACATTTTTCCTTGGCAATTAGGGTGGGGAAACGGCCCGGACCTTGATGGAATCAAGTGGCCCACTAACCTTGCCTCCACATCTTGTGAAGCTCGTGCTTTTGCCATGCGGCGGCGCAGCACGGCGATTCCAGGGATGGCAGACAGCGGGCAAGCGTCAATGATCAAAGACCTAGGTCGCTATCGTGACACTCGATGGAACTCGGTCACCTTTTAAAGGATCTTTTAGGATCTTTTAGGTGTCATGTTCCACCAATGGTTGTTTTTCGACAGTACTGCGAACATCTGCATACCACCAAGGCCAGCAGCGAAGGCAGTTCTACCGTAGCAGCGGTGAACTGGCAGCCGCGCAGGCCCATGTGCTGCAAGGCGCTGCGAAACTGTGGATCCTGCATGTACTATTTGGACAGTAGCTTGGTATGGCTAGAATGACCAACCGACCAATCTATGGTGGGGACTTGTGTTGAGAAACCTCGAAAGCATAAATCATCAACATTTCACACTACATAAATGTTTTACTCCTGTTTTACAGTTAAGGCTGCAAGTTTCATGTGTAGACTTCTTGTGACCAATTCAAAAAAATCAAAGTGGTTGTTTTCATCAAACACGTCAGGGACATGAGTCACTTTGCCATCCCCGTCCTGTAACATCTTGATGGTGACGTCATCAATCTCCAAGTCGTCCAGGTAGCACCGTAGAAGGTGCAATGCATAGCACTCCATGGCCGTCCTTTGATTGCGACAGGTGACTGGCCGCAGGTCTTTCATCGGGCCTAAGGTCCAAACCGTTAACAGTCGGTAAGCAGCAATAGGAAGCACTGGTCATCAATGGGTCCGAATTATGGATCTCGATCCCACAAAACACATTTTGATCATACTGTATATATATGTTTATCATTATATCATATAATATATATATATATCATTCTTAGATTCTACTATCAATCCATCCAATCTGCTAGGTTGCAGGCATTGCTAGGTACCCAAGTTTGACACCCCACCCGCATAGCATATCTGCCCTTGCTGGCCTTGGCTCAAGCGTGACATTGCCCTGATGCAAAAGACGCTCTGCAAGCTCACGGTCTCCTGTCGGGGTTTCCATAAATGGGGGTACCCCAATAGCTGGATGGTTTAGAATGAAAAATCCACCCAAACACGGACTGGGGGTACCCCCAAATTTTGGAAACTTCAAAATGCAGAACTGTCTTGTATCAGAAAAGTTTTCAGGCAACATGCAGCCATCTAGTGAAGAAGAATGATGGTTCAATTGCTTGTGACTGGCCTCTGCTCCGCTGAATCATCTACAGCATTCCTTTCCTTGTTGCCTAGTATATAGTAGTACAAGATATACGAGTACAACTTTTGTTGGCTTTGCCAAGCAACTTACTAGATAAAATGCAGCCTGGACAATCTCTGAGACCAAATACCCCTAGGCCCAGGCCTTCCACTGCTGCAACATATGCCAGTTGCCATGTCTCAGATGTCCCTGGGAAATCAGCAACCAAATCGTGCAGCGACCCGCCTGCGAAGGCAAGTCTGGTGGACGCCAGTGTTCAAAACTGTTGTTCGTGTCCCTCTTATTCAACACCATCCTGTCCATGTCACTGGGTATCTTCACATTCACTACACTCTGGTTACACTATGTTACACGAATTCAACAAGCGTGCCCGTTTCCGTTGTCCTTGGCATTGTAGGTTTGCTGCTGAGAACCTTTTCTCAATGAACCGCATGTCCTGTCTCTTCAGCCAAGCACCTGACAGGTCCGATACCCTCATGATATGGGTCTCCAAAATGAATACATCCAACATCATCCAATACAAAACCCAGGGTTTCCAGAAGGAGTATTTCAATGTATTTCATATAATATTAGGGATGGGATTGATATGGATTTATCATTCCAAACAAATGCAAACTTCAAATCAAAAATATCTTCCTTCCATCACCTTTTGCATTGATGGATCTGGACTTTGAGGGCACTGGTATGGTGCATCCCCTCTGGATTACAGCGAGCGTCATGTGCTGTGGTTGGCCAGCCCCAAAGCACCAAGAGCCACAGCCAGCTTCGCTGAGTTTTCTTGGAGAAGTTCAGGCCACAATCCCTGCGAATCGGCATCGACTTCCCCGTCATGTTAGGAGTTGTCCACGCTTTTGCAGACCTGTATGCCTGTACTGCACAGGAAAATAGAACGCTAAATTTTGCCTGTGAGGCTTAGGCTTTTCCCAGTCAAGGCAGCAACATGAAGCAACATTCCACTGGCGTCTTCCAAGTTTCGGTCGGTATCAACCCATGAAGTGCCGAATCTTGTGGGACAGGGAATGGTCTCAAGCTTTTCCGTGATCCCAAGAGTTGGTTGGCAAAATTACTATACATTTGCAATTTCCAACAAGTGGGTTATATATATATATAATCAATTAATACGTATATAATATACATATATATATATATATATATTACAGTACATTACTATAGTAATTGTATCAGTGCTATCTCCTATATATTGCAAGGATAATATAGAGGAATAGAGGAATATCATCAAATTCTAATTATTTTATGCATTTTTATGTTGTCATTGGTTTGTGTCTGCTATCATCAGGCCCTGTGTCCCTCGCTTGCTGATCGCCTCCAAGATCTGAGAATTATGCAGCAACTGCACCGCAGCAGCCAGTGCTGGTGCTGCTGTGCTAGACCCAGCTGTGCAAAGGCTGCGGTGGACCAGGGGCCTGCTAGACCCACACTGGCAACAAAGGTCGCATAGGTCTGCAAAAAGGTCGCGAATGTCAACGTCAATCATTTCGGGGATCATTTCCAAATATTTCCAACATCTCCAACAAGCATTCAAGAAACATCAGAAACATCAGAAACATCAGAAACCATCCAAAGGTGACACTGAGAATTTAGGAATCAATGCCGTCCAGGCGCACAGGCGCACGTTCCAAGATTCGCAGGAGTATCAATGGCAGCAAGCCTTAGACAGCAAAAATTGGGTTCGTCATCCCATATGTTTCCCAACATCAAAATGAGACCAAACAGTATTGACTAGGACTAAAGGACCATCTAGGACCTAGGTATTGGATGGTATTATATTGGTATTGGTATAATTTGGTATATGTCCAAGCGGACGCAGTTCCGTGCAGAGTTGCCCATGCTCAGAGAGATATCGAAAGCAAAGGAGTGCTTGCAAAGCATCTTGTGGCGTGGCTGTTCTATCATCACATATGTCACATATGTCAGTCTTTAAAGTGATGATAGTTGATAATTTTAACTGATTATATAATATGATTGACAATCTCATCATATCTCATCTATCATTGGTTGACAGATTCACCAGAAGTTTCTCCCACTCAACAGTTGAGACACGAATCGCTCAAGCTGCGACTGCCTTACGACAAGTGTCTTTCTTGCAAATCAGCAGCAGTCTGGTCGTTGCAAAGCCTTGGACTAAGTCGGGGCCGGACCAGCGCCCAGAGAGTTCCACATTTCGGTGCACTATGTCCGCATCATACGTTGTACGAGTAAAACATAGTAAAACTAAGTCAGTGCCAAAATGTCCTGATGAATGTTGCTAGAGGATGCTACAAAGACATGCAAAGATGATCTTCTGATGATCTCAACATCCCTCAACCAGCGTCGCAGGTGCTGAATCTGATATTCCACTAATATCACCAAAATCCCATTCATGTATATTCATGTTTCATGAATACTCCATTCATGTTCCATTGACATCCCGTTGTCAATCGGCGTCCTGAGAGCCGCACCACTCAAAGGCCCTCACTAGAGCCGCTTCATCCATCGATGCCACGCATGGCACTTCCAAGGCATCTCGTAGGAGGGCCAAGGGTACCCGCCAGCCCTTGGCGCTGACCGAACTGAGCTATGTCAGCTATAACTACAGCATGATGTATCATGATTATCATGATGTAACATGATCACATATATATATACACACTATGAATATATATATAATAGTGAATATTATATATTTATACTATAATATTAATATTGTATATATTATTATTATTATTATTATTTTTATTATTTATTTATTATTTATTTATTATTATTATTAATTATTATTATTATGTATATATACTATATTACGCGCATCTATTATATAATGATAATATATGATAATACATATTATATCATAACATTCACAGTTGATCCAGCTCCAAGTCTGCCTAAGACCCATGTTGCGATTGCCCTTTCACAAATCACATCTCAGAATCTAGTCCAACCGTCACCAGTCATCTAGTCAATCTAGTCCAACCATCCCACCAGGTCCCACTAGGTCCCACTAGGTCCAACCAACCACATGACTTCAATGGATTTCAATGGATTTCTATGGATTTCTGATGATTTCTGCCACGCTTCCAATTTTTGGAGTTGGCATCTTTCTCCCAATGCCAGCAGCACATGGGGCCAGTCAGCTCCAGTGGCTCGCGCTGCAGCAGTCACCAAGGGCTGGGGATCAATGGATCCTTGCCACGGATGGGAAGGTCATAGGAATCCCATGGGAAATCCCATGGAAATCCCATGGGAAATCCCATGAAAATCCCATGGAAATCCCATGGAAATCCCATAATTAGTCAAGCTGCGGCCCATGTCTGTCGGACGTCTAGGATTTGTTTGCTTTCAAACTTTCGCACTGACTGTGAATTGCAACAAAGATGTGCTAAGTTTTCTTTGACTTCCACCTGGTCCACAAGTCCACAAGTTGTGTCAAAACGACAGGCAAGGATGCATGTTTTCAGTGACTCTCAACGAGAAAGTCATAAATTTCCAAAGATATACTTCCGGATACTTCCGGCCATCTTCCAATCTTCCAGCCATTTTCCCGGCATTCCTTGATGATTGATGTATTTCAACAGTATCCAAGCATCCGCTCACCGATGCCTTCACTGCAGCAGTCAGCAATGACAGCGCCTCTGATGGAGAGGGACTTCCCGAGCAAAGTGTCTGCCACAACTGCGCGACCTCGAACACGTGGCCAACGTATGCCAACGTCACGTCTTGGCGAATTGTGCAACCATGATATCTGGATATATCTGGGATATCTGGGATACCACGTTTGGGATCCAATCTAGAGGATCTAGAGGTAGTGGCTGCGATTTTGAGGCCAGCGAAAATTCAATTTGCAGCCCCTGGGCTCCTGGAAGCATGTGAACAATTACCGCATCGTCCTAAGTGCCTCAACAAATTTGAAAAAAAGCTTCTGGGAGGTCTTTCTGCACAACCTTAGCAACTCAAAGTCAAGCGACCGCATTTGTCATCGGCAAAGAGGATATCGCATCAGCACACGCGAGAACATCCCGGCGTTGCCATGATTTCGCTGAAGCTGCTGCAACCTGGTCATTGGGTTTTGTCAGGGCTTCTCAACATATCTTACATGAAATGTAACACAAAGGAGAATGTTGCATATTGTTGCATGTAAAATACCGACATGTCAGAATCGGCCATCATCACACCCTTTGTATCGATTCGTGGATCGCACGCGTAGTAATCTCCAACACCTTCTTGGTCCCGAAAATTGAACACACAAAAACTAAATGTCTGCTTTTCCGCTGAGAAACGGTCGCGAAAGAATCTATCAGGGCCTGGTCTTCCAAAAGTCCTGGCTGCACTTTTTGGACCTCCCCTGACCCATTCAGCCCATGTTATGATCGCTGTGTCATGAGAGCTGCTACCATAAGAAAAGTCCTGCAAGTTTCATCGCCACTGCGGGTTCGCAAGGCAGCTGCTCCATTCTTGGTCCTAGACAAGGTACATACAATGGCCAAAACCCATTCAACATGAACTTCTGCACCTTTTCGTCTATGGAGTTGTAAAGATATTGAAAAAACATTGGGACATATTATTTAGTGACATATTTAGTATCACATTCCTTACAGATCTTAGAGGCCTTAGAGTTTACATGTCATGACGGCTGGAACGCCTCAGAATATCCTACAGATTGAGTTCCTAATTTTGAGTCTATCTGAGTGATCGATCACCATGCCCTCACCTCGGAATGCTTGTAGCAGCTTTGCCCTGACGGGTTGCCTCAGAAACAAAGCAGCCTCAAGTTGGTCTTTTCTGACAGAATTTGCAACAACCTCCCAGACAAGGCAAGACAACGCTGTTCTTCTTCGAATGGTTCGACAATTTCACACAGGGGTGGGTAGTGAGATGTAATGTGTAATGAATAATATTACATCATATCATATATACACACCTGTTTGCCACTTGCATTGTCATACATATTCATCAACTACAAAAAAAGGTGTCAAGTTTCTATTGACATGGGCACCTCTGGGGTAAAATTTAAAATCATCTTGGCTTCAGACCCCTTAGGATTAATCATTAGGGATGGGAACAGATACCAGGATCCACCAGGTTTCTTGTTGGCAAAATCCTCAGAGCATGGATTTTTCTGTGATATAGAGATATTCCATTCATTTCCAGTACCCTCTGGTAATTTAACATAGCTATTGAAAATGGCCATTTATAGTGAGTTTTCCCATTAATATTGGTGATTTTCCATAGTTATGTTAAATTACGAGAGGGTATCATTTGATCTCACCATGGTTTGTGAACTCCAGAAAATGCATTGGCACTGCAAAACCAAGCTGCACTCGGCCACCTGTCGCGAGAAACTTAAGCACAACTCCAGCACCACCTGGGCTTTTTCGGCCACACTGATTGAAATCCGAGCATGATGTGGACACTGTGACATCCGTGCAACCATCCATCCATCCATCCGTCCGTCCGTCCGTCCATCCATCCATCCATCCCTGGATTCTCGTTATTGCGATCAAGTGGTTTCATCTCACTGTGCGTGGCTCTTCCTTCTACTTCGTATCTATCCAAATCCAAATCATCATCTAAATTCATAATCCAAGTTGCGGCCCCCCAACTCCAGGTTCAGCACCTGTGGTTGTTTGGCCAAAAATGGATAAACATGCGGTGAAATTCATCGTTAATCTGCTTCATCATGGTTTCTCATCACTTTCACTATCAAACTAGTTTAAGATTGGGGAATTTCATGACTCCGAAAATCAGTTTCCCCGATGTTCTAAATTGTTCTAATGGCTATTTTCAGATACACTCCATGTTGAGCAAACATGTAGTACACGAAATCAAGCCGTATGCAAATATAAGTATGAAGGATGAAGTCTGCAGCGCATTATATAATCATAAAATATCTAAACATCCCAAGCCCCAAGATTGACGGCTTCGGGCAAATTATTGCAACCGCACCCCTGCTGTTCCCACCTCGATAAAGCGCGCTGCTTTGGGTTGTGGGAGATGTTGAAGAGCTTCCCACAAATCCACCTCCATCTGTGCAACGCTGTGTCAGAGAGTCATACCTAGTAGAATCATAGAATCATGCCTCTGATAGACCGACACATGCACAGCAGCATGATGATAGTGAAGAAAAGAAACATTGGATTCAAACAACACTTTCCCAAAAGAATTCCAATGTTGTTTCAAACCAGCATAGACACATTATCCAGCCACATGGTGTGCTCGCTCCTCTTCCAGGTCCAGGGAGCGAAGAAAACCAGACGCTGCAGTGAGGAAATCGTCCTCTACGACAGAACTGGCCTTGTAGCAGGTTTGGGGGCTCTTAAGTCTGTTAATAGCAAAAAATGATGCAACCAAAATTGGTTGCCATGCTTCTATTTTAAGATATTCTAAGATATGCCCATGTATGCACCCGCAGAGTTGAACAGTTGCTCAACTTTTCCTCAACTAGACAACCAAACCAATTGGCATCCAAATTGCTTCAGGCGGCAGAACACTGAGAGATTGGCGGCCAAGCTGCTCCAAAAGCAGCCAGACATGCCAAAACATCCCGACCAAGAAGAGGTGAGTCGGCAGCCTCTAAAGATTGGAGAGATCCAAACCCTACTATTTGATGGGGTATAGTTGGACAGCGAAACTAAACACATCTTGGGGTATCCAATTTGGCATGGCATTTTTTCAAGGCCTGCAAATGTGGCAGCAGAGCGGTGCTAAGAGACCGCATCGTTCGAGAACATCTCAAGGTCGCCTGGCGACGCTCAGTCAAGATCCGATGAGCTGTAGTCGCAGCCAAAATGCGGTAGGTTATCTAATGGATATGTTTAACATTATCCTAATATAACATTAAATGGTACATCATTACTGGTTATTTACTTATATTTACAGTATCCGGTTGTTATATAGCTGTACATTAGGATGATGTATATGATGTACCATTATAATATCCTTGTGTACTTGTCATAACACAACAAACCGGCATTGTATGATTCAAAACCAACTGGCCCTGGGACTGGCCTTTGCACAACCAATGGCCAGCGAGGCTGCCTGGTGGAGCGATAGCGAGTGGAATGTTGATGTCACAGCCTTCCAAAGTCTATTAGCGATATATGTTTTCAATAAACCTCCCAAGATTTCCCGAGAATGGTGGCTCATTCATTAAATGAACAATAGCAAATGAATGTCTATATGACGGTTCATCATCGTTCGTCCATCCTTCATCCGACAATTCAGTACCCAGCACAAAATGAATGATACTGCAATCATGCTACAACTATCATATACCAGTTTGATACAACTAATATACCTCTATATATATACATGTTTCCTTGATAGTTGTACATAATTATGACAATGGTCTAATCATAGTACACATATAATTGTCATATATATATGATAAGCATATCATTATGACAAGTATCTAGTAATGGTATATCATCCTAATGTGCAGCTGTATAACCAATAGTGATATATTCAGTATATATTCCTATTTCAATGATACCAAATATGATAGTTGTTGACATATCTATTGCCAAAATTGTGATGAGTATCTATAATATATGGAGGTGTCCTAAAATGGTGGATCCCAAAGTCACCATAGCTTTCAATACTAAGTCATGGTCTGATAACTTGGGTGATTAGGGGGTACCCCTATGACTTAGGAGACTTAGGAACCCCCCCCCATATAACGGTCATGATATATTGTTATTGAAATATCTATTATATTCTATTATACTGTAATAATGGTAAGGATCTTTATTTCATCCAACCATTATCAATGTCATTCATTTTCTCCAACCATTATAATCATTATGATTGTTCTGTATGATACCCATCATAATGATTATAATAATTTTACCCATCATAATGATTATCATTATATTGTTCTGTATTATACCCATCATTATGATTTTCATAACAAAATGTTACCCACCATTGATCCATTCCTTCGCTCGCTTCGCTCGCTTCGCTCGCTTCGCTCCACCTCCATGGCTTGCAGCTCCTGCGCCAGCCGCAGCACTGCCTTGGCGAACGGCAGCAGCGCTGCCAAGGCTGCCTGAAGCGGAGCCAAGCTGAGGGCAATTCACCAAGAAACTTGGAGCTTCAATGGGTATTTAATACCAAATACTTGGTCCATTGCTTATATAATGTTATATATCTAACAGTTGGTTATATACCCAACAATAACATAACTTGATGTGGATGTAATCAACTATAAATTGTTGGGGATGTTTCCCCTGTCTGCCAGGCGCTGTTGGAGAAAACGTATCCGTTCTGCTCGCGGACTCAAGTGCTGCAGTCCTGAGTTTGTTGACATTGATAAAATGTTACCCTCTGGTAATTTAACATAGCTATTGAAAATGACCATTTATAGTGAGTTTTCCCATTAAACATGGTGATTCTCCATAGTTATGTTAGTTTACCAGAGGGTAAATATATTTTGTCAAGAAGCAATCTTTGCCAATCTCCCGCTACCAAGGCCTCGCATGTGGCGATCATCTGCTTATCATCAAAGCTTTGCAGCACTGCCAGCTTCTGCACTCGGGCAATTCCGAGCCTTGGACGGCAAATGAGGACAGTTCTGTTTCACAAGGCCCAGGGCCGTTGTCAACCAGTTGTCCCCGTGAGTTCTGGTGGTTTCAGCATCCCTTCCAAACATAGTCATGACAGGTTCACGAGGCAGGATGGAGAAAAAACATCACACAACTTGAATCCACCAACCAATCAGGACGATGCTGGCCATTGTACCAGTCGCTTACTAGGGCTTCACAGTTGATGACGATGACCCTCTAAGGTCCAAACAGCACGGTGACCAAGGTGTGCGTGTTCAGGGCATCAGCCTCTTGTCAACATGAGCGAGTCACTTTACCCTTAAAGGGTATCTGATGAACATCCCCCCAAAATGCACAGAGTATCCCAAAATATTTCAGAATTGGATGAAAATTGAGTCACGAAACTTGGGAAACCCCTGGATTTGAAGTAAAAATCCTGTTTTCCAATTCCACCGAAAACCAATCCGTTGAGACTGGATCGTTTTGGGATTTTACCAACTAAGATCAGATCAACTAAGCATATGTTGGTTCCCTCAAATTTGACCCGGTCCCATCTCGTTCCATGCTGCTAATAAAGGTATGAATCCAGAAAATCATCCCCCAACAATTGGATGGTCATCAATGTCATCAATACTACCCTCTGGAATTTAACATAGTTATGGAATGTTATGGGAACATGGCCCATTTATAGATGATTTATGATTTATGTAGCTGTGAACCCATGTTAAAACATGGTGATGTTCCATAGTTATGATGATTTATGTAGCTGTTAAACCATGTTAAAACATATAGTGATCATTCCATAGCTAATTCCACAGCTAGTGACTTTAAATCACCTGGTCACATGTCAGACATGTCACCTGCCGCGCCAAGCGATGCAGCAGCTGGGCACTCCAAGGCGGCGCGGGCCGTGGCAAGGCCAACAGCAGCGAAGCGCAATGGCTGGGTGCGAGCCGTGGCAGCCTTGGTGCCAGAGATCTGGATATCTCACGTAGAAAGGTAGAGAGAGACAGGACAATCAATATTGTATGATAATTATATGTATATAGGCTATATATATATAATGTGGATTATACGATTATGTATACATGTAATAATATATATATATATGGGTAAATTATAATATTTCACTAACCTGAATTAAGGCCATTTGGAGATGATTTCCCTTACTAACCATGATTTCCAGTGAGGTCGCAGTGAGGTCGTTATAATTTACCCAGATATATATATATATATGTATATATAATAAGTATAAATATTATATGCCTCCATAAACGTGTGTACAGGTAAATGACTAATTTGTATAAACATGCAACGATATCAATGATATCATAATGATATCGATACATTGCCGCGTATTTGATGCTTGTATTGCATTGCCACGAACCGGCTGATGGCCTGCAATTCTACAGCCTTTCCCGGCTTCAGATTCAGCATTCTCAAGCAATGGCTACTGTTGGCAGTTTGAGTTTCCATGATCTTAAGCATGAGACTGGAACATTCGCCCATAAAACTCGAAATGATTCAGCATGGTAAAGACATATTTGGATATATTTGGCATATCAAATTTATCTGTCCTCCATACTTTCTGCTTCATGACTTGGCCCCTTGTGGCAATCCACCAGTCACCTGACGTCCACTGGGCTCCCAAGGGGTGACGAGAAACTCTGGTTCCAACTGAGCCAGCAGCTGCGATAGCCTCCCTCTGTCCTCGCAGGTATTCATGGGTCTCTGGATGTGCTCGAAACATAAACTCAGTATAATTCAATGACCATAATATGTGACCTTCAGATTTCCACATAGTCCGCACATGTCTTCACTGCAAAATAGATGACCAATGATGACCAACATGTCTTCTTCGCACAATTGCCGACTCTTCAAATACTGATACTTTCTTCTACGCAGGAGCATGGTGTCTTCAAGCATTTTAATCATCGAATCGAACACCGTTTCAACTTTGATGCAAAACACCACATAAATTTGGAGGCCTGTAGAATCTTTCTGTCTTGAGAGGTATAATCGCGTCACGTGTCTACATGCGATGCCTCAGATGCCCTCTCTTCTAGACAGATCATCCTACTCTATTTCGGGGACCTCGAATCCATTCAAAATATTCAAACCCATTATTTCGGGCAGGATGTTTCTCCTTAGGTGAAGATGGTGAAGCAATTCCAAAGATCTCCAGATCCCACCAGATCCTCGCGGCCGCATCTCCTGCGTGTTTTTTTTATGGTCCACAATGGCCTTCACCAGCTCCTCCCGGTTCAAGATCTTGGGTGCCTTTGCCTTGGCGATGTCAACATTGTCAACCTCACCCGAATAGGATGGATTGACTTCTTGGGACATCTTGGGACTTGGGATCCCTATAGATGATGGAGCCTGCAGTAAAAATCAACCTGTGCACAAATGAAACATAAAGAATCACACTGACAAATGCTTCTTGCAAGAATCAGCACGCTTCTTTTGGCATAGATCTTTGGCACCCAAAGGCACCAGCTGATCTTATGTGTCCGCACGCTGCTCAAACCTCTTCTTGCCAGTTTTCTTGGGCACTGGAGGGTTGGGATCCTTGAAAATTCCAATGACTTTGTCAAAAGGATCTGGCCCCGCTGCTCCAAAATTGATGGGATCGTCCGCCATTTCGGACTGTTCTTCGGAGAACTCCTCTTCTGGACAGCTGACCTTGAATGATGGAAGTGAGGTTGACGAAGGGGGGGCCACCTGTTGGGAAAATATGGATATGATGTGTATATTATTTGTATATAGTATAAACATACCAAAAAGCGTACTTTGTGTGTCAGCGTATAATAGTGTAATATGCGAATGTATAAACGTACTGAGCTGGCTTGCAAATCAGCAGCCTGAAAATGAAACGCGGCATATCTACTGTATATAGGTTTCGTTTTTGGGGGCCAGGCTTCGTTTTGCAGGGCTTTGGCCACATTCTGTAGATCAACATTGCGTGTCAAAAGGAAAATGAAAGGGAAATGATGGAAAATGAAGATGATGGATAATGTCTAGGAAGCATTGTTTTGGCATGTTTTGGCGGTCTTTTTCCTGCAATTGTTCACAGGCTGACATCACTCTGACATCGTCTGGAGAGGGAACATGAAGCAAAATCGTCTTTTTGAGGCACGTGGACCCATGTCTGAAAAAGAGTCCGAATCTGAAACAAGGCTTCGTTTTTGGCTTCAGTTTTGCTTCGTTTTTTAACACACTCGATTTCTGTGTTTTTTTTGGTGGCACAAATAAATACAAATTCATATAGTTTGAATTTGAATCTGATTTAAAGCAAAGTCAAAATGGATTTACATTCAAATAACAAACACTTTAGATTTAAACCAATGGCGATTCAGACTCAATGTACCGAAGAGTCAGTTAACTTCAAATTGACCTAAATCTAATTTCAAGTCAACTTAGCTTGACAATTAAGTTAACATGTATTTGATTTTAGTTCAAATTTAGTATATTTAGTAGATTTAATCTAGAATTCAATTTCATCATCTAATGAAAGCATGGTAAGAAGCCAAAACCAAAAGCCCAAAGCCAAACTGACAAAAATATAACAAACATCCAAACAAAAAAATGCTTCTCCCATGCATAATTGTGTGTGTCTTTAACAAGTGGAATGAACCTGCATGGATTGATGCCGCAGATCAATGTGCAGCGTATCATGAAAACATAGGCTTCGATTTTTGGTGGCTGCGCTTGGTTTTCCCAGGTTTCGGACCAGTTTTAATATTCCCTTTCCATATAAACTGTTGACACCTTTTGATCGGGGTTACCATTACCCAGGGTAACCTGTGCCCCAGGTTTTGTAGATACAAATCTGACTTTAGAACACAAAACTACAAAAGTGGAGTCAGTCAGGAAAAAAAACCCTACAGAAGAATGTCCCGGTTGGAAAAAATATTCCTACAAAAGTCTCAGGGTTTTACAACCTATGTTTTTTTTGTGTTTTTTTTGTTTTTGAAATAGCCTTAAATTTCTATAATACTTTTGTAGGGCCTTGTTCACATGTTGGTTGATAACTTCTGTAGTGAAATTTAAGGTCCTTTTTCTGGATGGTCCAAGGGCACAGGATATTTTTGTAGTGAATCTGGGGTTGATTTTTTCCTCTACGGCAACTGCTTTCAACAGCTTTCAACCAGGGATTATTCTGACTAACTTAAGCTACTTCTTGGGTCGTACCATGTCGTACCTTAAAAAAATAAACAACACTCCCATTTCCCCAAGATTTCCTAAGTTTCTTTTTCACGGTCTTCGCGATGGATTGCTTCTCGTCATTTTTCTGCATAGCTGGGCTATGCACCAAGACGATCCAAGACGATCCTACAGGATCCTACAGGCCCTTGCTTTTGTCTACCCCTGACAAAAAATACATATAAATGTATATAAATATAAATAAATATATGAAAATTCAATAAAATTCATGGTAATTCTTGGAGAATTATTCTTGGGAAATGTGTTTGCATGATGTTAACTGAACATAATTTCCGTAGATTTGCAAGGCCTTTGTGAAACCTTAGATTGGAACTAGGCCTAGTAGTACTACAAAACCGTCTGCAGCTACAGTTTTTTGGGGCACAGCATACCTACAAATTGTTTTTGGCCACAATTTATCCATTACAAAAGACTCTTGGTTTTCGCAGTAGGTCCATTTAAGGATTCATACAATTTGAACACTTTTGGTGGACCAGGCAGGAATGCCTACAAAGGTATCGCTCTACTACAAAAACCGGGTACCCAGCAAAGTGATCCTTACAAAATGGAGCCTTACAGAACCCTTTGTAGGGGTCACATGATACCGGCTTTTGTAGAGACAATGGTATCCCCGATACCTTTTGACTAAGCCCTTTACGTGGTAGCATGGTAGCTCACATACATTTCTACAATATAAACATAGGAAGCATCGTGCATTCCGCATTCCAAAGTTTGCGCCCAGGCACTGGGCGAAGTCGCCCTTTCTTCAGCAATCCATCCTTCAGGGATTTGTAGCTTGCGGGGTACTTTGCCCCAATGTCATCATGGAACTGGTGGTACAATTCAGCCTGGTAGAAGGGAAACTGCTCGGAATCATAGATCCAAACCACTTGAGTATCAGCAGTATCTGGATCACTGCCCTGTGCCACTGCCAGTTTCAGTCGCCCTGCGTTGGCTGCAACAATGTCTGGGAACACGCTCGAATTGGCGCCACCTGGGAGTCCAATCATGGCTCGATACTCTGCTCCAACATCCTGAGCATCTGGCCGCCCAGCAGGTTGTTCGGAGACCACCGAATCCAGGTAGGCTTTAGCAAAGGCTGCCACCTGATTCTCAGGCACCTGCGCAACCTTTACTGCCTCTGCATGGCCCAACCTGGAATAATCACGGAGTGGAAAATCCAAGTTGTGATAACAAACTTGCTGTTTTTTACCCTGAGTTGGTAATCCTCCAGCATATCCTGTAATGGATGTGACTTCATTGCCCGAAGTGCGTGCTAGAAGCTGCGATTCCAACTGCACCATGTCTCTTTGGACATGCCAAAAGCATCCTTGCCCAAAGTAGATGTCGATCCCAGACGTCTCCGCCACGGCTGGTGCAGCCCCTGCAGCACCCACCAGGGCTCCCAACAGGCCGCGTCGTGGCATCGAGGGTTGGAGGAAGCCGAAGATCCATCGACATTGACCAGTCGTCAAGGCACAAAAGCCGAAAATCCAAAGCGCTCTTCGGAGCTTTGCCGAGGAACGCATCAGACCGATACTTTAAAGATGTTTTAAGGGGATTGAGAGATGATTGCACTTGGAAAATTGGGAGTGTGTGATTTGGAGCCAAAACTTTGGAATCAAGAATGCAAGCGAGTCTTGGCAAGATATATCTTCTTGAAACACAGAATGTAGTCAAATGTATTCAATGCATTCAAACAAAAAAATCAACGATAAGTATCTCTCGGTCCCTTGCTGAGGGTGGTTGCACCAGGCGCACGCCTGGGAACTGGTGCAGTGAACAAGCGACTTGCCACGTGGCAAGTCGACATGGCCATGGAATGCCATGGAATGCCATGGATACTGGGACCTCTTTTTTGATGTGGCCCAACAGATCCCAGTGAAATCTGTGAAATCAATAAACAGAATTAAACAGCTACATTCCACATTGGCCCAGCATGGCTGCCATATGCTGCCATCCAAGGTCCGGACGTGCCATCAACTGCCGCGGGCTCAGTATCTCCTCATGGCGGCATCTTGGCAAAGGATCAGGACTTGTCATATCTTTTCATTGCTGGTTGGCAACCACTTGAAGATTTGCAGAACCTTAAAACATCTTAAAACTATAAGGAAACATCAGGAGACACAATTCCAACTAAAAACTCTGATAGATACTATAGATTCTATAGATGTCATGATGTTTGTATCTTTTCAATATGTTTTCCAGCCTTCAGGACTTCAGAATCTGATGGATTTTCATCAGCGCCTGGCATCGATTGAGGGACTGCTGTAGACCCACTGCACTGTAACGAGAATATGCTAGAAGATGGCATTTTTTTCCGCATAAAACATCCAAAAATCATTACACATTTAAACACCATTCCTTTTAAAGAAGTTGGTGTGCTTTTCTTCGCAAGGAGAGAGGCAGAAAGAGATTTGATCCACTGAAACCTACAACTCTGCGGAAGAATTTTACTGCATTCCACATCCCAAAATCATTGAGTCATGCTGAGCTCAACAATTTCCAAATTTGAAATACATCAGCAATCAGTCCATGTCTGTCCCTGCCTGCTTCCTCAGTCAGCACGGTCTCTTCGCCAATCTTTCCATCACTGGATGCAGCATCGCTTGGAGCGGTGTCGCTTGGCGAGACCTCCGCCGCGGAAGCGGAAGCAGATCCGGTCGAGACCGCTGGAGAGACCACTGAAGGCGATCCTTAGCCGCTGGACACTGTGACATTAACTCCAGGCTCTGAACACGAAAATGCTAGCAGCACCACTCCAGGCTCTGCATCCTTTTGTCGTAGATAAAACTTGGGACTGAACTGATGAAGAAACCGCATTACGTCATACCCCTCATCCGAAAACCAAAAAGAAAGCTGTTTCAATCTGTTTCACATGCAATTTCGTGCTACCTTGATTTCTTGATGCGAATTTTGCGCCTTTTGGAGCTCATTCCAAGGCGACATAACCTGTTCAAATCTCGGCCAAAGAACTCTCCAGGTTCTCCACATCTGGCCGATTGATCTCCCTGATGACCTGAAGCAGTCCCAGTTCACGCTGCTGAATGGGATAACGTCCCAGGTTTCCAGCCAACAATTCCTGGTTCCAACCTTGATGAATCCTATGCAAATCTAAACAAATCCACATCTATTTTGGTTGATTCCCCAATTATACACTGACTTTTCTCCACATATGAGTTAGAGTTGGGGATGCACATCCAAGTTGACAAACCCCAAAAACAACCAAAACCTCTTGGGATGGTCTTACTGCAGATGGATATAGTTGGTCCTATCCCGATTAAACAATAATAAATACCCATAAAACCTCCATGTTTGTTGGCTAAACATGGTTAAACATGGTTAAACATGGTTAAACCACCCTTTCTATCCCAATCATTCCCTTCCCAGCCCTTGCCATCGCCCACCTGCCCCTGTCGTGCGCGCATCTCTTTCTCCTTGGCCGCACGGCGAAGGTGCTGCTGCCGGGTCTCTTCGCGCTCCTCCATGAGTGGAGTGGTATTGTTGGGAAGACATTGGGGGTCTCAACCAACATGGGGATTATTCAGAAACCAATGGGAAATAACAAGACCATTAAGATCATTAAACAATTGTTATTCCCCACCTGCCAGGTGAGGGTTGTTAGATTTTATGTCAGTTGCCTGCTCCTCTCCTCCTCTCCTCTCCTCCTCCTCCTGCTCAACCGCGACCCTCGACGCACAGTGTTCTCTGTCGGACCTCAACCACGACCATCCACGCCCAGTGTTCCCTGCCGGACCTCAACCACGACCATCCCCGCCCAGTGTTCCCTGCCGGACCTCAACCACGACCATCCACGCCCAGTGTTCCCTGCCGGACCTCAACCGCGAGTATCCACGCCAAGTGTTCCCTGCCGGACCTCATGTAGGAAGATATGGGACAAAGAATGTGCAGAAGAAAGTTAAAAAGAATGTCAGACAAGTATGTTATATATTACTTGCAAACTCGCGCGTGTGTGGTAGAGTGACCGGGGCAATGCCACTTCTTACTTTGCAGGTGGCAAAGTTTGAAGCAATCAGTTTGAACAGATGACAGAGTCACTGGGGTGGACAGAGACATTTCCACTTCTGTACCTTTGGAGCTGTTTGCAAAGACGCTTGAGACAGGCAACATCTTACAGCAAGTTACTACAAATTACTTGAAGTGATCTCATGCTGGATTGATGCTTGAGACAGTCAACATCACACAGGGTTTCTGTTGTGTATCACAGCTATGGTGGCATGGTGGATATGTGACATCGGAACATTTGTTGGAGCATTTGAGCCCTCATCTACTCGATCGCGGGCCAGAGGCAGGATGGACATCATCATAGAAGAATTCAGCAGGAGGAGGTTGTGTGATCAGTAGTGTCTTCTTGCGTGTTTTTGTTTGCTTGGCAGGTGATGGCAGAGGTCTGGTGAAGGAATAGAGAGTTGCAGCTGCAGCGATCTGGTGAAGTAACACTGGCATGGTTTTGTCTAGTTTACACACGAGCTTGCGAGCTTTTGACTTTGGTTCAGGTGGTCCACTGGCTTGTTTCAGTCATGTTTTTACAAACATGTTTGACAGGCGGTGTGCTGACATGTTTGGGCATGTTTGTTTGTTTGGCTCAGGTGGTCCACTGGCCTGTTTGGTCATGTTTAAGCAAACCTGTTGAGAGCTCTGGAGTTTACTTCACATGGCCCACTGACATGTTTATATCCTGTTTGACAGACTGACATGCACAATGACCTGCCAGGTGAAACAAATGATTGGGATAGTTAGTTGGGCAAAAGTCCCGTGACAAAAGCTTCAGACAAAAGTGGTGTCAACAAGCTGTTTTGAAATGTCATGGTGGGGATCACTCGAAGCAAAGTAATTTGATGTTATTTGGAAACATATTGTTGGCTGCCTTAACAATAAAAACATGCACCTAGCCAATCAATGGATATTTAATCAACAAACATGGGGAATTAAACAACAAACAGGGTAATAGAATGGGATAAAAGCTGCAGTAAGCAATAATACTGTATCAAATGGCTCTGCTTGAAAATGAAGGAATTACTCCAAATTATAGCCGTTTTAAAAGGACAACAACAATGACTAACCATCAAAGGGTTTAAGATGGACCAAATCCACCAGCCGTCCGTTTTTTTTAAATGGATTGTGGCACGCAAAATGAACAGATCTAACGCTTAAGAAGTCTTTCCTGTAGTTGAGATTATGGGGAACAAATTCATGTCTTAAATCCAATAACAAACTATCCCAGATTTTCAGTGCACAATTGTGCACGATTCAACGGTTTGAATCCGTTGGGGAAATGAGAAAAACAACATAGCCTCAAAAAACGAATCTATACTTCTGGAATACCTCAAGAACCTGATTGTCACATCAAAACAGGTGGTAGTTGTGGATGTTAATTCCCTTGCTAATCTGGATATGGCAGGATGGGCTCAACATAGGTGTTGCATGGTTTTGACCCAGCCCCATTTTTTTGTCAATCCCCATATTCAAGAACTGTCATTCTGAGTCCTTTCGCCCCTCTTTGATGATCTTCTCCAAGACTCCCAATTCCACGTGCAAGGACCTGCGAATCGCGATTGCAGAACCAAATGTGTTTTTCTTCACGTGCAATCACCTGGGAATGCAAGATATGGTACACAATACAATCCATAATATCACAGGAATAAACTGAATAAACGTATTTGTCTAGGCATGTCTACGCATGTAGATGTCAAACCATTGTCAAAAAATATCTGAGGATCTACTGGGTGATTTCCCATGGAATTCGCTCATGACGAGGTGCTCATCCAAGATCGACGAATCCACACGGAATCGAGCTTTCCAATGCGTCTTTGTCCTGGTCTCCTTAGTCCAAGTCTCAGTGTGGAGCTTGCGTACCTGCAAGGTATCTTTTTTATTCACCAACGATATGGTTTGATTGATAGACTATTCAAAGTATATATATATATATGTGTACAGTATCATGAATTAAATGTGATATACGTATACAGTGTATTATATATATATATATTTAACTGGTATACTACTCATCACTGGGGTTAATTATTGGTTAACGCAATACAAATGTAACATGTACAGCCTGTGACTGCCACCTGGCCATACCTGGCCCATCACCTGAGGTCAACAGGCGCCATTTGGGGACGCCTTTTTTCACCAGCCGTTCGTGCACCAAGAATCACTTCTATCACTTTTGATGAAAAAATAGTTATATTTATATATATAACTTAACCCTGTTGAACTATCATATACATATATTATATATGTATATATGTCTATATGAAAATCAGAATCGAACTAATCCAACCGCCAGGATTCTTCAGGCGAGTCAAAGAGAGCCTTCGTTTGCTTCGCTCGGCCCATCCGTCGCAGCTTGCTGTTGGTGACATCCTGCCAGTGGTATCTGGAGTCACTGCTGGTTGCTGGCTGGTAGGGTCTAAACAAGTTCGTTCTCATTATGTGTATATACACATCAATCAACATTGCATAAATATTGCATACATATATTTATGTATGCATGCAAGAATACATTCCCTATTATACAGAACATATGTATGTACAAGTACATCATTCCATATGGACGTTTGGCCCTTTCTCACCACCGCCAGGCCTCAAGATATCCACTGGCACCTTCACGACGAAATTTACGAAACGGCTTGGCCCTGGTCACACGGGGAGCATCCGTTACGACACACAGAGGGCTGGTTGTTTTTTCAATCAAGAAAACATAAAATACAGTGGTGCAGTTGGGAATTGATCATTTTGAGATATTTTGACCCATCCAAAAACTGAATTCAGCAAGCCTTCTATGCGGCCTCAATGATTTTAAAGGACCTCCACCCGTCAGCGGGAACAGTGCGGCGATTGTGGGTTGGTTCAACAAGTATCCCAGACCAAAGGGTCGTCAAACTTAATCAGGTCTCAATCCCTGAGAATAAAAAAAAACGTACACACGTGCATATACATATATACACGTATATGCAGTAAGAGATCATGTATTCATTTGCATAATATGGAATCATAAAAAAGGTGGAAGATCACTTTTTTGTATTAAATATATATATATATATTATGCAGAAAGTAAAGTGTATACCTCATTGTAATTGTTATATGATAATCATTAATCATTTATCACCACTATAATGACTATAATCACTATAAGCACCATTCAAATCATTTATAGTCACCATCAATATCTGATCATCAGTCATCACTAGAATAATCATGAATAATCATGAATATAATAATCCCCAATGGGGCCTGGTAAATGTTCTAATTACAGTAAACATCACCCAACTATTAGGGATACTTATATAATCTCCCTAACAAACACTTGAATCACTTGAAGGTGATGTTCAATCCCAAAACGGGACATTTACCAAGCCCATTGGGGATGATTATACCGCTCATTTATGGTGATGATGATTATTCATGATTATTCATGATTATTCTAGTGATGATTGATGATCATGACATTCATGATGACAATAAATGAATGGAATAACCATTACACATCCACATGTTGCCTGGTTCCCCCTGGCCTCTTAGGAGCTGTTTCCTCCTCGAAGCGAGCACTGAAGCTGTCGGAGAAGCAACGGCTCCTAACAAGGATGACATGCCTATCAATATGGGGATATCATGGCGATATATGGGGGATACATTGGGGATAATTATACGTAGGATATGTATATACGTATATATGTATATGTATATATACAGTATGTATACGTATGTATTGTATATCTATATCTATGTGTATATGTGTATGCATATGTCTGTCACCAGCAATATGATGTTCGATACTTTTGAGGCTCTAGTGATATGATATATGGAGGCTTAACCAATAAAAAAGGGAGGTTTAATGTGTATTTCATGGGTATATAGCCAACCATATCCAATTTGGGTGTCTGAAAATGGAGGATTTACCACCAAATAACTATTTACCAGTAGCAGGGACAATGATGATACACCGATGGATTCGGAGGTTCCCAATTTTCGCACAAACCCAAATCGCTATTGATAGATCCATGACCTTCCCTCAATATGTGTATATACATGTATATACAATGGTATAAAATCCAACTTTTCACATGGCACACATAATGCGAATAGATGAGAATAGTATGAACAACTGATCATAGTTGATCACAATTATTATTAAAGAAACAATCATAACATGAGAACAAACAACATCTCATCGCATTGCCGAAATACTCTCGTTACAACCAACAGTAATTAACATAAATGTTGTACTAATTATAATATTAATTATATAATCATTGCAATCATCATCAACAGTTCAACATAGTATATCATGTATATCATAATCAACAGATATCAACAGATTGGGGATAATATCAGAATATCCACATAATCATAGTATATCATAATCATAATCATGATAGTATTATCATATATTATCCACCAATCATAATCACAGTAATCATAATCAATATCATAATCATAGAAATCATAGAATATCCACAATATATCCACCATATCCACCAGTGAACAACGGTCCTGGCGAACAAAGACTGGGCTCCAGTGGGCCGCAGCCGCATGGCCCGACGGTGCACGCCATGGGGTGCGGGATGTGCTGCTGTGAAAGTCACGGGATGTGCTGTGAATCATCGGGAAATCATAGGGAAATCCCCATTTTCAGTGCTTTAAAAATGTAGATCTTCGCTGTTTCACTGGCAATTTCGGGATATACCATAATATAGCCTAATATATAGCCTATTTCTGGACAGACTCTCCGAAAGTCAAACCGACAAAAGCCGTGCAGCGGCTGGAAATGCAAGAAATACTCTGAATTCGATATACTCTATGATTTTTGTGTGCTACGTTCTGAGGTAATCTGCTCATCAACATACCAGTGAGGATTTGCGTGTTGCCGAGCTACTGAACATCTTGAGACCCTCACTGTATGAGGGCAATCTCCCATTGTCAGGTCTCGGTTGTGTGCCAAGTGTTCCAAAAAACATTCTTTTCGAAACTGAAAAAAACGAAAAGACTGCAGTGAATGCAGCACGCCAAGCAATGTCAGGGCGTTGTTATGCCATATACACATCCTCCACCTAAGCCCCACAAACCCTTGATGCCTTGCAGCATGCTCCTCTCCAGGATAGGTCAACATTTTTTGCTCGAAGGCAATCGATAATCACCGCGCAGTTTCTGCACGGTGAATGTGAGGTCTGATCAAACCTCCCTCATTTCGAGGGTTTCATTAACTTTGAGCCTGGATTCTTGAATATTCATATATATTCACATATGGGTGCTCCAAGAAAAATATGAGAAATTGTTTGGACCCCCCAAAAAACATCATGTTCCATGCATTCACGGTCAATTTTAAGGAGAATCTCAGAATCTCCGATATCATCCTGGAGCCTCATCCTGACCCCTTTTGGAGACCGAATCGCCTTAGGGCCTATGCCATTTGAACAACTTGACCTCGGGGATTTGCTGCTTCTGCAGCCGCTTGTTGCTGCCGCGAATGGAAGTCCCTCTCGACAACGGGGAGTCCAATGCAGGCCAGCAGGCAAAAGAGGACGATGATCCCCTCAGGATCGTCCCATATCGACCAACTGCCGTTACGGCTGGTACGGTGAACAGATTCGCCATAGAATGGTGAAAACTCGAACTTCTTGCTCATATTGTTGGTGAAATCTTCCATTATGTTCCTATCTTATCCTCATTGTATCCCCATCAAACCGTGGCAATCCTTCCAACAAAGGTCGCAACTGAAACGATATCAACAGATCAAAAAACTATGATGGCCAAGTTGCCTTGAGTAATTGTCTTAAAATATCAAAAAAAGAGTCAATGGATTTCATGAATAAATCGGAATTATCTTGAGTAATCCATTTTCATTGGGTTATATATTCCACATATATATTCCACATATATCCCAGTTATATATGGTTATATATATATATATCCATGTTCTTCATTTATTTCGGAATCGGATTTTCATCGGATTTTCATCGGATTTCACCCAGCTGCTGTGCCCAAGAGCCACGAAGTCCATGCTCCAGGCCACCACTCCACCACTGCTGGGCCACAGACATAGGACTGGCGGATCCAGCACTCACATTGTCACATATATATATACCCTTAGCTTCCAAACCCTACAAATTTGTCGGGTGCAAACTAAAACCCTGGGTTTAGCCGTGATCATGCTAAAAACCTTGGGTTTGTCACAAAAACCAGGGTTTTCTTACAAACTGTCCGAATTCGATATAGTGCTTGCTTCCAACACTTCTCCTACTTTGCTTCATCATATGTTTCTTAGATTTTCCTCCATTCAGCCTTTCCGTCAGGAAACCACATCTACATTATACATCTGAAGTAGAGAAAAACGCAACCCCAACATGGAAAAGTACGGGTCGGGAATTCAAGCCTCTAGCAAACCGTGTTCAACCCGTGATTTACCCGTGTCAACCCGTGTTTTCTTAAGGAATACCCAGGGTTTGTAGGCTAAACCTCGTGTATTTTGAAAATAACCAGGTTTTCTCTAACCCGTGTTCAACCCATGTTCAACCCGTGATTTACCCGTGTGCACCCATGATATAAACATGGGTTGGAACCCCTTGGAACTGGTGAAAATATAATATGTTTTTGTTGTGTGTTGGGCTTGTGTTTGGGCGTCGATGACCAGTAGACTGGACAGAAATGCAATACTTTTTGAGGACCCACCGCATTAATAAAATCAGAGCATTTGGGGGCATGGTCTCGAAATTTGTGGAAATAGAAAAACCTTGGGTTTTGTTTTGAAACCCTGGGTTTTAAGTGCCACCCTGCGAATTTTGCGGGTTCGGAGGGTCAAGGTATATAATTTTATATATACATATGTGATATATCATATCATTATGTATATGTATATACAACACAAGGTAATATTGTGACACCAGAATATACTAAGATAACATATGTAAAAATAACAAACGTCATTTAAATGTCTGTATATGTGTAATATATTCATCATATGTTGATCATATTATCATCATATTTTCATCATATATTATAAACTACCGCTACGCATATTGTGAATTGGTAGGGCTCTATACTCCTTCATCGTACCTATATCACTATATGATGTCATACATGGAGGTTTCCTTAATTGGGTGGTAGCCCCAAATCATCGAAGGAGATCATGACTTTGTATTGACCCATGGTGACTTGGGGATCCCCCGTTTAAAGAAACACTCATATATGTCATTTATAGGATATACCATTATATATATATGTATCGGTATGTATCACATCTTGAATAACTGTCACATGGAGGTTTCTTAAAATGGGGGTACCCGCAAATCATCCATTTTTATAGAATGTTCCATTTTGCACATATATAAACCATCCAGCTATTGGGATACCCAAAAAATCCTTCATTTTTTTCGGATTTTCCATTCTAAACCATCCAGCTGTTGGGGTAGCCCCATGACTTTGTAAAGCTTCGTACAATCCCTTCCTCCTAATATTAAACACCCCCTAAAAACCATGGTTTCGTAGGGAAATTCCACATCATTAGACCATTTAGGGAGTGTTTAATATTAGATAATATTAATTAACCATAATTGTGACCATTTGGGAAGACTGGGAAGTGTGTAATATTAGATAATATTAATTGATCATTGGGACCATTTAGGGAGTGTTTTTCATATTAAGGTGGGATTATTCATGAAAATTACAATATAATTTAATTAGCCACCAATTATATATAGATTATTATAGTATTAACCACTAATTAACCACTAATTATAGTATGTCATCCGCCATTTCACATATTTCACGCGCCTCTCTGAGGTCCTTCGCGCACCAGAACTTCTCGGTGCGGCTGGCGTTCAACGCTGCGTGGATCCGATCCACCACCTTTGGCGTCGTGCCGTGGTACCAGCCTGGGATGGCGCCTGCCGTGGCCATAACGTTGGTGACCTGGCGAGGTCAGAAATCTGTGGCGAAGTTAATCTGGTTCAATAGGTTTCAATGTGGTTCAGTTTGTTTTAATATATGGGAATATATATGGGAATATTATATATTATATATATATATATTGAAACAAACCACAACCCCATATATTTGAATAATTTTGAATATGGGACCTGGGGAGGAACTGCATCATTCCTTCCTGATGTTGTGTGACGAATAGTGAGTCTTGATGCTTTGGAGAAATGTGACATCCATTGTTTGTGGATCTTCGGGGCAACATTTTCCCAAAACCAATGGACCAATCTAAACAACCCCGGCGCGAAGAGATAAAAATATGAGTGGCCCATGACTTGTGCTAAAGTCGTAAGTGCATGCCATGCAGACACAGACATATAGTAAATCATCATCAGCCATGTCGAGGCATCCAAATTAAATTGAGTTGGGCAGTAGGAAACTGCTGCGCTTGGCCCAGTGCTTGGTCGAAAGTTGCCTCTGACTCTTCCCAGCTGGTAGTTGAAACAATACTGAATACGAAAAAACATCCGTTGCTTTTGTCCATCGAAACAGGTTGACTTGAAAGGACACTCCAAAAACCTTACCAAGCGGAAATCTCATTTACAAGTGCAGAAGACAGTATCTTTGGGTGGTGCGCATCTTAGTACCCTCAAAAGTCATCGGCCAGAAGAACAGTGGTCAAAAGTCTAAGGATCGCCAGGAAAAAAAAAAGATGTTACCACTGCAAATCAGTGTGACATGGTATGATCAGAAATGGTATGATAATATATACCATGCTATATATATATATAGATTACAATTGTATATACAAATATTACCACCCCCCTGAGACATCCTCAGATTAAGATCTTTAAAGACATTGCCGCACTGTTGCCTGCGTGATCTGCATTTCATGAATTGGTACATCTGCTTTCTTTGCGTCAGCAACTTCCAGCACCACTTTTGCTTCCTGCAAAGGGCACAATGTGCAGTTTCTACTGGGTGGAATGATGGCAAAAATCCAAAAGGCCTTAACTGGGAAACTGGAAACCATAAGGGGTCCAATGTGTAAATATAATGATATACATATATATATATATGTATATATATTATACATTATATTCCCCTCACCTGCTAGTACAATGCCGTTTAAACCATGACGAGACTCACCTGCAGTAGATTCACCAATAAAAACCGTTTCCGCAAAGTAATACGCTGCATTCTCCATGGCAAAAACGCCAACAACAAAAAAACTGTTATGTTATATTATATTATATTATGTTATATTATATTATATTATTGTATTATTTATATATATATATATAAACGCCAACAATGCGAACTCAAAAATGGATGTTCAACTCCTATCAACTCAAAGGATCTCAATTGGGACCACCACGCGGCCACGCGGTGCCTCAGACTCCACTAGGACCGCCGTCGAGTTGGATGCACACTTTCGAGTTTCTTCATCCACACCATCTTTGCAGCTGCATTCTGCAAGTTTGCCTGTTCGGCTGAAGACCTGAGACACTGCTTCGATCTTCTCACTGAGACACTTGAGATGTTTTGGGCGTGCCAATCTTTGGGAACGTGATGATCAACCAGTGGATTTTTAGAGATCCCCTATTAGCAAAAGGCCAGATGAATGGCGATGGATATCCAGGATATCGTTGGAGTACCATGGACCCACAAATGGCTGGTCATGTTGAGTATTCAACATATTCAACATATTCAACATTCTATAATCCTATAATATACAATACTATATACTATTACTATAATATAATATTTATGTATAACATTGTATAACAGTTATTCATTTTTGATGCGTTTCTTGGCGTTTTTTTGTGAGTTGACCCATACTCAATTGAAAATGTCAATCCTGCCATCAGGGGGACCCCCCAAATCCATCCCTGGTTGACTGCTGAGCTTCACAGACTTCCCGCTGCTTATCATCGTAGCACTCAACTCCTCAGGCACCGCAGCTGCGGTCACAAAAAAGCTGCGTGTGACTTAATGGGACATAATGGGACTACCCCTCTTGGATGAAGGATTACTCTATAACTTATAACTTATAACATCTTATAACCCTTTATAACTTTTGTGGGGAAAGTTGAAGTCAGGTCTCTCCCTACCAGTACGGTCCTGTTCTTGTTGGACAGGAAACGTCACTCCGTGGTCATCCAGGATTTAGCTCCCAAGGTCGCTGGGCCAAGCAGAAAACAGCAGTTTCAGTATTCGCAGACAAGAATATGCATGTTTCGCGCTGCTCAAAAGGAATATGTGATACATGTCATTTTAAAATGTTCAAACACTAACATAATACATATGCATCTGTATACTGTATACTGTATACTGTAATTAAATGCAATTATTAAATTATCATCAATTATCACTGACCTGGATGGAAAATGATGTAACCTCATGTCGTTTTGGGGGGTCCACGCCTTCGACACGGGAAGCCTTCTTCGCGATGCGATCGCCACCAAGACTCGAGTGAAGCACTCATCCACTGGCATTTCAGCTTGGAAGGTGCAGAATGCATCGTAGCTGCCATGCCCAATCCTATGACATTCACTCGATTCACTGAGAATTTTCATTGACTTGCCGGTTGCCGCTCCCTACACAAACATGTTTGCCCGGTCAAAATCCGTTGGATATTCCTATATATTGCATAGTCATACAGTGTCATACATTATCAAACAAGTCTACAAATGTCATATAAGTTAAGTGATATATTGTCAGCAAAACTAAAAAAATGATCCAAGCAACACCATCATGATCCAGCCAATGAACCTAAGCCACACGCATGGCCGTGAAGCAAAGCAATACCACCACTGGAATCAGAAACATCACCATCGCACATGCTACAGTACAAGCACTTCACATGCTCAAAGAAGACGCATCAGGATCCTCCAGAACTGTCCGCAGTGCCAAACAGTGCTCTACGAGGATTGTCCAAAGAAAAAGCACCCGTGATCAGCCGTGGATATGACAAGCCGCATGACAAGCCCCGTGAGATCCCGTGCGCCAATTTTGGAAGTGAAGTGACGATGACTTTAGCAACCACTGACAGTCACTGACATATAATACCTTGATGTTCAGATGATATTCTTCAAGATTTGCCCTCAGATTCAAAAAAGTGACCCCCAGCCATCACATTTTGTCAAGTCACTTCACAAAGGGCCGTTTTCTCTGCGAAAACAACGAAATCGCTAGGAAGAAAGAACAAGTTCCTGACTTCCGGTTGGAAGGTCGCTGGTCTACTGCTGTGCCTTTTGGTTTGTGAAAGTGCATCGTGTCTTTTCTATGGACGTGCTGGAAAACCCATCACCGACCAATATCAATCCTCGGTTTAGGTTGAAGCAGCAGTGTCTGACCCTTTAGCGTCTTTAAGATGCCCAACTGAATCCTTTCTCTTTCTCATTGCCAGGAACAATTTATTGTGACAGTGATATCAGTCTGGAAACATCCGCAATCACAATTGAGTCCCATCAAAATGCTACTGCTACAGAGACTTTCCTAGCAAATACACCGAACATGGTCGTTCAAAAAAATTTGGGTGCTATCTCCAATAGATGGTCGTGTCATCGGAAAAAAATGTGTAAAAAATGATGATCAACCATGATCAACCAGTGATTTTCCAGCATCATTTCCAGTGATGTTCCAACATTTTCTCCAGCGGTGTCCACGGTTTCCTGTCATGGCGATGTGGAGCATGGCCGTAAAGATGCGGACGGAGGCTGGGAGAATGCTGCCAGTGGCTTTCACCACGCCGGACAACTGGCAGGAAACATCAGGAAACCATGGCTGGAAAGGTGCAGCTGGGTGCAGCTGGGTGCAGCTTTCCGGGCTTTGTGGATAAAGGAAAAAAATGGAAAAAAGATGAAAAATCCTGGAAAGCATCCTTTTTCACAGGAAATATAGAGGTGTCCGGTTCCAATTTTTGGCTTATCATCCAAGTCCGGGAAGGCCTTTGTAGGAAACTCGGTGAACTGCACTAATTATACATTTGGAGGCAACTCTCATCAACTTTCCAGTGTTCAACGGCAGTTGGGTTTTCCCAAGAAAACTATGCGCCAAAATTATGGAAAGGCATGGAGGGGCGCCAAATCTCATGGTTCAAGTTCAATAGGAACAGCAAGCAAACATCTTGGCTGGTTCGGCATCCAATGTTGACCTGTACCTTTATCCAAATGAGTCTAGGTCAACATCGAACACATGGACCACAGATTTTGGATGATTTAGGAATATTTCAGAATCATCCAATGTGTATTTTTGGGAGACCAAAATGAATCTTGACCTCCAAATCTTCCCCATCTTCCCACCTTGGCAATGTACTGCACATTCTCCAAACTTCCAAAGCCAGCTCCGGCAGCCATACCGCACAAGACGACCACTGCTGGGGAAGCAGCAAACTTCCTCAACGCGAGGGATCGAGGTCTGGCGAAACAACATGCTTCGATTCCGAAACTTGGAACATCTTGGAAACAAGAAAACAAATTCCACATTCTTCACAATCTTGAATGTTGAATCTCATGCCTTCAACTGCATTCAAGAACCGATAAAAATATACAGGATACTTTCATAGACTTTCCCACTTCACTTCTTGAGATCCCTGGGCTCTGCATTAATCTCGTGCAAGGAACAGAAACCAACCACAGCACGGCATGCCTCAGCAACGATCTCTGTGCGGTCAACTGTTCAGGGCGAATCTTCTCGGTTCCAACTGTTTGATCGGTTCTCGGTTCCCCATGGGGTTCCCCCAAATCCAATGGTTTTATCATCTCCACCAGAAACGACATTTCCAGTGTCCCAGTGTCCAATGGTGTTCCGGAAGCCAAGTTTCAGGAGATGGTCGACATCCGGGGAAATCGTGTTAAAGCTTTGGATTTCATCGCCTCCTGCGGTGTGGCTTGGGCCCCTGGGCCCCGTTGGGCTGGGGGGGTGCCATTGATCCACTGCCACTTCCACTTTCCCAAAAAAAGACATGCTCCTGTGGTTTTCAGGTCCAAATGCTGGAGAATGTTTGAATCCAATGATTGACATTGACTATGTTTCTCCATTCGTAACCGAAAACAAGTCCTACAATGTCTCGAAAGCTCTTGGAACAGGGAAATGGCCTCCAAACTGGTGACCAACCGCAGCAGCACCATAAATTTGAAGGATTCTTCCACGATACCTCTGGCGACAAATTTGCGACATCTCTGCTTGAGATTTGGATCCAAGTCTTGAAGGCCTTGACATGCCTTGACTATGGTGTTTTTTTGGAGTCACAGCACTTTCTTTGAATTTCAAGCAAGTCACCTGGTGTGAGCACCCACTCCAGATTTGCTTTGGCAACGCAGCCGCCACTGGGTGCTTCCATAGGCCACTTTGGGCCTCATGGAGTTTCGCGGAACAAACATGGGATCAACGAGAAAATCCTGCTTTGTAGCGGTCATATGTCTTAGCATTTTTCAATGGGCCAGGACGGTGCTGCCTGGGGAAGTGCTTTTTGACTGCGCAGGGCCAGTGTTTGAATTTTGGGATGTCAGCGGAATGCCGAATGGCTGACGAGACTTGTTTCCAAAACACAAAACTCTAAAACCTAAAACCCTAAACCTAAATGTAAATATAATATGTCATGAAACCCGAAGTAGGCCTTGAAAGAATTTGTTTTTTACGACCATGGTAAAAATAAGCCTAAAAGCCCTAAATGAAACCCTGGATAAACCCTAAACAAACCTTAAACAAACCCCAAACAAACCCTAAAGAGTTGGTGACATGATAAACCTCTGGGCGGCACCCCCGGCCTGGGGGTATAATTATATGTATAGAGGTAAATAGTTCACACGGTGATGCCAAATTTATCCAAATTTAGGGTTGTGTTTAGACAATGTCACGGACCCATCCCACCTACTGGCATGGTGGCATTGCAATCTGGATCTGCCGCCGTCCAAATCAACAGCAGGAGCGTGTTGAAAATGCCTCAAACATTTCAGCAATGGTCAGCAGTTCGACATAAACCAAAAAATGACGGCTGTCACATCCTGGATGGGCAATCAAGCAGAAAGTGGAACGTCCACAATTTTGTGTCTGTCTTCCAAAAACTCACGGTCAATTCATGTCAATTCACAACAAATACTGTATGTGTCACTTCAGGTTATCTGCAAAACGCCCCAGTCAACTCCCACCTGCACACTCGGCAGAGAATATGGCGCCAGCCCAGAACATGCTCATGATCAACCCGGCCTTTCAGGTCCAGTGTGTACAATGGGGGTACCCCCAAATCATCCATTTAAATAGGATTGTCCATTATAAACCATCCATTTTGGAAACCCCCATTTTAGGAAACCTCCATGTGGCTTTAATAATAAGGAAAAAAATGGGAAACATGCATGAAACCATGGATTCATCACAGGGGGTTCAGGTGAATTCCCTCAAGACAATTCTAGGGCAACCCCTTGAAAGTAGCACATGGAAATTGAGACGCTGGATGGGCGAGGGAACATCGTCAAACATCTGGATGAATATTCCAGCCGAAGTCAGCCGAAGTAAGGTCATCTTGGGATATCTTGGGATGGTTTTCAGTGGTTCTCAATGCCAAAGGGTCACATTCCGATGGATGTCGCAATATCGCCGCATTTGCCCAGGCGCCTTGACCGGTTCCTTGCTGAAACGGTTCACCAAATACCTAGGGGCACATCACGTAAGATACAAAGTCATAGGCGGCAACAATATCACAAAATGATGATATAATACAACAAGTGGATCATCATATCTATACAATCATACTTGTACGAGATATGATATATATATATAATATATATATATATATATTATGTAATACATTTATATACATTAATTATAGATACAGTAAAGTTTATGTAGTATTCCGTATTCCCATATATTACCAGTATTACCGTGGCAATGCAGCTTCTGCTGTCCATCCAACGTGTTTCATTTGGAGAATCCCCCTGATTGAGGCAACACACCACGAAGGCACCAGGACTACCTCGGCGGGTCCAATTACCCTCTGGTTATTTAACATAGCCATGGTATAGATGGCCCATTTATAGATGGTTTACCTATTAAAAATGGGTGGATCTTTCCATGGCTATGTTAAATAACCAGATGGTATTTGTTTCTGGTACTTAAACAACTTCTTGAAGTACCACTCACTGCCACCAGACATGTTTCTACAATAGTTTCGCACCTGGACAATGCGTTGATCGAGTGACAGCTGCGGGTTTGGGGAAAACTGAGCGCCCACACAATTGCACCGAAGGATTCGATAATAAAAAGTGCCTCCTTGGTACTGGCCACTGGGGCATGGATTAAATGTTTGGCACTTTTTAGGTCTTTTCTTGTAGTTGCGATGCGAAGACCAGAACATAGCTGGCGATCAAAAGTGAGAGGTTTGCAGCCTCGCATATGACTGCAATGAAATTACCTAATGATTCGTTCATGTAAAATCACTACAATATAAAATGTGTAACCATAGCCCTGCTTGATTTCACAGGGGAACGGAAGAAATTCAGGAAGGGAACCACATGTCGATCTTCAAGTGGCTTGAAGGGCCCCAACTAAAACAATACATTTTATCCCTGCTCGCTGGAAAGGGCTATTGTTTCCAAACAGAATACCCCATCTTTGACCTTTACCCGCCATATACTTTTGGTGTTTCAAAATTTGGTATACCCAAAACATCCCAAAACCATGATGTTTCCCATTCAACATTGCACATTTGGATGATTTTGGGTCCCCCATGACTTAGGAAACCTTCATTTGGAGGTTTCCTAAGTCATGGGTGTACCCTGAAATCATCCATGTTTTACTAGGATTTTCCATTCAAAATCCAGCTATTGGGGTACCCCTATTAGGAAAAAAACAATTTGATGCCAACAGTTGGGTCCCAGCATCTTCGAGCCAGCGCTCTCCCGGCTGCGCAGTGATGAAGTGCTTCAAGCCGCCTGCCGACCCCAGCTACGCCCAGCTTGGCTCAAGTCATTAGGGGCCCCCAACAATACAATTTTATGCCGTAAAATGATTGATTTACTTACAGTATATAAATGATGATCATGAGTGTTTTTCCAGTTCTATAACTTCCTAGATGATGATGAATATTATCATATTTTCGAACATGATTGATAATGTCTTATCTTCCAATGGCCAGGAATGATGGGTACAGTTTTTAGACGGACCCAATTGGCAATCAATCATTTTTAGGTACCCTTTGGCAGTCGAATGATTTTTTCATGCATCTATGTGTGGATATGATCGGGGGTGATTTTCCATCACCAGGATGAACAAAGCTCGAAATCGACCTGAATCTGATCCATCAGAACCTTCTTGCCCTCCGTTAATTGGAACAATAAGCACAATGTGTTAAATCCCAAGTCATCATATTGATTGTTAAATCCAATGGCTAGCATCTTTGATGTTTGAATCTTGATAATCTTGTTTAGTTGTGGTTGAATCTTATCATTATTTATCATTTATGGTTGATTAAATACAATTTGAATAGGTTAATCCTAAGTCTTTGATGGTGAACCACCATTTTGTGGCTGGTAAAATGCCCAACCTCCACTGCACCCACCAGCATACCTGCCACGAGGAGAAGAATGGTCCAGAAGGTGCAGGCAGTTGTGCCAAGCCTTAGCAAACTACTAGGACTGGGAGTTATGAGGATGATCAAAAATGAGCTTTCAGATGGTTTCACATGGTGAAACGATGTGAAACGTTTCACCATGAACGATTCATAAGACCCCACATCTTTTTTGGCAGGATTCACCTATCAAGAATCGAGGTTTGACTAGCTTGGTGTTTGTGGTGTTTGATGGAAGATTCAAATGATTCAACCCATAGGTGCTGCTTTTTAAAGCTGCTAAAGGAGATGACCTCCCTTACCATCCTTACCGAACTATTTGGGATCAGCATACCAAGGTTTTGAGCAAATTCATAAGGTCAGCTGGAGTTGGAACTGTCTGAAGATGTGTCTGAAGATGTGTCTGAAGTGCAGGCGAAACTGCGCTTTGATTGCAAATCCCGAATAGGATCAATCAAATTTGAATGGAATGGCTTGAACATTTCAACACTGCTCTTTTTCCCTAGAATTGAAGCAAACATTTGCTAAACTTTTGGGGTTTGAACACGAGCCAGTTTCCTATAAATGTCACTTCACATTAAACATGCTACTCTTCAGTCATCCTTTTTCATAGGTTTAAAGTCAAATTTCTCCATCATTTTTCATAGTTAAACTGGTTAAAGTCCAATTTCTCCATCATTTTGCATCATTTTTCATAGTTAAGCCCATGTTTTTCACCATGTTAAACCCATCTTTTCACCTCACTTCACCGAGCTGCAGGTGGCGCAGCTCCGTGCGGCTCAAGAGTTGTGGTGGTGAGGCGGGCGCACAGAGAAAGTGAAGGCAATTCACGCAGCAGAAGAAGCAACCTTCAATGGATTGATTTGAGGGAAAATCTACAGGAAACCATGGTTTTTACCATCAAATATAGGGCTTTCCTGTAAATTTTCCCATCATCCAATTCTATGAAACCTGTCGATTTCGTGATTTCGTGGTGATTCTATGATGATTTCATGGTGACAATTGTGATTTTCCATGGCAATTCAATGACCATTTTGTGAGTTAATGGCAATTGTGACTGCGCTTGACCGGTGATTGCATTGTGATTTAATATGATTTTATGATTTTCCATCACAATTCAATCATTTTTTGAAGATCTCATTTGATATGGGAGATTTAATGATATATTTATGTGTATATATATATATAGAACCAAATAGATGGCGCTTGACCGAAGTTGACCAACATAATATGAAGATGGGTCCCGTTTGCTGGCTATTTTGGGGTTCAGGAAGTCACTTAAATGGACCTGTCTGAAATTGGGGTAAGCCCCCAATTTATTCAATTTATGTCCATGTTGATTCTTGGAAAATGCTCATTTAATCTATTTCCAATGTAACATTTTGGACAATTATCAGAATTGGATTTACATGGGTTTATAATCCATGAGAGCATTTGTCATTTCGAAGTAAACTCACCAAACGCGAGGCCTGCGAAGAGAAGAGCTAAAAACCCCACCACCACCAGGAGCACAGTCCTCGTGAAGTCATTCGGCCATAAGGAGACGCATCAAATAATGCTTCCTGGTAATGGATGTTTATTCATGATGATTTGCTTGGACTATCGTGGACTACAGTGGCTTGATTCTAAATATATGACTTATTCACATAATGAAGACTTATGGCAAAATATGTCATGTAATGCTGAGACTTTTGGGCGTGTTATGGTGTGTTGGTGATCCACCTCTTTGTCCTGCTGCTGCTGCTGCTGTTGCTGCTGCTGCCGATGACGAGGAGGGGAATAACGATGATGAGGATGAAGATAACGGTGACGATGACGACGACAGCAACAAGGAGCAGAAAAATGGCATGTTAGCTACAACATGATACAACGTCTCGTTGATGAAACCATCTTGGCAACGACGCCGCTTGCATCAATGTCATGTTGGCCGTGCCCAATGATAAGGTATGTCATGTCGCAAGATTGTCACGATAACGACTAGTTTGACGCCTAAAATGCCAGAACATCCGTCGGCGCCTCAAAAGGTACATTCAGTCCATGCACAATGACCATCAAACAAGATCAAACAAGTCGCTCTGGCTGCTTTAGCATGTTGGCATCTCCGGCGATGTAGAGGCACCCAAAGCCTCGAAGCAAAGGCACTTCCCAATCAATGTTGCAGCTTGTGATTAATCGAGATTCCCTTCGTCTTGCACATTGGAACGTGTTCAAGGTTTGTAAACAACACATTCGAACGCATTAAAGTACAACAACTTGAGCGGTGGCGAAAACCCTGATTGAATTGAATTGTCTTCTACTCTTACATGTCTTCCGCGTGGTCTTCCGCGGTCTTCTCCGCTGCTTCTGCGACCACAGTTTTAGCTTCCGTGGATGATTGGTACTAGTAAGATCCGGGGCCAAAACGGGGCCAAAACACTGCGTCCCCAGCGAAACAGTCTTGGAATCTTTTTTATTCTTGTTTGGTCCATAAGTGCTTGTTGGTCCAGCGTTCCACGGCGGGTCCAAGCCCCCATGACAGCTGACTTCGCGTTTCGCGTGGCATTTTTTACACCAATGGCATCAACCTCAATCGTATGATCGGTTACTCATTAAATTCGCCTTCCGCGGCCCTTCCGCGATTGAATGATCAGCTTCTGTTTCCGCACTAGAGGGTTTTGACGCTGCTCACTTGGCATCGGACACTTGCATTGAGTTTGGGAAGTCACTACATCCTGTCAACCAGACTCTTGATGAAAGGGAATCAGAAAAAAAAACACCGGCATAGACCCCAGATAGAAAAGGTTGGAACTGATGGTTCCCAACGTGGGAACCAAAGGTTACCATGGCAAGGAACTGCCGGTTCCCAGACCTTGAAACTTACGGTTCCCAACCTGGGAACCAGAGGTTACCATTGCAAGGAATTGCCGGTTCCCAGAAGTTAGAATTTATATTTTCGAAACTAAACAACTATCATTGTAAGGAACTGCGGATTCCCAAAGTTTGAAACTCATGGTTCCAAGCCTGAAAAAGCATCTGTTACCAGTGGAAGGATCTGTTGATTCCAAAAAGTTAGAACTCATGGTTCTTAATGTTGTTTTGCTTTGTTTACCGAGCCGGTAACAGAACCTTTTGTTTTGCTTAATGGACCGGTAGCGGAATGTTTGCGTTCGGCTGCTGGGCCGGCATAAAAATGTTTTTGTGCACGAAAAAGGTGCATGTTAAAATGATATGAAAACAGTTTCTTTACAACTTTATGGTTTTGCTTAATGGACCGGTAAAGAACGCTTTGTTTTGCTTAATGGCCCGGTACCGGAATGTTTGCGTTTGGTTCATGGCAAGGAACTGCCGGTTCCCAAAGGTTGGAACTCACTGTTGCCAACGTGAGAACCACAGGTTACTATTGCAAGGAACTGCCGGTTCCCAGAGGTTGGAGCTCATGGTTCCCAACCTGGGAACCAGAGGTTACCATTGCAAGCAACTGCCGGTTCCCAGAGGTTGGAACTCATGCTTCCCAACGTGGAAACCATAGGTTACCATTGCAAAGAACTTCCAATTCCTAAAGGTTGGAACTGATGGTTCCCAACGTGGGAACCAAAGGTTACCATGGCAAGGAACTGCCGGTTCCCAGGCCTTGAGACTTACGGTTCCCAACCTGGGAACCAGAGGTTACTATTGCAAGGAATTGCCGGTTCCCAGAAGTTAGAATTTATGTGTTCGAAGCTAAGCGGCTATCATTGTAAGGAACTGAGGGTTCCCAAAGCTTGAAACTCATGGTTCCAAGCCTGAAAAAGTAACGTTACCAGTGGAAGGATCTGTTGATTGCAAAAAGTTAGACCTCATGGTTCTTAATGTTGTTTTGCTTTGTTTATTTACTGAGCCGGTAACAGAACCTTTTGTTTTGCTTAATGGACCGGTAGCGGAATGTTTGTGTTTGGCTGTTGGGCCGGCATAAAAATGTTTTTGCACGAAAAAGGTGCATGTCAAAATGATATGAAAACAGTTTCTTTACAATTTTGTGGTTTTGCTTAATGGACCGGTACAGAACATGTTGTTTTGCTCAATGGACCGGTACCGGAATGTTTGCGTTTGGTTCATGGCAAGGAACTGCCGGTTCCCAAAGGTTGGAACTCACGGTTGCCAACGTGGGAACCATAGGTTACCATTGCAAGGAACTGCCGGTTCCCAGAGGTTGGAACTCCTGGTTCCCAACCTGGGAACCAGAGTTTACCATTGCAAGCAACTGCCGGTTACCAGAGGTTGGAACTCATGCTTCCCAACGTGGGAACCATAGGTTACCATTGCAATTCCTAAAGGTTGGAACTGATGGTTCCCAACGTGGGAACCAAAGGTTACCATGGCAAGGAACTGCCGGTTCCCAGGCCTTGAGACTTACGGTTCCCAACCTGGGAACCAGAGGTTACTATTGCAAGGAATTGCCGGTTCCCAGAAGTTAGAATTTATGTGTTCGAAGCTAAGCGGCTATCATTGTAAGGAACTGAGGGTTCCCAAAGCTTGAAACTCATGGTTCCAAGCCTGAAAAAGTAACGTTACCAGTGGAAGGATCTGTTGATTGCAAAAAGTTAAAACTCATGGTTCTTAATGTTGTTTTGTTTTGTTTACTGAGCCGGTAACAGAACCTTTTGTTTTGCTTAATGGACCGGTAGCGGAATGTTTGCGTTTGGCTGTTGGGCCGGCATAAAAATGTTTTTGCACGAAAAAGGTGCATGTCAAAATGATATGAAAGCAGTTTCTTTACAACTTTATGGTTTTGCTTAATGGACCGGTACAGAACGCTTTGTTTTGCTTAATGGACCGGTACCCGGTACCGGAATGTTTGCGTTTGGTTCATGGCAAGGAACTGCCGGTTCCCAAAGGTTGAAACTCACGGTCGCCAACGTGGGAACCACAGGTTACCATTGCAAGGAACTGCCAGTTCCCAGAGGTTGGAAACTCCTGGTTTCCAACCTGGGAACCATGGGTTACCATTGCAAGCAACTGCCGGTTCCCAGAGGTTGGAACTCATGCTTCCCAACCTGGGAACCATAAGTTACCATTGCAAAGAACTTCCGGTTCCGAAAGGTTGGAACTGACGGTTCCCAACGTGGGAACCGAAGGTTACCATGGCAAGGAACTGCCGGTTCCCAGACCTTGAAACTTACGGTTCCCAACCTGGGAACCAGAGGTTACCGGTTACCATTGCAAGGAATTGCCGGTTCCCAGAAGTTAGAATTTATGTTTTCGAAGCTAAGCAACTATCATTGTAAGGAATTGCCGGTTGCGAAAGCTTGAAACTCGTCGTTCCAAACCTGAAAAAGTAACGTTACCGTGGAAGGATCTGCTGATTCCAAAAAGTTAGAACTCATGGTTCTTAAAGTTGTTTTGTTTTGTTTACTGAGCCGGTAACAGAACCTTTTTGTTTTGCTTAATGGACCGGTAGCGGAATGTTTGCGTTGGGCTGCCGGGCGAGAAAAAAAGTTTTTGCACGAAGAAGGTGCATGTCAAAATGATATGAAAACAGTTTTTTCTTTGCACCTTTATGGTTTTGCGTAATGGACTGGTACAGAACGCTTTGTTTTGCTTAATGGACCGGTACCGGAATGTTTGCGTTTGGTTCATGGCAAGGAACTGCCGGTTCCCAAAGGTTGGAACTCACGGTTGCCAACGTGGGAACCACAGGTTACCATTGCAAGGAACTGCCGGTTCCCACAGGTTGGAACTCACGGTTCCCAACCTGGGAACCAGAGGTTACCATTGCAAGCAACTGCCGGTTACCAGAGGTTGGAACTCATGCTTCCCAACCTGGGAACCATAGGTTACCATTGCAAAGAACTTCCGGTTCCTAAAGGTTGGAACTCATGGTTCCCAACGTGGGAACCAAAGGTTACCATGCAAGGAACTGCCGGTTCCCAGACGTTGAAACTTGCGGCTCCCAACTTGGGAACCAGAGGTTACCATTGCAACGAATTGCCGGTTCCCAGAAGTTAGAATTTATGTGTTCGAAGCTAAGCGGCTGTCATTGTAAGGAACTGCGGGTTCCGAAAGCTTGAAACTCATGGTTCCAAACCTGAAAAAGCATACGTTACCAGTGGAAGGATCTGTTGATTCCAAAAAGTTAGAACTCATGGTTCTTAATGTTGTTTTGTTTTGTTTACTGAGCCGGCAACAGAACCTTTTGTTTTGCTTAATGGACCGGTAGCGGAATGTTTGCGTTCGGCTGCTGGGCCGGCATTAAAAATGTTTTTGCACGAAAAAGGGGCATGTTAAAATAATATGAAAACAGTCTCTTTACAACTTTATATATGGTTTTGCTTAATGGACCGGTAAAGAACGCTTTGTTTTGCTTAATGGACCGGTACCAGAATGTTTGCGTTTGGTTCATGGCAAGGAACTGCCGGTTCCCAAAGGTTGGAACTCACTGTTGCCAACGTGGGAACCACAGGTTACCATTGCAAGGAACTGCCGGTTCCCAGAGCATTGCAAGCAACTGCCGGTTCCCACCTGGGAACCACAGGTTACCATTGCAAAGAACTTCCAGTTCCTAAAGGTTGGAACTGATGGTTCCCAACGTGGAAACCAAAGGTTACCATGGCAAGGAACTGCTGGTTCCCAGACCTTGAAACCTACGGTTCCCAACCTGGGAACCAGAGGTTACCATTGCAAGGAATTGCCGGTTCCCAGAAGTTGGAATTTATGTTTTCGAAGCTAAGCGGCTATCATTGTAAGGAACTGCGGGTTCCCAAAGCTTGAAACTCATGGTTCCAAGCCTGAAAAAGTAACGTTACCAGTGGAAGGATCTGTTGATTGCAAAAAGTTAGAACTCATGGTTCTTAATGTTGTTTGGTTTTGTTTGCTGAGCCGGTAACAGCACCTTTTGTTTTGCTTAATGGACCGGTAGCGGAATGTTTGTGTTTGGCTGTTGGGCCGGCATAAAAATGTTTTTGAACAAAAAAGGTGCATGTCAAAATGATATGAAAACAGTTTCTTTACAATTTTACGGTTTTGCTTAATGGACCGGTACAGAACGCTTTGTTTTGCTTAATGGACCGGTACTGGAATGTTTGCGTTTGGTTCATGGCAAGGAACTGCTGGTTTCCAAAGGTTGGAACTCACGGTTGCCAACGTGGGAACCACAGGTTACCATTGCAAGGAACTGCCGGTTCCAAGGGGTTGGAACTCCTGGTTCCCAACCTGGGAACCAGAGGTTACCATTGCAAGCAACTGCCGGTTACCAGGGGTTGGAACTCATGCTTCCCAACGTGGGAACCACAGGTTACCATTGCAAGGAACTGCCGGTTCCAAGGGGTTGGAACTCCTGGTTCCCAACCTGGGAACCAGAGGTTACCATTGCAAGCAACTGCCGGTTACCAGAGGTTGGAACTCATGCTTCCCAACCTGGGAACCATAGGTTACCATTGCAAAGAACTTCCAGTTCCTAAAGGTTAGAACTCATGGTTCCCAACGTGGGAACCAAAGGTTACCATGGCAAGGAACTGCCAGTTCCCAGACGTTGAAACTTACGGTTCCCAACCTGGGAACCAGAGGTTACCATTGCAAGGAATTGCCGGTTCCCAGAAGTTAGAATTTATGTGTTCGAAGCTAAGCGGCTATCATTGTAAGGAACTGCGGGTTCCCAAAGCTTGAAACTCATGGTTCCAAACCTGAAAAAGCATACGTTACCAGTGGAAGGATCTGTTGATTGCAAAAAGGTTAGAACTCATGGTTCTTAATGTTGTTTTGTTTTGTTTACTGAGCCGGTAACAGAGCCTTTTGTTTTGCTTAATGGACCGGTAGCGGAATGTTTGCGTTTGGCTGTTGGGCCGGCAATTTTTTTTCTGCACGAAAAAAGGTGCATGTTAAAATGATATGAAAAAAGTTTCTTTACAACTTTTTGGTTTTGCTTAATGGACCGGTAAAGAACGCTTTGTTTTGCTTAATGGACCGGTACCGGAATGTTTGCGTTTGGTTCATGGCAAGGAACTGCCGGTTCCCAAAGTTTGGAACTCACTGTTGCCAACGTGGGAACCACAGGCTACCATTGCAAGGAACTGCCGGTTCCCAGAGGTTGGAACTCCTGGTTCCCAACCTGGGAACCATAGGTTACCATTGCAAAGAACTTCCGTTTCCTAAAGGTTGGAACTGACGGTTCCCAACGTGGGAACCAAAGCACAGCACGCTGCACAGCACCCTGCACAGCACCTTGCACAGCACCCTACACAGCACCCTGCACAGCACCTTTCACAGCACCCTTCACAGCACCCTGCACAGCACCTTTGCGAGACTTCGCCACCGCACTCTGGACAGCAGCGTGCACAGCGCCCTGCACAGCACCTTTGCCAGACTTCGCCACCGCAGTCTGGACAGCACTCTGCACAGCACCCTGCACAGCACCTTTGCCAGACTTCGCCACTGCAGTCTGGACAGCACCCTGCACAGCACCCTGCACAGCACCTTTGCCAGACTTCGCCACCGCAGTCTGGAGAGACTTCGCCACTGCAGTTTGAAGAGCACTCGCCACTCCAGTCTGGACAGCGCCCTGCACAGCACCCTGCACAGCACCCTTTGCCAGACTTCGCCACCGCAGTCTGGACAGCACCCTGCACAGCACCCTGCACAGCACCTTTGCCAGACTTCGCCACCGCAGTCTGGACAACACCCTGCACAGCACCCTGCACAGCACCTTTGCCAGACTTCGCCACCGCAGTCTGGACAGCACCCTGCACAGCACCCTGCGCAGCACCCTGCACACCCTGCACAGCACCTTTGCCAGACTTCGCCACCGCAGTCTGGACAGCACCCTGCAAAGCAGCACCTTTGCCAGACTTCGCCACCGCAGTCTGGACAGCACCTTTGCCAGACTTCGCCACCGCACTCTGGACAACACCCTGCAGAGCACCCTGCACTGCACCTTTGCCAGACTTTCGCCACCGCAGTCTGGACAGCACCCTGCACAGCACCTTTGCCAGACTTCGCCACCGCAGTCTGGACAGCACCCTGCACAGCACCTTTGCCAGACTTCGCCACCGCAGTCTGGACAGCACCCTGCACAGCACCCTGCACAGCACCGCCACCGCAGTCTGGACAGCACCCTGCACAGCACCCTTTTGCCAGACTTCGCCGCCGCACCCTGGACAGCACCCTGCACAGCACCCTGCACAGCACCTTTGCCAGACTTCGCCACCGCACCCTGGACAGCACCCTGCAAAGTTCGCCACCGGAGACCCCCACCTAAGAGAAGTAAGAACCCCTATAGCTTCCAGCTATCTGGGGAACAATGGCGAGGCAGAAAAATTGGCATGTCAAATGCCTTTCAAACCAAATCTGCAAATGTCGTGTAGCATACGTCTTACAAAATTTCAATAGTCAATTGATTAGATCTCAAACTCTCAAACTATTTATTTATGCCATGCGAACCTTTTAAAGCACGGTCGCTTCGACATACGGCAGAGTGTAGCATTGTCAACGACCAGTACAGTTTTGCCAAATCGCACATCGCTCGTGCTCTTGCCAAGGAGCCTACTGCGGAAATAAGGCCCAGCCCTTTGAGATTCCGGTACTGAAGTGGATACCTGTAGCGGCAAGCGCACTGCTTGCATTTTGTTCACAGCTCAATATTTAATGAACACAGCCCTGCATTCTTCGCTCGCAGCTAAATCTGAACAAATCTCCCAAACCAGCGAGGAATCGAAAGGAGGAGGTGCAGAAAGGATACTGACCGGACAAGAATCAGCGATTCAAGGCAGAGGCCGCAAGTGCTACAGTACATGGAACTCGGGTACAAGTAGCCTGGGCATCCCTAGGCTGCCTTTTGTGATCAGAAAAATCCAAGTTGCTCATACTCTCGCGAGAGGTCAACAAATTCAGAGTTGGCATGATGTGCGAAGCCCTGGGAGTTGGCAATAGACGTTGGGGCACCGAAATCTTTCAACACCCTTGTGACGGCGCCTGTGTTGTGAAACTTTGTTCTGGGATGTTGGCCGTGTAATGTCGTGAATTTGCTGTGATCTCTTTGTGTTTAGCGTTTCAATGAGTAATTGTATGTAATTGTCTTAAAACCACTCTGCAGAAGTAGTCGATTGGGATCATGATTATGTCACATTTTGTCATTCCTTTGATGCCAAGAACATTGAAAAGTGGAACATAGTGGATCTACATATCAGGAGTTCTAGGAGTTCTTTCTGCAGGGCTTCGGGCAAATGAGGCATGAACAAGACCCAGCCTCCCAAAAAAAACACATGAAATACTGGTTGGCTAAGACCTAATCGGGCTTATAATATCTTATAATAGTCCCCAATAAGCAGTTAGTTATAAACAGTTGGTATAACCATGGTATAACCATGGTATAACCCATCATTGAAACTGACAGCCAAACCATATTGCACCATTGCACCATATTGCACCATCGACAAGTCGCTGGATCTGTGAATGGCGAAGGTCCCAATGCACGTCCGAAGACGATGAAGGATCCTCGCCTTATGGGGGTTGGACTTGGAGGATCACCATGAGCCCATTGGAAAAACCTCGAGTTTTTACAGGTTTTTACAACCAGTGAAATGTGTGAAATAAGTTCCCATTTGTGGACTAAACTATACTAAACCCATGGCCCATGTCTAACTAACGGTTTTTGTTCGGATTCCTGTGAGCCGTCTAAAAAGTTACATATGAAATGGGTGTGGGTCAAATTTTGGTAGGCGACCCACTATTGGATGGTCAATGCCAAGATTGACCAAGACCTAAAAAATGAGAATAGATTTTGAAATGATTTTGATGTGTGTTTTTCCAATTCTGGTGCAGCCCAAAAAGTTGGTGGTATCACTTTTGGTGTTGCTGCCCACGTTCCAGAACCCACGGCAACTTCGTTTGAATGCTGGCATGGGGCTCACGCAGGCCATCCTGAGGCGCCTTGAAAACACCCAGCAAATTGTGTGATCATGCGAGTGGATGGGATAGGTGGGTATGATGTGTGTGTATCTGTGTGGAGCAAAAGTCTCTTCTCTGCATTTCCATGCACTTGGAAGTGTTAGAAGTAAATAAACACAGATTCTGGCAACGTGTTTGGGTCCTACAACAGCAAGGTGAAGCAAACTAGACCTGCTGGAGCTATGCCAAAGGTCCAGACTCAGAGTAGGAGGTCAAAAATAGCTGGTGGTTAGGGACCTTCATCCCGCCAAAGATTGGTGCTATCAGGAAGTCTGCAACAAACAACTCCATGAAGCGATCACAGTGTATCACAGTGTATTCATTTATATTCATTTGTGAATAGTTACAGCTATAGTTAATTCATATGATGATATGTATATAATATATAATGTTTATACTATAATATAATGTAATATGATATTAAATAATAGCTATATATATAACATAATATGACATTATATATCTAATATATATTGTTTGAAGAATGATCAATTTCAAGTGAACAAAACAAAAACACACCAGACCCCTGATCCGTGCCATTCCGTGGCCACCGCCCAGGCACTTCAGGGGCTGAAACGGGCACACCATTCAGGTCACCAGGAGAGGACATGGTACCTGGCTGGGCTGCACCAAGCTGCGCCAATGTATAAAATTATATCATTTATGTACGAAGAATTACCAAGATCCAACTTTAGGATACATTTCCATACATTTACTTTATCATGATAAAAATCTATTCCGTTATGATTAGGGGAGTGTTTTGGAAATTCATCTGCTTGGATCCAAGTTGTAGTTTCCACATATTTGCACAGCCCTCCACCTCCAGCTATGGGGACATGAACCCCCGAATGGCTTCAAGGTTCAACGTGGTGTCGAGCCCTTCAACGCTGCGACGTGATCATGACATCACCAAACATGTTTGGAAGGCAACTGACTCATGACTCGTGGAAGTCAGTAACAATTGCTGTGGAGATTTCATTCAAATTTGGGGATTGAGCTATGCAATCCCCAATATATACACCAGTTATCACCAGTTCGTATATTCACCCATGTTAATCAATCCATATTCATCCATCAACTGGGGTACAGATAATGGCTCAATTCTTTGGAAATTGGTAGCTGAACAATCTATGATAGAGACTTGCCGGAGCCAAGTTTCTCTCATTTTGCACGTCCGTCGGGCGGGATCCTACGCTCCCATCTTGGGAGGGACTACTGCTTTCACAGAGGACCATGAGATTCAGCTCAGTGGAAAGACCTGTGACATGTTCACTCGCTCCGCCGCAGCTTTTTAGGAACAAAAACAGGTGCTTCACTGAAATTGTGTGTGTGTGTCTGTGTGTACTGAAACAAAGTACAACAGGTACTGATGAAGTAGCAATAAGCAGCATATACGTCACTGTAATCTCATTGCTTTCCACATCTTGCAATCAACAATAACAGTGCTCCACATGCTCCAGCATTTCTATAGATTTGAACATACTGAGTCGGGCTGAGTCCTGCACGTGAGTTTGTCTGTCTGCACTGGAGCCTCATCCTCGTGCAAATGCGCCAGGGGATTCTCGTGACCTTGGTGGAACAAACCACGAATAGGATTCATCAGGATTCTACCGTGTGGTCCCAATAAGACACTAAAAAAGTTCTCCAGGAATCCTATGGAATCCCTACCGGTAGTTCCAGAAGTTCCTCGATCCGTGAATCGGTTCCGGACGGTAGTGATGAGCATCGTTGTATGCATCGATCGATTGCGTCTCCAGACGCGCAATGGTGTCAAATTCCTGGGGGGTGAAGCAGGTCCCATGCCCTGCTCCAAGATGAAGCATAGTAAGGTCATCAACTCCTCAATGCTTATGATATCTTGTGATCTTTTTGGAGCAGGGTTGCTCTCACATTGCTGGCAGGATCAGATAGGCACAAGACCGCATTACTCTCTCCTCTACAGTCCCTACGTTGCTAGATCACCACGTCTCATGACAATCTGTATCTTTGGCAATACCACGATTCTCAACTCAGACAAACAGGATATTGTCATCATTTGCATACAATATAGGGCCCAATGATATTGGGACGTGTCAACGGTCAATACCATTTGTTTTTCTACGATTTAAATATATTCAAGTGGGGTATGAACATTCATGATTGCAAGCTATTTCTGAAAATAGCCCACCAACCCCAACTGCAAATAACTCTAAGGTTTTATTAGTCTTCAATCTTCAATCGGTTTTTATAGGTTTTTATCATCTGTTCATCCGCATTTTCCTGAGGAATTGCAGGTTTCATCCCTGGAGGATTCCGGGGGATCCCGCCTTAATGGTGGCGGCCCGGAGCCGGGTGAGCGCCCGAAAGACTGCGCGCTTGATTTCGGCCACCTGGACTGGGAGGCCGTTACTAACCTCCGTAGTTGACCGGATTTCCCAGTGCCATGTTTGATGATGGGTATGCCGCCGTGCCAAGCTAAGTTGTTTTGTTTAACGGAGGTTTACCGGTTTACCATGAAATAGAAAAGCAATTTAGATGGCTTTCCGCTTGTAATGTTTCCGAATCAGTCGGGTTTCCAATGGGAGGATGGGCTAGGAGCCGTTGATGGCTCTTGGCTCTGTCCAAGAGCAGTTAATCTTTCGACGTATACCTTCGAACCTTTGCTTCCACCGAACTCGAGAAGGCTAGCGCATATACAGATCATACAGCAACTCTGCATTCTCCATCTATCTCATTGTAATATTATGGTTTATGATCATCCCACCATCATTGTGGATTCCATATTATCATATAGTGGGTATATTAACTTAAAAACCCCTATTGATGGACTGATGACTATGCCCCAAAATCCATATCATCCAACTTTGACCATGGCACACATGTTATCTGCAGGCTTATGTCTCCATATGTCTCCATAATTGCAAACCTATGAGGAAATAGTACGATATAGATCGATATAGTCTCCATTCCATGTCCAACACTGACCGAAGGTATCTTTCAACGTTTGACGTCTTGTGTGTGTGTGTGTTTGTGCGTGCTCTTTCTTGATTTGAGACACAATGCCTCTGCGGTCCCTTGTACTGTACATAGCACCGAGCGAAGCTGGTAGCTGGTAGTTGGACCCACAACGAGTCGTGCCTCTGCGTTCTCAACGGCGTCCACTAGCGTGTCCTATCAACACAAGAGCTGTCTTGATAACCAAATTTTCCATGGTTGAACATGAAAAGGAAACAAAACACACCCACTCTACTCCATATCAAACAGACCATCAGCTGAAACATGTCCCATCATATCCTACACAAAAAGGGATGAGAAATGAGACCCTGGCAACTGCAAGAGTGCATTGCATTGCGTTGTGAATCTCCTGAGATTTGGATGCTCTATCTTGAAGCTCCCCAGCTGTGTTCTCCTGAAGCGAAAACGGTTGCATCTTGCATCAAGGATCATGACAGGAAACACTGAACAAGCGATCACCCTGCCCTTTCCTTTGAAAACCTCTGGTTTTCTTGTGTTTTTCCCCGATCAGTACAAGTGTGTTTTCTGTAACAGGTGTTCCACATTTCCACCAAGGTATGGGCCAAAAGCTAGCAGTGTCAACCTTTCCAACGCATGCGTAGCACCAAAATATGGCTTTTAATTGTGGGAGGAAAGGAACTAGCTAAAATCAATTCTTCTTAGATTATTTTTTTTTTCCTTTGGTATCCTTTGAGTTCCTTTGGTTCGGATGTTTTGGGGCTGGGTGGATTCTATTGTTTTTCCGTTGGTTTCCTGTGTGTTCCTTTGGTTTGCAAGGGAGCAACAAAGGAAAAGAAAATACAAGGAAAAAACAAACCAATCAAGGAAAGTCTAAGGAGGCATAAGCCCATGGAAAGCATCAGTCATGTCTGTTTCTAAGGAGGCTGCTAGAAACAGCGTATCCCACAGAATTCCATGCTCACTCCGTGAGAAATGATACTGCATTACACTACAAATCTTCAGGCAACACATTCATGCAAGGTAGAGAATTCAAAGCATGTACACTTTCAGTGAGAGTTGGCTAGTCAATGCTAGCAATCAATGGTAATTTACCACAACCCCTTGTGAATTAAGTCGGAACGTCATGGGTCCCCATTTTATAGAGATAAAACACCGGGGTACATCCCCCCCCACATCCCCAACACCATAAAATGGGGCACTCTGACATACCGTCGAGCCTATCTTTATTTTCCTAAAGTTGGTCTCAGACCAGATATATACAGGTTATGCCTCTATAACAAGTGTAATATGCCTCAATTTTGGGTATCGTGAAGCTTTTGGATGCATTTTGTAAAATGTGGTTAAAATTGTAGCATGTGGTAGCAATATGTAGCAACAAAATTGTGGCATTTCTGTGTTTTTTCCGTTTTATAGTGGCAGTTGTTCTAAATTCCTCTCTCGTGAAACGGCCATTCTTCGCGAATAAAAACAAGTAATTTGGCGAGTCTTTCGCGAACCTCAGAACCTCACGTGTATTTTTCGCGGGGGTCTCATATTAAAATTTGCTGCTAAATATTTCGCAAAAAAAAAAACTTTCGCGAACTTAGAAAAAAAAAAGTTTTCGCGGGGTTTGATGTTGAAACCCGGCGGCCTTGGCAATTAAAAACCCTTACATGGACCTTTGGAACGACTCCCAGTTGTATACTGTAGGTTGGGTTATGATGGGACGGGTAGAGTATGGTATGGTGTGGTATGGTGTGGTATGGTGATGTATGTTTAAAAAAGGTGATAACAGTTTCAGCTACTATAAAATGGAACCCATGACGTTGGAAAATAGCGATTTTCTAGAGTCTCTATAGGATGGGAACCTATGACGTTCTACGTGGCTGTCACCCAGCAGGTGAACATCATTCTAACATGCTGCTCTGACCCCCCCCAAAATCTCTATAAAATAGGGGCTACACCCGAGCCCTAAAAATGAGAGAAAACATGTGTGTTAAAAAAAAAAGTTCTTATCCGGTAGGTACTGTATCCCCCCAATTTTACAGAGGAAAATCCTAAGGGATTTTAACACTATCTTGAACAGTTCTTCTTTCAGTTGTGATTTGTTGTCAGCCAGCAGTGGACGCAAAGCCATCAACACTGCATCATCCACCAGTGCATCATGGGGTTAACACCTGTAGTTCAATGAAGCTTGGGAGGGGACGTGACATGGGAGAAGAGAACGCCGATCACCTAGAAAATATATGTGAATGTTGTGGCAGTCCCGGCCAAAGGGTGTGATCTTGTTGGAACTCACCTGGCGGACATGAATCAACGGGTCATAACGAAAGCACTGCAGATTGCGCATCTGGGCAATCTCTTTGCAATGACAGGTCATGTCAGCCGGTGTCAGCCTTTGTTCCCGTTTCAGGTTCGCCACGACTCCTTGGTTCCATGCCCCCAAAGCTGCATCAAAAATCATCAAAATATCTTTATCATTGTTTATCTTTGTTATCAAATGTTGCAATGTTCTCATGATCTCCCATCACTTTTGTTGATCAACGCTACCAAGAGGCTCTGCTACCAAGGCTGCAGTTGGCGCCAGCAGTGCCGCCAGGAACACCTACGCAGCAACGGTTGGATCTCTTGCAAGTGATTGAATTGAATGGATCAATCTGCCGCTCCTGCTGAATCTGTTCCAATTTAATCAATTTAGAATCCTCTAATTTCAAACTGATCAATTGAATTGGTCTTTCTATCACGAACTGTCGTTCATTTGAACAGAACTGCTTCCAGGCAAACACGAACGGAGAGCGCCTGCAATAGTCGCGCCATTGGCAAGAGGCAACCCACTTCGTTGTGGTGACGGGCTTGAATGTCAAAATTGCGGCACACATTCCTCTGTCAATTTGCTGCACTATAATGCAGTATAATATATAGATGAAACACAATCCAATGTCTTGGCAGTTTTCAAGTTGAATCAGGTTTTAATTTGCAGATATTTGCAGTCTCCCTGCGTAGAACGCCTGTAGAGAAAACAAAGACCAGCTTCATGTCTTCTCCTTTTCACTCATTTCTCGCTACATGGTGGATGATGATTTCATGTTAATTCTTTTAGTGGTGCTGTCACTGTAACAATCAGGAATTGTAAATTGTGTAAACAAAACCCTCACTGGCAATAAATTTTACATGCCCCTCACTTCGTTGGTGCGGCAACCCACTTCTGCCAACCACATCTTTCCGCATGGCGGACATTGCGAAATCCCAGGTGTTCTGAAGGGGCACCAAGTGGCGCGGTCTGGACGGAGCAGCCGTCCATGAAAGGAGTCCCAGACCATGCGAATCATCTTTGGATGGCATGGCTTCAGCCAACTTTGTGACAGTGAAACATCTCAGGTTTGGGAAGTTGTCCTGGGCGAACCGGATCCTCTTGGCTTTTTTCGGGAGTTCAAAAAGGGCATTTTGCATGGTTGAAGGCTGTTGGAAAAAATAGTTGGACAGAAGCGGGCCCGTAGCAAAGCCCTGGATTTTGAGGTTGATGGACACCCGCGTCTACTCAGGGCCAAAAAGTATCACTCAACAAGTCAATTTTTGGTGGGAAATTAAGTTCGAGCAATGCCCAACCCAAATTTTGGATTTTTCATTTTCGTAGCTCCGTTAGGGCTTTCAATGGATGTCCACTGTCGTAGCTCCCGGCCTGCTATCGTAGCATGGTGTCGCGGGCCGGCACGGTGTTGCCGGCCGGCAGGGGGTCACCGGCCGCGCCTGGCAGAGGTAGCCATATCAGCTTGCAGTATCTTTCCTTGCAGTCCACAGTATGTTACACTTAGTATCAGACTTAGTATCAGTTGGCAACCACCTTCACGTAGCATTTTATCGCCACTACCTACACTTTCAAACAACAGTTGTGCCCCTCAAAACCTGCGGCCATTGCCAGATCCCGCTGCCACAGCTGCCACAGCCCAAAGGCACCGGAGGCTGGGGTTTCGGTGGCGGCGTCACTGGTCCTGGCTGCCGGAAGCTGTCACGAAACCGGCCGAGACGTGTGCTTGAACAAAGAGTTGCTGCCTGTGAAAACGATGATTCTGTTTCTGAGTTCAGGCTGCACTTTCCAAATCCATTTCCTTCCAATTCACATCTGACATAACAACAACAGCAGATGCCAACCTCTGATCTCCAACTTGCTAAGTTCCCCACTCAGCAAGCTGTCAAGGTTGCCCAGGACCTTCGTGCTAGCCGCATACCTGAAAGTGCTTGGCACGTGGATCAGTCTGGGAGCCTGATACAGAGGTGATGAAAAGAGAAAAACATCGGGGGAATTATATATACAGATAGTGTGGTAAACCCAAGTATAAACTATCCCAAATATGACCCAAAATGGGTGCTATAAACAATCCCAAATGGTAGGTAGGTTAATTATTGGTTTTACCAACTGAACACATTGTGTTTCATTTTGTATGAAATCCACAACCATGGCATGGTGATGGTTGTCCCATGTCCATTGGGGAAATTGTTTTTCACCAAGCACTGATGATGTTGAACCAAACCCTGTTTGACCGCAAATGGAAGATACGTCATATTGGTTTCAATGAATCACTGACTTAAACTATAGAAAATGCTGGCTCAGATGCACCCTCCGGATAATTAATATGCAAGTGTTTCCGCGTACTGCAACAATTGCAGACTATATTTGAAGATAGATTAAATTTGTTTTATTCAAAAGTTGAGGATATCCCCAAACACCGTGGATTACCAGCATTTTCTCCATCAAAAGTCATTCAATTCATCACCATCCTGAACCATTCAATCATTTCATCACCATCCATCAGGTTTGTCTTCAAATAAGATACACCCCCCAAAGTCGATGATTTAGAACCTCATTTTACTCATTAACACAGCCATAACCTGGCCGTAACTCCCCCATTTCTGGGCAAACCATCATGAATATCCCCATTAGACTCCCCATGTCTTATGATTTTGGGGGTTCCTCAATGTTCCTAAAAAGGGGGTACCCCAAGTCACCATGGGGTTCGATGATGATTTCTGGTACGCCCGCGCCTGGTCCGTCGCAAGTCGCCTTGTTTCTGGCCCTTGGCCGTCACTTTTGGGCCCCCTGAGGTGACCTCAGCGAAAGTCATTTAAAGTTGTGATGCATGGATTATGGCAGAGCGAACCCGCTCATTTCTCTCTCTCTCTCTCTCTCCCTCCCTCCCTCTCTCTCTCTCTCTCTGTGTATCTGCCAATCTGTCTATCTGCCAATCTGTCTATCTGCCAATCTGTCTATCTACCTTCTCTATCTAGCTATCTATCTACCTATCTATCTAATCTAACCTAATCTAAAATCTATATAATCTATTGTAATCTAACTTAATCTAACCTAATCTAACCTAATCTAACCTAATCTAACCTAATCTCATCTCGTCTAATCTCATATCGTCTAATCTCATCTTGTCTAATCTAATCCTTATCTTATCTTATCTGATCCTATCCTATCCTATCCTATCCATCTATCTCTCTGTCTGTCGGTCTGTCTGTCTGTCTGTCTATCTATCTATCTATCTATCTATCTATCTGTTTTTGGACAGCTCAACGTCCAAAAGTGGTCCGAGCGTGGCGTGCTTTTAACAGTTTGACTTCGAAATGTGCTTCGCGCCACAACGGCGTGCAATGTTTGAACACCTCAACTTCCAAAAGCATATGCTTCGCGCCACGACGGCTTGTGCTCTTTAAACATCGCAAATACCAAACATGCTCCGAACCCGCAGAGTTTTTTTTCAACGCGTTCACTTCGATATGTACTTCGCGCCACAGCGGAGTGCAATTTTTGATCTCTCATCTGACCAGATGTCTCCGCACCTGCCGCTTTAGCGAGCCTACTTTTCGACCCTCGGGAGCCACAAAACATTGGGAAAACACAGTGATTCGTGACTTTTCTACCTTTTCGTGCACCTTGATCTTCTATCTTCTGACTCTTTCTCTTCTCTGCCTGCTCTCACCACTGTTGCTGCATCTGTCCATAAGTCGGAAGTTTGACTTCTAAACTTCCTTCGGTTATGTTGTTTGATGTTATTTGTGGATATTAATGTGTGTGTGTCTACATAACATGGGTACTCCATGGTATGCCAAGAATTGGCAGGGTGGTTTACGAATGAATATGTGTTTTACAAGTACTGGGGTTTACGAATGCCTGTTTTGAAAGTACTAGTACCTGAAAATCACATTGGAGAGAATTGGATTGACAGCCAACAATGACCAGAATTTGTGGTCCCCTGGACCTTAAATTTCGATTTATACCCACATCATCCCACATCTGGTATCCTTCTGGTGTCCACTGACAAGTCCACTTAGGGTATATCATGTGGCCAGGATATTTCGGAGGTGATTCCCGATGTTCCCCCTATGAATCCATCATCTATGGTGAGGTCGTTAATTATGAGGTCGCTTGAAATTGGCCCAGCAGTCTATCAATACAGAGCAGCTGGAAAACTCTTTGTGAACAGCAGTCGCAAAAGAGCGCGGTGTGGGCTCAGAATGCTCGGGCATCCGGTCCACCGAACGAAAATTTGCGGCTTTAAAAACCAACGCCATGCCGGGTGCCTGCGAAACAGGGCTTCTTGGTCATGAGTCATGAGTCACGAGATTCTATGCAGTCAGGGTCATGCACAAGATGCCAAAGGACCAACAGACTATTTCAATTATTGCATCAGTTGAATCCATGATCAACAATTGCTATCAATACAGTGCCAGTCTGAAACTTGCACCTACATCATCTACAAGACATAAAAAGATATAAAAAGTGGCTCAGTAGGATGGTGAATCACTGCTGATTCCTCAAATACACCACAAAAACCAATATTTGGGGTCATCTTTCTGATGGTCGGTGGTGGACCCAGCCTACTTTGGAATCCTACAGAGATCCTAGAGTGGTTCACCCTGATGTCTAATATGGTTCGGGCCAGAAAAGTATCTGGGCAAAAATAAGAAATAAAAAAGTCATTTGGGGCGCATTGTAATATATATATATATACATATTATATAGTGATATGTGTATTTTAATGAGATTTATATATATGTGTGTGTGTACATGTGTACATTATAATGATATATATATATATATTCATGATATACATATATATATATATATTAATGATATCTATATATATATTATAATGATATATATATATCATTATATATTATAATGATATATATATATATCATTATACTATATGTTATAATGATATATATATATATAGTTGTATATATATATTATATAATTATATTTATTATAATAATTATATATATATTATAGCCATATATATATATATTATAACTGTATATATTAGAATGATATAGATGTGTATTATAATGATGTAGATGTATATTATAATGTGATATATATATATATAGAGAGAGATATTATAATGATACAAATATATATATATACTACAGTATAATGAGATATACATATATAATCATATATATATATACACTTGTAATTCATTTCAAGCCATCATGTACAGTGAGGTCCCTGCGACGTCGTACTAATTCTCCGGGAATGATCTTTCGGAGATTCCATCGTCTTTAAGCTCAAGCTCTGCTGAGGCGCAGGACCCAACCTCCATTCAAAAGTTCACAAAGTGACGGGGGTTTGAAGACTCTGCTTCTTGCTGATGTCTTGGCCCATGGGATCTCTTTTCGTATGAAGATGCTTGGAGGCTCCAAGAAACATGTCCGTCTTTGCTGCAGAATTGAGCTTTCTACATCAACAATACCAACTTCAGCTTCAGATAGGTTCAGTATCCAGGGAAGCTGTTGGCGAATTTTCCAGGTGATTTTCCAGGTGTTGTCCAATCCCCCAGGAGATCCATGTGCTGG